GAAGTATAAGGCAATGATGCGTGAGGAGTGACTTGAACTTTACTATTGCCTGATCAAAAAGTTGGAAGGTCGTAATAGGCACGTGTTTATTTACTAACATTTAACAAATAATAAAAAGTAGAACGGGTGGAATTGTGCTGTTCTGTTGATATATACCTGTCAGCGCCAGGAACCTTATTTTTTTCAAGTGTATTTATGTATCACATTAACAGCCTTTAGTAGTCCACTGCTTGAACTCCTTAGAAAGAAGGGTTTGGCCTACTATACCACGATGGCCAGAAGGGTTGGTATAGGGTTTGTTTCAAGTTTTCCTTCTCTTTGCCGTGCTATTGTTGTGTAGTTCGCTCCCTTAGTCGCCTCTTACGCCACTCACGGGATAAATAGGGATGATGACACTCTGTATTCTTAATCCTGGTATGTTTATGGTTTATGTTATATGTATATTCCTTTCGCATGCTCTGTGGCCTAAACGGCTTGATGGATTTTAGCGTTTGAAGTATCGTTGTCATTGTGAGTGACACTTAATGTATGAAAATGATAAACAACTTTCATGTAGTCGGGATTTTTGTCTTTTCAATCATTAACTTGTCGACCAATAGTCAAAAGATTAAAGGGTCAAAAATATTGTAATTCAATTCATGAAACTCATTTCATTCTTCAAATCATCCTTATCCTTTGCCCTGAATAACTCAACTGTGTTCCTATTACGTTTTATGAGATACAGCTGACAAACAGACGGACAGACATCTGGATTTTATTAATAGCTTATTACTACTAACATAAGGTTCCATTGGTACCTAGTATTACGACATCTTATTTTTTTTTGTTATGAATCGTACAATACTCGTATATACAATTTTTTTCAAGAAGTTACTAGAAAAATATGAAAGCCAAGTCTTAGTGTTTAATTTAGGCAGTAAAAGGTCACAAGTAGCTGGTTGGTACAAAAGAACGTCTGATCTCAGAGTGTCGGATGCTGTAGGAAGTACCGTTAGTTTCGCACGTGTGTTCGCAAGTTCACGTGCTCAATGCCGCCGTGGAGGCTTCGCAGTTTTCCTCCATTAACGATACAATGGCAGATTACATGCACTGTGACCATATGTCACACTAACAAGACATTTTAACACTGTATTTTTAACTACTAACTAACTAACTATAAAAAACAAGCACACGGCTTGGTAAGCGGGTACCAGTGCCTTTGCAACTTTTACACTATCTAGCTATCTCTAAACACAAGTAGGTTACCGCGGTATCCTGTATGATCGATACACAAACACAAGTGGGCGTCTCTACTTCAAGCAGGAATCTCCAGTGCACTTTCTCTTAAACGTGTACATGCAAATCGTGTTTGATTTTAATCGACTAAGCAGCACCGTACCTACTGAAGATATTTTTCTGTTGCTTGAGTAAAAACTTCGTGTGGTGACGGATTAAGAATACGGTTTGTCACCACCCCCATTCATCCCGTGGGTGTCGTAAGAGCCGACTAAGGGAGCAAACTATGCAGGACAACAAAACTGCAAAGAGAAGGAAAACTTGACACAAACCCTATACCAACCCGTCTGGCCAGCGTGGTATAGTAGGCCAATACCTCCTTACTAAGGAGAGGCCTATGTCCAGCAATGGACTGTTAAAGGCTGTTGATGATGATGATGAGTAAAAACTTTAATAGGCAGTTTGTAGTCACGAGATATCATGCCTTCTGGTAGGTCATATACTGTTTTTAGTTGAACACAGTGAGGCGGTTGTCTGAAAAATAATTTTTTTTTACCAAAAAATATGATAATAAAATACGTTTTGTTAAGTAGAGCGATAAACACATTATATATGTATTTAATACTTGTATAATTAAGGAATCACATTCCTCAATTACACAAATACGTAGACGTCTATAAATAATGTATTTATGAACTCTAATGAATTTCATAACGTTATAATGAATACCAAGAATGAGGTGAGTCACGCCTACGAGGAGTTTTAGTGATTAAAGGTAGACTAGAAAGTACGGTTACTTGTATGGTAATCTATACTAATATTATAAAGCTGAAGAGTTTGTTTGTTTGTTTGAACGCGCTAATCTCAGGAACTACTGGTCCGATTTGAAAAATTATTTCAGTGTTAGATAGCCCATTTATCGAGGAAGGCTATAGGCCATATATCATCACGCTAAGACCAATAGGAGCGGAGCACCAATGAAGAATGTTTCAAAAACGGAGAAAATTTATTACTATTGAGAGACGCAGACGAAGTTGCGCGGGTCAGCTAGTGTTTAATAACGTGCTTAGTGTTAAAATGTTGAATAGCCGCCATTATGAATATCTATGACAATCAATTTATTTTTTTATATTTACCAAAGACATATTACATTATTTACTTTATATTTTTTGTTTGCATTTTATGTGAAGCTTTCCCGTTATCTGATTACTTTGAAAAGTCATGGTGCACGTTGCCGAGGATACAGATAAAATTCTGTTTCGGAGGGATGGAAAATTAGTTATTAAGTAAACGATGGGTCGTTTACTTAATAACTAATTTTCCATCCCTCCGAAACAGAATTTTATCTGTTTCGGAGGCTTGTATTGTAAAGCTTGTATTAAGATAAAAAGTTAGGAGTTTTATGAATTTAAACACCATATTGAGATATGGTGTATATTGTGGCGCATAATTCTAGTAGTGGTAGTTCCATACATCATGGGTTTATACATTTTTATTACAATGCTTGTTTTCGACTGGCAGCGTGATGGACGAAGACATTAGCACGGACGATTACATTAAAATTTATTGCTATGATTTGAGTATTTATTTCATGAGCTAGTAGTAATATATAAGACAGCTTAAATATTATTATTCCTAGTGCACAGCCCAGGTGGAGTGACGATTTGCGCAAGATGGCTGGCAGGAGCTAGATGCGAGAAGCCCAAAATCGATCTAAATGGCGTGCAATGGGAGCAGCCTATGTCCAGCAGTGGACTACTGATGATGATGATGATGAGAAGGGTATGTTTATACACAAATCATCACGGTTACTTCCGTTAATACAGCCTTATATTAGGAAGTACATAACCAAGAAGAATACGGGCGCCACTAGGAAGTAACGTAAACAGAACTACACTAGTTCGTTGCCAGTGCTTATTATTGATAAATCATCATGTATTCTAAACATTTGCCATATATTCTATCAATCTGACTTGAAGCTAATCCCTAAGAGTAATTTGATGGCATTGAGTCCTCTTGGGTGCCTGTTTGTGAACCGATTTCAAGAAATGGAAGAGATTCTCGATTTTGTTGTATGTTTTTTTTTAAGTTTGTTGCCTCAAAACCCCGACCCCCCTGTGTTATTTATACTATCGTATATTTATTATTCATGTACCGATTAGGGAAATGTCCGTGTAGTGACGGATTAAGAATACGGAATGTCACTACCCCAATTCATCCCGTAGGTGTCGTAAGAGCCGACTAAGGGCGCAAAACAACGCAAGACCAGCACTGCAAAAAGAAGGAAAACTTGACACAAACCCTATAGCAACCCGTCTAGCCAGTGTCGTATAGTAGGCCAAAACCTCCTTTCTAAGGAGAGGCATATATCCAGCAGTGGACTATTAAAGGCTGTTGATGTGATGATGTGTGATGATTAGGGATATTCTTTTTATATTTAGGAGGGTATACTTCCCGTTTGGTTTTATAGAAATTTTGAAAATTATAGAAACAAGTACCGATGTACCGCATTACAGTCGGTGATGCTTTTTTAGTTAATTATTGAAATTAAAATTAAATTGCTCAGTTGCGATAACGCATTTCAATTACCTACGAAAAACAATAGACAAACATGAAAGCTGCATTACTTTCTTTAAGTGAAACACGTTAAAATACGGCACACAAACATACGTGAACACGCTGCTTTCGTTCGAGAACGCCGTCCGCGCCCAAACTGTAGTTTCTCTTTGACATTACTCATACTCATCAAAACATACAATACCACTTAAGCGTACATATTCTTTTTCTTTATAAAAAAAGACAACTCCCGCATTAGGAAAATATCCTGTGTCGCGGGGGACTTTACATAGCATACATGAAACGGACACAATGAACATCCAGACTTAGAACAACAATTTGTGGATCACACAAAGTGTCGTCCCATGTGGAGTTTGAACCCATAACACTCGGCGTAGTAGGAAGCGGCGTGGCGACCGCCTAAACCACTACGCCATCCGTGCAGTATTAAGATATGAATATCCACTAAGGAGATCAATTAACAATGATTAAATACACTTTTATAAAATAATCATTTTGACGTTAGCACTAATCGCTCCTAGAAGTCTGTGAAAGCCCCAGAAAGCTTTAGCGCGTCTGGAAGGAGGTGGATTGGCTCACATACCCTACCACGACGCATTAAGGACCGACCCCGAGTCTAAATGCGAAAGCCGGAGCCCACCATCAATATCAACGACGTTGTCACGACTTAGCATTTTTTTTTAACATCAAGTAGCAACTTAAATATCATAAGCCCTAATTCATGGTATTCATTTGGGTTCTTGCAACACGGTGATGCAGACTACTGCGTCGGTAAAACCATTTTGGAATGTTTGAAAACTGTCCTGATTTAGCATATGGGAGGGTCGCAGGCGGATTTGGAGTCTCAGCCGCCCCAGGCCATTAGCCGCCCCTTTCGCAGCACCCATCATATAGACTACATCATTACAATGAATTTACTTTATTACTAAATTTTATCGAAACCAGTTTCAGAGATAATTCCACGTTTAAATAAAATGTTGTCATGAGATTGACATAGGTCCGGGCCTAATAGGCCTTAGGGGAAATCCGCCACTGGAGAGTTGGCAGTAGCTAAATTCTTTTAAACTGCGTAATGCTTCTGTGAATTTTTGGCTAGCATCCGATTTTGGAGTACAGGAGGCATTACGGCAGGTTCCAAGAATGTCATCAGTAGAATAAAAGCGCAAATTAGCACGTTTTTAAATAGATTGTATGTTAATTACAGATGTATGGCTGTAGCTATGGTAAGTGGGTGTATATTTCGGGGAAGAGCGTGGCGCGTGATACCGACGCGACGCGGGCAGATACTCCATTACAAATGGACCCAGTGCGGCCGCAATAAGTACCACTTACGATATGATTATCACGTTTGAAAAATGATCTGATTTAAGATAATTTAGAAAATACGTGTAAAATTAAAATCCATACCAGGTAGTGTTGAACATTCTGGAGTATGGCCCATTGACAATGCCTGTTGTGTGTATAAGTTTTTTTTAAGATTCAGGAAGGCATTTCTTTACAAAGATATCCACTTAACATGAATAATTATGTCAACACTAAAGGCATACATATACAACTATTCATTAATCATTTTGTCATCTGTTTTACTAGAAAATGTTACAAAATGTATGTAAATATGCAACTATTTCATATTACAGTCAAGGCTGCATAGTTTTTATTTAACTACCTATATTATGCCAAGGCTAAAGATAAGCTGATGGTATTCTATTCAATGACAAAAGTAACACATTCTTTACATATTTCACCACTAAATAGGTGAAGGTGTCTTAGTAAACAAAACTCAAATAATTTTTATTGACATTTTTTGACCACATTCAAACTTTTTAATATAGATTCAGTACCCATTCTAATTTTGAAAATATAATGTGTTTTTTTTTATTGGCAATAACAGTGCCATAATTTTTTTTTGGAATATTAAGTTTTTATTTAGTTTATCTGTGATAAGAAAAAGTTGTAGAAAATAACAATAAAAGTACCATTATTATAAATTTATTAAGTTGCCACTTGAATAGACACAACATTTATAGTTTGAAGGTTGAAAGTGAGTTTCTTTGTACTTGAAAATTACTTACTTTTTATAATTGTTGATCTATTGTAAGGCATTATAAACTATATTTATTTATAGAATAGATAAGTTAAAAATCATGTTTTCATCAAATTATAACTCTTGTGATTGTTATAATTAAGAAAATAATTAAATTATAATTAAGAAAATAAATTTTATACACTCAATGTTGTTGTATTTAATTATATCTAATTTCTTTAAACAACTGTCCAAAAGCTGTTATTCTTCTTATTCTTTCTTTTAACAATAGTTTCCTGTGCTTAATGTGTCATGTGAACAAAACATTTTTTTTTCATTTTCAATAATATATCAATATATAGTTTATAAGTTTATTCTTGAATACTGTTTTTTTATTTAAGTACCGTATTAATTTTTTAATATGCCAAATCAAACAGTACACGAATTTATTCACTATATTAAATTGTATAATTAATACAAGATTACCTCTAAGTAAATATAGTTTTCATGAACAGATCATTTTATTTAGTAAAAATTAATATAAATATGTATAAAATAACGACAAAAAGAAGTCCACACCTACCCTGCCCCCACCAAAGGCAGACTAACATACAATTGTGTTCGCGTGACGAACGCTATGACGTTACCTACGAAGCCTTTCACAGACACATTATAAGATTTTACACTACATGTTTACAGCTCACCCGTTTGTGAACAAATCAAGCATTTTATTTCTCCCGTAATATTCATTACCTAAACAAAATTTACGAGCAAAAACATTTACACCAACCTGCTTGTTCCACAGCGCCGTGTCGCCTCCAAACAACGTCTACCTTCATTATGTTGAAATAACCAAACACAAAATAAACTAGTCACCTACACTACGTAAATAGATTAATTAATTCATAATTCACTTGTTATAAATAACTAAACTTTACGTAAATTAAACAAAACCTCAAGGGTAAACATAAAGCTTTTAATGTCACGAACATAAAAAAAAAAAGTAACCACCACCGAGCATCACCCATTGACTGACGGTTTTCTTTCTGATTCTGATTTCTGAACATAGTGTACGTTTTACGCACAATGGTAGCTTAGTAGGTCTCTGTTTTCAAATCTAATCTCGTACTAAAGTATACTTATTATACTTTGAGAAATAATCATACCAATATTATTTTTACTATTAAAAAAATACAACATTTTGCTTTTAGAACCTTCAATAAACCTGAATTACTAGGTTAAAAGTTACATGTAGTAGAAATATCAGTAGAGCTAACCACACTCATTTTTTATTTAGGGCTGCCAGGAAACAAATTCGAAAACTGTCGAAGTAGTAACAGTTGCGGACTTAAGAAAATTATGTTTTGCTATACCTATGTCTAAAAGTCTTTACATTATATTAATCTTTTACACAAAAATATGTTAGAGGTGGTTTATGTGTCTAAAACACAACTTCATAGTAAAATAAAAGAAACTTATATGATCACTTCTATTTTGTAATTAATTTCGTGTGATTACTGATTTTTTATTAATACTTGATATGTTAACTAAATAATCGAGCTTTTTTATAAGAATATAATTTATGCTACAAATACATTCTAATACATTATTCATAGCTAAAAGTATTTCATAAAAATAAAATGACATTACGAAGTTAATGTTGCTATTTTTTCATAAAAAATGGCAGCCTTCATGTCGTAAGCTTTTCTTTTCTTTTCTACAAATGAAAAGTTTATAACATCAATTTACTGAGGAATTATAATGCTATTTCAAGTGATCCAGATGGTTATTCGATTTTCTGAAACAATTATATAGCTATTAATTGTCGTGAGTCATGTACTTCATATTGGCTGTGAGTACTACGTGGTTATAATTATTTTTGCAGTTGCAGATTTGTTCTATTAATTTACGTATGTTAAAATGTGCATCGCTTACAATGTCTAACATACATCTGCCTCCTTTCTATACAAATCCTTATTTCAGGTGGAGTAAACATCGGGCTACATATGCAAATGTTTAACGGATTGAATGCTAATAAGAAAAGTACTTCATTCAGAAAAGTGAATAAAGATAACATGAGCGCTGGCAGTGTGGCGTTGGACCGGGAGCTGGCAAGCACGCGTCGCCTACTGTGGGGCGATCAAGTGAAGGACGATGTTTTCCGGCGATGGGCCCAAGGCTTCCAATTTAGTCCAGATGAGCCCAGTGCCCTCATTCAACTAGAAGGGGGACCTTGTGCAGCTATTGCGCCCGTCCAGGGCTTTCTGCTAAAAATACTGTTATCTGAGACACCAGGACACAGTTTTCATGACTTAACGTCAGAGAAGTGCGATTCTCTACTGGTTAGGGCTGTGTGTACAATATTAAGTCAGTGTCTAGCTCCTAAGTACAATGTTGCCGTGTACAGGAAGAACGAACCTGATGCTGAAACCAGTGGTGGCAATAATGTGGAGGGACAATCCAACACAGTGTGTGATACCATAGAACAATTCCATCGGCGGATAGAAGTTCATCCTTTTCAGACTTTATCTGAAGTGGAATCATTCTACACAAGGAACATTAGAATACTGAAGGACAAATATGGTGTTCTACTTCTGTTGTATAGTGTTATTCTCAGCAAGGGGATCTCTGTAGTAGAGGCGGAACTTTCAGAACTGTCAGATCCCTTAATCCATTCAACGTATGGCTATGGTTCACAAGGACTCATTAATTTAATGCTCACTGGAAGAGCAGTGGCACATGTTTGGGATCATGACCAAGTTGTGGGTGGACTTAGGCTGCGTGGCATTGAACAACAAAATGACATTGGATTCCTCACAATCATGGAACACATGCAGTATTGTACTGTTGGTTCGTTTTACAAAAACCCCAAACACCCAGTTTGGGTTTTAGCTTCAGATACACATCTTACAGTTTTGTTCTCTCTCGAGCGACGATTAGCTGCACCAGAAACAGTTGGGGAATCAGCAGAGCGAATTTTTCGCTCCTTTGATCCTGAGGGAAACAATTTTATTCCTTCAGCTGCACTTCAAGATGTACTATGTGCTGCTGACCTTGTTAGTGAACCCGAATATGTGGAATTGATGAGAAGGAAATTAGATTCTGAAAACTTAGGCATAATTTTGCTTAGTGCATTCATGGATGAATTCTTCCCTGGATGTGAGCATGGAGCACCTGATACATTCACGATTCACCATTACAATGGTCTGCTCCGCAGCAACCCTGGTACCCGTGTCTTGTACCGGACTGGACGCGCAGCTCTCCTTGAGTGTCCAATGCGTGCTGCCAGTACAGATGCTATGCTGACGTGTCTGCAGACCAAGTGGCCTAGCATTGATGTAGTATGGGATGATGGACAGTCTCCGTCTCTTAACTAGCAGGAGGCAACACTTGACGACCGTTGCTTGGAACTTATACTGTGACTCAGTGAAGAATGCGTCAAAAGTACCTTTAGATATGTTAAAATATGTCGCTGAAAAATTCCATTACTTTATTGTATTAACTTATGTATAAAAAATTGTATTGGATGGTTTGAATTGAGGCTCCACATGGATGTGTCTCGCACTGATATAGACAGCTATTTTGCATTAATTTGTCATCCTCGAGATGCCAGTGTATGAGGTGTGAATGTAACACCACCGCATCTTATGTGGTTCACTCAACCTTCTGTGAGAGCTGACACGTAAATAATATCAGTACTATCTTGTTGTGAGAATAGCTCCAAGCTACTTGTGTATATGAGTGATCTGATAAATTAAGCAATAAGCTTTAGAGAGATTTTAAAGGATAGTGTAAAATATAATTTTACAATGCTCTATTTTTTGTTAAATGGATAATTGTTTTATAAATTTGGACCGTTGCTGATAAACCGATGTTCGTGTTACGATTAGGTGTGATGAAAGTTGCTTTAGGTCACGTTTATTTACCTACATATAGAAAGTCATGCTACAATATTAATTTCTAGATTACATTTGCAGTGACCTGTGTTTTTGCTGACTTGTACACAGTCCACACACACACTAACACACACACACACAGCTATATGTAGGAACCCAACCCAGGCAACCCACACTCTTGCACTTATCTGTCAATATTTCTTTAGACATTGTTTTTGTTATTGTTATGATTGGTTTTACTTTCCTGCAAAATCCTTGACACACACATGGGAGCAAAACTATATATTGTTTATGTACTATAACTGCCACACACAGATGTTATTACTCAAAACATTAGCTTTCAATTTAATATTGATACACTAGGAAAGTATTTCATGTACTTGTAACTATTAGACTTAATTGTGACAAGCCATCCCATGTTTTTGACACTTTGGTGAAGAGCTAAATATATACATCTCGACAATACTGTGTAATAGTGTATGCTATATTATTTATATAAAATATATCTCAATGATTCTGAAATATTTTTCAGTATTTTTATGGATTTAGCTACAACGAGATGCTTTCAGACCTGAATGTGTTGTATTAACTTCTATCGGGTTGTGTCAACTTAACCCAATGTACCTGAATCGAGTCTGCTTGTAAAATATGGAAGCATTCTAAATGTTTTTTGTATGTATTAAAAGTGAAATTTTTATTTATGTGAACCATTAGGTGACTGATGTTGCGTGGAATTCCTCTGGGAAGGATTCTTTTGTTGACATGTTGGTTAATTTTTGACTTGATTCATACACTTTGTATACTTTTTTTATAATTTAATTTATATTTTATCTGAAATTTTAAATACATTTGTTCAAAGACATTGCTAGCTATTAATTAGCAGACTGCCGAGTTCCCCACTGTTGCACGAGTGATATCGTGTCTGTCATTATGTGGTGGGTAGTAGTTTCAACCGCCTGTCTCTCAACATGGTACATATAGTCTTATCTTTGATTATAATTTAGTGATTATATTTGTATTTCTGTCAGGTTCATGTAAAATAGCTGTGCACATTAGTGTCGCATTATAAAGAGTATAATATTGAAAGATATTTTCAGTTAGTCATAAATAGTGTAACATGCTTTTTTAATTACAATATGTGGGTTTTATTTTTGTTTGTCACTTTTTCTAGACCTTTCTGTGATTTTACTCTGTGGTTGCAAATCAAAACGTATCGATTTCAATCGATAACTGATCTTTGATAAAACGGTATATGTCGTATATAGGTAATCATTATTATACCTAGCCAGTTTGCTTGGGTAGAATACAAATTATGATTTGTATTCTACCCAAGCGAACTAGACTACCTAACCTATCTATTCTATGTCAATATCTGACCTTGCCGCATTTAATGAAAAAATTCAGAATGTTCTCTTTATAAAAGAAGGAAATTCACTTATTATAGAAACGAAGTCCTAACGCTTCTTGAAGACATACTAAACTTTGTATGAACTATTAAATGAGAATTCCTAAAACTTGTTAAATAAGAAAACATTTACTGTATACTATAATATAAATAAGAAAAAAAAAACATTTTTGATAATTACCGTTTTATCGGTTTTTTTCCTATGATGATCGGTTAGTTACGGTGTAACATTGCAACACTAGCTTGTTTACCAACATTGAACTTGTCAAAAACGTCAAGTCTTATTTCATTGGATTGAAAATTATGTGGTGAAATTTACTTTTGAATATCTCGAAAATGGCTAGAGAAGATACAGAATTCAAGAAATATGCCACAGAATATGATCCTATTAAAATTGGTTCCATTGATGGTGAGTGTGTTATCTGTGACAATAGATTTAAGTATTCCAGTGTATAACTTTCTTTTAAAAGTTCTGATATAATTCTAGGATTATATCAGAACTTTAAAAATACGTTATGTACAGTACTAGTAACTGTACATGTAATTTTATCTTTGATTCTTTCCTAACTAATTTTAAATTTCTTTAGAAAGTTTCGATATAATTCTTTAAGTACACGTGCGCAAATTAAACTGCTTATTTATTTAGGAACGGACGCGGAACCTCACGATCGCGCAATTCTCCGTGCTTTACACTCTGAGTACAATCCTAGCAAACTAGCAAAAGGAAACCCAAACCATACTCTTTTCGTAGGAAGACTCAATCCTAGAACTACAGAAGTAAGTAGAGCTATTTATGGGTTAAATGTTAGGACGAGCTTTATTTTATGTGACATCTCTTATTATAAGTTTGTTTGTAAGGATTTTGTTGCATGTTTAGCATTTAAGACTTTCTTGGATTATGTTTTCTAGAGGTATACATATAACACTATAACCCTGAGGGACCTATGTCCACTGCCAGCTGGTGAACATGGTAGATCTCTTGCATGGTAACCTTTTCCGTTTAAGGCATGCAAACAGCTTTACCACCATAAAATGTTTCTGGGTCTATAAAGAATACTCATAGTGCATAGGATTATTTTATTTTATATACTTTAATTAGTATAGGAATATAATATTTATATATATTTTTTTAGAACAAAATATTTTATTTCAGTAATTTTAAAATTATATAATTGTGAGCTTTTTTTAATATAAGACAATTTTATATTTGTAAATGTTAAGGTTACCTGCCTGTTAATAATTAAAACAGGCTTTTAAACTAAAAATAAAATATTATAATACAATTAAAATAGTTACAATATGAGTTCACTTAGTTTAAAATTGGTTCAACAGCCTTTACCACTGCTTGGCATAGGCTTCTCCTTAGCTTCCTGCGAGAAGTGGTTGAGGGCCTTTTCCCACAACGAGCGGAACACACTCCCCCGGCGATGGCCTCCTTGGCCGGAGACGACGGGGAGCACGGGGAGCACGGGGAGGATAATGTTCCGCCCGTCCGGGATTCGGAGGTAGGGGCGGCTGTTCTACGGATCCGTTCCAAGAACACCGCCCCTGGGCCAGACGGGGTACCGGCCCGAGTGCTGGCCCTGGCCCTCAACCACATGGCAGACCGCCTCGGGGAGGTGTTCGACGCTAGCTTGGCGTCGGGACGCTTCCCTGAGTGCTGGAAGAGCGGGAAGCTGGTCCTATTAAGGAAGCCGGGACGGCCTGCCGATTCGGTCGCGGCCTATAGGCCCATCGTGCTGCTGGACGAGGCGGGTAAATTGTTTGAGAGGGTTCTTTCTGCCCGCATCGTCCGGCACCTCTGCGAGGTGGGCCCCGATCTGTCGGACGCCCAATTTGGTTTTCGGGCGGGGCGTTCGACAGTTGACGCCGTGACCGAAGAAGCCGTGAGCTGTGGCGGCGTGCTGTTGGCGGTGTCATTAGACATCGCCAACGCATTCAATAGTCTGCCATTCAGCTGCATCAGGGAAGCACTCCACTATCATGGGGTGCCAAAGTACCTGAGGCGGCTAGTGGCAGACTATTTAGAGGAGCGTACCGTCGTGTACGAGGACCGAGAAGGTAATCTGAGGTGTCGGCCCATGTCGTGCGGTGTTCCACAGGGGTCTGTTCTTGGACCCCTCTTGTGGAACATAGGGTACGACTGGGCCCTTCGCGCCGATTTCCCCCCCGGGCTGGGTGAAATCTGTTACGCACACGATACCCTGGTGACAGCCCGGGGGGCAAACTTCCAAGAGGCGGCGCGCCTGGCCACAGGGGGAGTCTCCCTGGTGGTCAGGCGCATTGAGGCGCTGGGCTTACGGGTGGTCCTAGATAAGACGGAGGCCCTGTTATTTCATGGGCCCTGTCGTGGTCCACCCCCTGGCGCCTCAATCGTGGTCAACTCGGTCCTCGTACCGGTCAGGCCCAGATATTTCATCTGGGCCCGATCCTCGACGGGAGGTGGCTCTTCGACGAGCACTTCCGACAGCTTGCTCCAAAGCTGGTCGGCGCTGCGTCTGCCCTAGGGCGACTTTTGCCCAATATGGGTGGACCCAGCGTCGCGACAAGACGGCTGTACACGGGGGTTGTCCGGTCAATGGCACTGTACGTTGCACCGGTGTGGGCGGCGGCTCTGACCGCCCAGAATAGGGTACGCCTCTGGCGCCCTCAGAGGGTAATGGCGGTCAGAGCCATACGCAGTTACCGCACCGTTTCGACGGAGGTGGCATGCGCGTTGGCCGGAACTCCCCCGTGGGATTTGGAGGCGGAAGTGCTCGCCGAAGTTTATCGGCGAGTGGCTGACTCCCGGACGGAGAGCGGATTTCGCCCTCCGCCCGAGGATGTGCGCGAGTGGCGCGAAGCCGCTCGCCGAGCCACGATGGCTCGTTGGTCGTTCCGGCTGGAGACTCCACGCGCTGGCTTCGCCGCCGTGGAGGCTCTCCAGCCGGTCATCGCCGAGTGGGCAGGGCGGCAGCACGGGTCCCTTTCCTTCCGGCTGACGCAGGTGCTTTCCGGGCACGGTTGCTTCGGAAAGTACCTGCACTCGGTCGCTAGGAGGGAACTGAGTCCCGCCTGCCACCACTGCGACTGCAGTGAGACGGAGGGACGGGGTGGGTTTCCCCTCCACCCGCATTAGTTTGGCCAGCCGCGAGGGGGCGGCGTCCGCGTGTGCCGGACGGCGCCTAAAGAGAGGAACAACATTGAGACGGAGCCCGCACCAGGAGCGGGCTGGCGCTAGGAGGGGTCCGGATGTCTTAACAACAGCTGTTCCCGGATCCCTCCTGTTACAGGCGCAGAGTGGCACACCGTGTGGTTTTAGTCGGTCCGAGTCCGACACACCACCCCGCCGCAAACCCCGGAGGGGTGACGGTCCGAGGGGATTTCCACACGTTAAAAAAAAAAAAAAGGCTTCTCCTTAGTAATATTTGGTAGCTTAAAGTATATATACTGGGTCTACCAATAGGGATGACCTGGTTTTGACAGCTAATAGCGGCCATGTTTGATGATGGATCTTTGACGTCTCTTGACATTTTGTTCAGTAAGGTTTGCCATTTTATCATGTCACGTTTCACTTTAAACCAACGCTTGGAAATTGTCCAAAATTATTACGCAAATTCGCGTTCTCCTACCGCTACAGTAAGAGCGCTTCGCGCAAAAAACGGTCGTCATAGTGCTCCTGTGCGCGCTATAAATCGCATAATAACAAAATTTGAAATCGAATTCACTCCACGATACTGCTGTGCCTGTGAGACAAAGAAATGCCGAAGAGAATATCGCAGCCGTTCAGGCCAGTGTTGATGCGAATTCAAATCGATCAGTTCAACGCCGTTCACAAGAGTTGGGGCTCTCTCCAAAGACCACCTGGCGTATTTTGCGGTTTAATTTGGGCCTACACCCATACAAAATTGTTTTGGCACAAGAATTTAAGCCATCCGACCATTGTATCCGTCGTGAATTTGCCGATTATGCACTGGAAATGATGGAAGCCGATGACGATTTTCATCGTTAAATCATCTTCTCAGATGAGGCCCATTTCTGGCTCAATGGATTTGTTAATAAACAAAATTGTCGCTATTGGAGTGAGTCAAATCCACGTGTGATTCATGAATCACCATTGCATCCACAAAAAATAACAGTTTGGTGCGGTTTATGGTACAGTGGAATGATTGGTCCGTACTTCTTTGAAAGTGACGAAGGAAACCCTGTTACTGTGAATGGCAAGCGCTATAACTCGATGTTAACCGAATATTTCTTTCCGGAATTTGATGATATTGATGCAGACGACCTTTATTTTCAACAAGACGGTGCACGACCTCACATTACTCGAGTGAACATGGAATTATTGCGTTGGTGTTTGTTTGATGTTTGGTGAGTCGTTAATTTCGAGAAATGGACCGATCAGTTGGCCACCAAGATCGTGTGATTTAACACCTTTAGACTATTTTTTTGGGGTCACGTTAAATCTAAAGTGTACAGCAATAATCCAGCTACAATTCGTGACCTAAAAACCAACATTCGACGAGCCTTAGCCGACATACCGGCCGAAATGGTGCACCGCGTCATTGAAAATTAGCGTTAGCGGGTGACCGTCTGCAAAAAGAGCCGCGGCGGTCATTTGACCGATATATTATCTATACTAATATTATAAAGCTGAAGAGTTTGTTTGTTTGTTTGTTTGTTTGTTTGAACGCGCTAATCTCAGGAACTACTGGTCCGATTTAAAAAATTCTTTCAGTGTTAGATAGCCCATTTATCGAGGAAGGCTATAGGCTATATATCATCACGCTAAGACCAATAGGAGCGGAGCACCAATGAAGAATGTTTCAAAAACGGAGAAAATTTATTACTATTGAGAGACGCAGACGAAGTTGCGCGGGTCAGCTAGTTTAAAACATAAATTGCATAAAATTATACATCAAATAAATCAATCGGATGCATTTTTCATAAAAAAATGTGTGTTTTATTCAATTTTTAAACCAGGACGTTCTTAATAATAATAATAATAACTTTATTGAACTTCAATTCCTTTGTTACAATTATACAATCCAATAAACATATTATAACCGTATGAGGTGTACAAAGTAGACCCTGCCCACCAAACTAGGTATTCCTGTAACTTGGAAGACAGTGTTCCGCTAATGGCTCGTTTACGGTATTTCATTATAGGTATTTTACATTTATGTCGAAATTTTTAATGTGTATATGTGTATGTGTGTGTGAGTGAGTGAGTGTGACTGTGAATTAATGTGTAATTAGAAGGTTGTGGATCTGTGTTGTGGAAAATATTGGTAGACCCCATATATACTAAAGTAAATATATAAGTACTTATATATATATATAAGCCAGTTTTATTTATTAACAGACCGGTAACCATATCAATAAGACGCAATTAATATGCATAGGAATTATTATCAAACAGTTTATTACCTACCTAAAAAGTGCATTAATGTTATTAAATAGTAGTAGTAGTAGTTAATAAATAGTAGTAGTTCTAAAGAAAATTAGCATCAGTAAAACCTTTTTACTGATCAGGAATTCTTTAAGAACACCCAATTAGGTCGATATGTATGTTAAAAAAAATAGAATACAACTCACATATAATAATAATTCCACAGGACACAATAAAATCCGATTTCGCACCATTTGGAAGAATAGTCAACTGTCGTCTTGTCAGAGATATCGTCACAGGGAAATCTAAACAATATGCATTTGTTGAGTACGAAAACAGCGGCAGTTTGGAGAGGGCTTTGAAAGAAATGCAGAAAGAGTACATCGATGGATCGGAAATAATAGTGGAGCGTGAGGCAGGGCGAAGTATGATTGGCTGGCGACCACGACGGCTCGGCGGCGGCTTCGGCGGAAGGAAAGAGTCCGGTCAACTGCGGTTTGGTTGTCAGGATAGACCTTTTAGAAAACCCTTAATAATAGCAGCGAAGAAAGAGCGAGATATCAAAAGATAATAAATTTGTTATTTTTTATTTGCATGTTGTTTTATTCGCTCTTTCCATTTAAATCCCCTGACTCCCATGCCCCCAGAGGATTGTAAAACACTCACCATTCGGCTTCGATCCTCTGTGCTAGGGACTCAACAAGTAAAAAAAAAAATTGCCTTTTCAGTCCCCTCTAAAAATAATAAAAGAAAGTTACTTTTAAACTCCTTGTAAACCAAAAACAAAATGTTGATAAAATATCAATTAAGCATTTTGTATTTACTCCAATTGCGACGCCATAAAACCAAATCATTCTTATATAGTTTTTATGGTGGTATTTGTATTCATCATGTAATAATAGCTGATCTTTACTTACGTTGAAATATTTAAGTATTTTCTTCTTAGACATGTTCAAATAAATATAGAATAATATTTTATGTGCCAGAGGAGACGAATTAGTTTCGTTTGTACCAATTATGGCCTCTGGTGGAAGATTAATTGCTGCGATAGGATGGCGGCCTGATTTCCCCGGGATAGGGCCTGGCTAGGCGCGGCGTCGATCCCGCGGGGACCTGAAATAACATGGTCCGGGTCCTCCCCATAGCAGGGCGCCTGAGACCGGCTATCGGGGTGGGTTTTAGTGGAAACACCACATACTCCTGGCTCCTGTGTCTCCGAGGAGCCGGAGATCCGAAGGGATTTACCACCCCGTCAACAAAAAAAAAAGGCCACGTACTTAGTGTAAATCCAATTTGAACAGAAAGCTACTGTGATATACTTATTTAATAAAATCACATACAAATCGGTTACTTAAATAACTTAACATTATTATTTTACAAACAATATGCATGTCATACATAACAATAACAAATCTTCGTCTCGTTAGAGTGTACATAGATAGGTAGGTTGTGCGAGTTCATAAAAATATTTCTTTGCTCGTAATGAATTCACTCATTCACAATACCAGTATAGTACAAAGACTCCTCCTCATCAAATATCATCATCAGCCTTTAATTAATAGTCCACGGCTGTACATAGGCCTCTCCCTAGAAAGGAGGCTTTAGCATACTATGCCACGCTGGCCAGACGGTTTAGTATAGTTTGCGTCAAGTTTTTCTTCTCCTTGTAGTGCTGTTGTCCTGCGTTGTTTGCTCACTTAGTCGGCTCTTACGACATCCACTGAATGAATAGGCGAAATGACACTCCGTATTTCAAAACACGAATCAAGACCCCCACTACTAAAACGAAAAAAGCTTTGACTAATAAAAGATTACAAACTAAAACATTAGAAGAATAATCTTTTGTGCTGCGTGTAGGTATATAACACAGCTTACACAGCGCTTGTTTTTGTACATGCACTCACTTATAGATATCCATAATAATGCAAACAGACTGGGGTCAACAGAACATGTGTTCTTGTGGCGACTTCCACATACAAAGAAACAGAAACATACTGCAGCTCCACTTAACGAAGACACACCGAACACAGAGTAACTCCTGAATAAGAATTGCTATTCCTGTATCACGATATGAAGAATTATCTCGCATTTAAACAAACTTTCCAACATCAACCGTTGGGCCGCGCCCCGCCAGGCATGATCACCTCGTCTGGTCGAAGGATCCTCCCTTTGTGTTGGAGGAACACGACACCCGTTCCTCCACACTCTTTACAATTCGCTTTGGAGGAAGGTTTTTATGTTGAAATTAGCGCCTTATCTTTTTGATCAGTTTTAGAGTTGTCAGTACTAGTGTTTTTTATGAGCCATGCACACAAAAATCATAGGACATCGATACCAATGTCGTAACGTCGCAGACAAATGCGCTGCCGCGTACTTAACAATATTAGTAAAGTCTAAGAGAACTCATAAGTAGCAATCAATATTTGACATGAATATTTTTAAATATTGATTGTGTAAGTGTCAATAAATTATTTTTTTGTTCAGTACCTATTATTAAATAAGAGAAAATAAAACCCGACCAGGTTGTATTCGGTTTTCGGTAGACTTTATAAACATTGAAGTTAGTTAGTACATGAGCATTATGTACAATGATCTCATTGGCCGTGTCCGATAAACATTGATAAAGATCAAAAATGACAGATGTGAAATAATGTGTGATGTGTACTGCAAGGAAGTCAAGGGTTGGTGTAAGTCCTTCACGCGTATAGAGTCGCTCCTCACGGCCCTAGAAGTTCTGCTGCTGTTTGTGCTTATAGGATTAGTGGCATTTTTGATACTTCACTTGATAGCTTGTTCGAGTGAACTGGAAAATATTAACCAAGAAACACTTGAGACCGGTATACAAGCGCCTTCTTCATCAGAGACACCCGACACAAAAAGTTCATATGTTTCAGATGCTGATGTCACTGCATATTCAAGTGTCAGCACTGCCACATTGTCCCCTGACATCGAGTGTACCTGGACACCTTCTGTAAAAACCGAGGCACTTACACACTATTATTGGACCCCCGGACAAAAATATGCTAGTGATCAGAAAATAGCGATTGAATCCCCAAAATTCTCTAACGTGCCTGTAGATGATGATATCAAGCATAACAGGGATTCAAACGGCCACCATGCCTCGCAAACATACAAGAATTATGTCGCGGCTCTGATTAAATTAAAACCTCCAGAGGATGTGACGTTCGGGTGCATCCTCACTAAAGTGACACAATACTGGACGCTGACAGCAGCAAGTTGTATTGAATCAATTGAGGAGGTGGAATCGCTGGACTCATTCTTTATAACGGATTCTTATGGAACGACCAAGGAAGGTAACAGCCACGCGGTGGTGGAAGTGCGGATCCATCCGCTGTACCAAGGCGTCAATCACAGTTATGATCTTGCTGCACTGCGCAGCGAGACTGTTTTAATTCCCAGCAAACAGCTCGTGTTGCGAGTGCCCACCCTACTGGAGTATTTCGTAGTGGCCGTTGGAGAGAGATTCACTATACTTGGCTATGGAGGATATAGGTATGTATACTCCATAGTAAGAATATTTTTGGTTTGTTTGTTTGTATCTCACAAGAAACAACACAACAACTCACCATTAACTGTATCCTACAGGTATAGTACACATACAATCCATAGTTCTGTGTCTTAACACAACTATTTTATATGCTTCCTTATTAAATAAATACGTACGTATACTTTTTTTTTAAAGATAGGGATAGGAGTTGCTTAGTGTTAAGTGGATCATGACTTCATACTGTTTTGCACGTTTTCAGATCCTTAGACAGGAGCTCAACTGGTCGCCGGTTACGTGAAGTTTCAACGTATACAGTGTCGCTGACACAGTGCGCGGACGAAGGGAAAGACGTGTGGTCACTACGGCACCTTTTAAGAGGCGGTGAATTGATGGCGGGCTCGTGTGGCGCCAACGGAGAGGGTGCATGCGGGGCGTTCTCACTGTGCGCGGGCTCGATGCATTCTCGCGCCGCGCCGTGCTCCTACTGCGGTGGCACACCACTATTGCGTGACGGGAAACTATTTGGTATTATGGCAAAAAATCGACATTGTGGCGTGGCGTGCGAGCCCACACTTTACGTCAATGTTGCAGCTCTAAAAGACTGGGTGGACTCGATCGTATCCACATAATTATTTATAATTGCACTGTGTGTTACATTTATCTGTTACCTACCAGGCTCTTTTCACAACCACAGACAAGGAGAAAATAAAAGCAGTATGCAGAAGTGACAACAGATGTCGAAAAGAACTTGCGACTCAACATTAAGAATTTATACAAGTTATTTATATATTTTACATTAATAATTGAACTTAGTAATTAAAAGATAATTATAAATTTGATATAAATAATTTAAAATTAGTGAGAAAAAAATTCAAAGTAAATCAGCACATCACACATATGAGATCATTAAGACAACAGACCTGTTCAGCTCGTCACAGTGTGTGCCAACAAAGCCCTGGTCGTGATCTCGCTGGTGATGGCAGCCTTTATAGTCTGCACCATCGGCGCGGCCGTTATCCAAATTATGGCAGTCCTCGAAGATGGGAACAACAATGACACCATAACTTTAGATGACTTCCCGTAGTTGTACGAAATGTTATTTCCAAATTTCTTTCAAGTGAAATATATAAAGTATCGTTGCTATTCTTATTTCGTTCTCGCCTTTATCATTCTTTCTTCCAAATCAAGCAGTTTTGCGCTGATGTGTTCTGGTGCCGATGTGATCCGCCACTTTGTTACTATCGTATCACACATACTATAGTGTAGGAGTGGTGTTATTTACTGTTTGGTTGACACAAAATAAGTTGATTAGCTACGAGGTTTTTTGTCCTTTATATTATACTATCTTTGCTTTGCTTTGCTGTTTTAAAAAGACAGTTCCAGCACTAGGAATATATCCTGTGGCGCGGGGGACTTTACAAACATACATGAACCGGACACAAAAACACCCAGACTCAGGACAACATTTTGTGGATCACACAGTGTCGTCCCACGTGGGGATCGAACCCACAACACTCAGCGCACTAGTAAGCGGCGTGGCGACCGCCTAAACCACTACGCCATCCGTGTAGTCGTCGTCTTCTAGAGGGAGGTAGCGTTTTATTAGAAAAGTCATATAGTCATATATTGTCATTATTGGAAAGTACAAAAATAATAGTTTCTGCTTAATATATGAAAGCTCTATACGCCAGCTGCTCCAGCAGCGGTGCTAAATGTTACAGCATGTGAAAGTCGATAAAAATTAGCTCGTACTAGAATTTGTACATTGACTCACGGTCTTAAACATTTAAAGTTAAGGTAGGGGAGCCCAAGCAGGGATGTTGGAATTTACTCAAGCGCGCAGAATTACACACTTCGCCAGAAGGAGGGTTATCATTTTCGAGTGTTCGTACGTATATAGGTATTTTTCTTTCGCATGCTCTGTAGCCTAAACGGTTTAATGAATTTTGGTTAGGGAAAAGAGGGGAAACCTGTACCTTGCTGAGTAGGTACTCTCACCATATCTGAAACCTTTACATAGGCTCGAGCGTCTATTAAGGCAAAGTAAGTTATTTACATTCAGAAAAGGTGCATTTCGAAAATCTGTCAATTTGAGTATGACAAGGAAATGGGAGTGTCACAAAGCTGCAAAAAAAACGTGTTCGGCTCGGGACGCCCGATAGAAGTGATAATTTAAACTAATCTAGGTTGAACTATTTAATATTGAAATTGTTCAACTTGAGAAAAGCTTAGGTTATTACTAAGCGTCTGTTCGAAATACGCCTAGCGCTGTGGGTTAGAGTGATAGAGGAGGGGCATTTGAAATAATAATAAAATTTACGTCGGAAACATAAAAAAAATCAAGAAGGTTTTAGAGTTTCGTAGAAGTAAACCGGTTTGCATAAAATCCCGCAACACACTTGCATGATGTAGATTTTTCAGACGCAATATCAATACACCACAGCACCGCAGTGTTATAAACTATTCGCTGCGATTAAAATACGGTCTGATTTTCAAAACCAACAGAAAAATGCAGCGATATGTGATAGTACTTACTCTTTCTTCGAGGTAATGTGAATAATAAAGATTTCTAGTTTCCGGTTCTCAACAAAAGAGAACAGCAGACTGCGAAAGATTTGAAAAACATTAAGTTCAAAGAGGCTTGATCTTGTTAAGTTTTTATCGATCATTGGGCTGATCAGGAGATGGCTACGATTATCGGTAACAAAACAATACATGTGTAACACCAACCGCCAGGGCTTTAAGATCAATATTAAAGCTAATTCAAGGAGTATCAGTACAAATTGCAAACGAAACTGACAACTTAAACAGGGCTAAGCATGAAGTGGAGTTTGATCGAAACCCTTACCAATATTCTAGAAATATCTTTAAAGAGAAGCGCGGACAACTGCTTCTAACGGCCGACCAGATCTACGAAAAACTAAAACTACATACGAGGTGCAAACACATGATATAAGCCCTCGTTTCTTTGATGGTAACCCGCCAACCAGAAGAAGTAGATATCCAAATTAGAAAGAAAAATTCCAAATCAGTTCCAGGGCCTGATGGTATACAATTTATAGTATATAAAAATGACCATCAGTGCGTAAACATCAAGTATATTCTGCAAGATCTGAAAGAAATACCAACAGCCTTTGGAAAAGCTAATATTGTCCTCATTCGTAGGAAAAGTGAAGTAATAGGAACCCAGGGACACTATGTAACAGTTATTTTTTTGTACATTTGTAATGCGTACGGTCTTGTTAAAAGCTACATCTATTAGCCGCGTTGCATTGTTGTTGATTTATCTAAGGTAGTTTATAACTACAGTTTTGATTTTCTGTGTTCACTGATGTTAAATGTCAAAGTAAAATGTTGAGTAGGGATAAATTCTGGAAGCTTCGTTAACCGAAGATATATAAGTCCGGCTTTCTGCCACGGGAGACACTGCTATCTCGTGCCTTCCGATCTTATATAGTGTTTTGATTGCTGTGTGATTTGATTTTCTTAATATATTATCTGTTCAAAAGTACCCACACTAAAGTGGTGAGTATGATCTTAATTCTACTTAAACCTATTTGTTTCTGGAACCTGATTAATTATATGAGTGCTAATCCATTCGTAGGGTCCCAGATTTCGGGGTCAAGACGGTCAGTCTCAGACGGCGTGCTTGCTCTTTTGTGGCCTTCTGGTTCAGACTCAAGTTTCTCAGTACCCTCTGGCAAAGCTGGTGATTGCGCGGCTCACGACGCAAGCGGACAGCCGTACCCAAGATTTACGTACTTAAACTTATAATTGCAAATTGTTAAACTTTTATCCACATCTAATATAAATAGCCGACTCGGGCGGAAGAGGAAGTAACCTCCTGGAGGGACGACGAGGAGGCACCGAGCACCATCAGCTCGGCTCTAACGCGCTCCGCTGCGGTTTTTTTTTCTTTTTCTTGTACCCACACTGTTTAATTTATTTAATTTCTCATTGTAAATTTGAACTACTTTTTTTTTTGAAATATACATGTATGTATAACTGAGGTGTAAGTTGTTTTCCTCTAAAAAGTCCCATAGGTTTCCCACACGCACACACTTCTATTCTCATACAAGGCGCCCTGAGGTAATCTCTTGAATCTCTCCACTGGGTCAGCCGGTGAGTAGTCCGCCTGAGAAGAAAAGCGGCTACAACTAGACCGATAGCCCTTACCAATACAATTTCTAAAATATTTTGCTCCTATCTTCAATTAAAAATAATACAATTTATGTCAAACAATAATTGCTTCAGACCAAATTACCAGAAAAGGTTCATGTCCGGAATCTATGGATTTCTGGAACACAACTCATTGCTTGCGGAAAGTCTCAAGATGTAAAGGCAAATTACAGTCTGTTGGATGGATTTAGAAAACGCCTTTGGCTCATTATGACACGAGCTCATGTTATTTGCCCTAAAATGGTATAACTTGCCGCCAATAGTTTGTGAAATAATTGCATCATACTACAGTAAATTAAAATTTGTAATCATAGCTAAGGAGGGACATACAAAACCCCCCCGAATACAGAGTAGGGTTGTTCCAAGGTTGCTGCTTATTACCATTAGTATTTATACAGTTATAAATATATTATGTAATAGACAATATCGTAACATACGAAAAGAGGGGGGGCTACCGGTTTAAGGTCAATGGAAATATACGGTATCCATCTCAGCATTCGCAGACGACCTTACAATCCTCACACGTAACCCGAAGCAGTGCCAAGAACTACTACGTAAGGTGGATGACTTCTGTACCTGGACGGAAAGTGTTCCAATAATATCAGAAACCGTACCCTTTAAATTCCTTGGAAGAAAGACAGACTACAAAACTTTTACTAAATCTATGAACGCATTAGTCGATGACTTCGTAAGAGACATAGAAAAGGTAGATCAACAGACAATAAGTAATGTAAAAAGAGCTTGGATTTACGACAACTAGTTAACATCACGTCTTAACTGGTCGTTTCTGGTATACGATATAAACCACTTAGAACACTGGACGCTAAAGTTACTAAGACATTGAAGTCGTGGCACGGACTAGCAACATCTGCAGATCCGTCAACGTTGTACAGGGGCTCAAATAACTTTGAAATGAAATAAAAAAGACCTTCGGAACTCCACAAACACCTAAGAGTTACCAAAATGCATGTCTTGTCAAAATTACAAGACAAAAGACAAAAATTCATAAGAGCTCGAGTCACGGCCCCATTTCACAAGAAATTCATGGGACATCAAAACGAAGCGTCTGTATAAATGATCTGACGCACTCGAGTATTTCAATGTCAGGATTCCTTTTTGCATTTTCTAAAAATCGACCATGGGTTTTGGTTGCGTCCAAATCGTCAGTCGTCCCTTTTCAATAGGAGCTACTTGAGGGTTCACTAACATCCCTTGTCAATATCTGACGCACTCGTATAAATTTTTATTTTTCCTAGTTTCTACCTCCTCGTACGGCCACCCCCCCACCATGCAAATCAGCAGAATAATATTTCACTGTTATCAGTAACACGTGGGGCGCATACACTATTAATATCTGACGCGCCAAAGTATTTGTTTCCGACTGTTTTTTTTTACATTTTTTAAATCCTGTAAATGCACAGGGCATTTACCCTTTTTTTTCCTATTTTGCAATTATCTTAACAATCCAATAGGTCCTTATGACGCTCGAGTAAATCCCTATTTAGCCTCTTGGGCTCCCCTATTATTACAGCTGATAATATTCTATAAGTCTAATTATGTGACCAGATAAGTGTCATAAGATATGAAACTAGTTTATACTTGCACAATTTTTTTAGGATCACCTACGCATCTGACGTAGAACCCCCCCCCCCCACTTCAATACACATTTTATTTCTAAATGATCTGATCACAGCATGATGCAGCATGTGAAAGTCCATTTCTATCGACTTTCACATGCTGCAATTAATAACTCCACCACGGGTGCAACATTCAAAATAACTTTCTGAATAAAATTCCCAAAAAAAATTGGTTGCCTGTAAAGTCGGTATACGGGCGAAAGTTATACGTGACAACGACTATGTCTGTCTCTCTCGCTCTTAGGCGGGCTAACCATGCCCGATTGGAAGGGACGCGTGCCTCTCACTCGCTCTCATTGTGAGCGGAGCGTAACGCAGTTTCTTGAAGTGTCACCCGGCAAACCAATTTATAAGACGTTGTCACGTCAAAAATCATTGCTACCTCCCCTGCCTCGTCCGAATGTAGATTTTGTCTGTCGATTCACTATCCTTGAAACTTAAAAAGAAGTGTCTATGGCCCCCTGACTGCCGTGAAAGAGCCATTTGTGATCTAGGGATATAATAAAATAACCTGTGATAAATCTAATTATATAATTTATAAATCATATAAGCACACCAGTGGCTAATTTACAAAAATCAACCACCACAAAGAATTTTCATTGCATTCATCTTTGTTTATGACCAAATAACAATCACACATGAAATTGCAGTGACTAAAACCAATCTTTACATCATATGATTTTGACGTAAAAGTTGTAATAATTTGCATGTCTTGCCGGCTCGACCAGACTGGTACCACGGCCTCATAGAAAACCACCAGTGGTTTGTCCACAACATCACGGTGCGGTGTCGCGGCGCGGCACATCGGCGTGACCACGGTGATAGTGTTACTGTACTCTGTGCCACAGTGCAACCTGGTGGAAACGTTAGGCATTTCAAAGGTGTGTACTTAATACTAGCCTAGAAACCGTAATTATTTTTTTAATTAACTATATTGAATAAAGTCACTTGTACTTCAAAAATATATTTTTATTTACTTTAAAAAAAAATGATAACAAAATAAAGAATCTTGAATATTACATCATCATCACATCAACAGCCTTTAACAGTCCACTGCTGGACATAGGCCTCTCTTTAGAAAGGAGGTTTTGGCCTACTAGAATATCACATAATGCTTTAATTATGTATATTGTGTAAGTGTATTTATATTTATTTATTTATTTTCCTGTGTAATATGTTGTGTACGTTTGAAGCCGTGTTTGTGTTATGTTTCCAGAGTTATCAGATTATCAATAATTTCGAAAATCTTTGAATATTTCTTTTATCCCAAAATTCCATATGGAATTTCTACAAATGTTAAAAAATAAAAGATAAAATAGTAAAACACGTGATAAGCATAACATAAACATTTATTTAAATATTTTCAATAAGTTTCGAATCATCATATAATACATTGCAATCTAGTCGCGTCGCCGACGCACCTCCCTCCAATATACATATATAATGACACTACGCTGCTTTATACAAACACGTCTCACTAGCGCTACAAGAGTTACTAAGGCATTTAACATTTTATACAACCTGTCGGCTTCACACGAACCGTTCGTAAATATACACGACGAAATAACGAAACGTGACGACACCAGCCATTGACTACCCGCAGAGTCGTCGCGAGATAAAACTAAACGCATTTATTGCATCAGATTTTAAATCGAAATGTAAGCCCCAATATAAACACCTAACGACCGCTTACATTATAGGTATTAAAAAAATAAATGAATAACATAATTGATAAAATATAACAGAAATTATAAATTTAAATAATACATTTTTAATTTTTCACAATTGATGAAATACCATAAGTTTACCCTTCCATAATTAAATAAACACTTCATTTTTATTGATGATGGTTGCACTAATGTATTTCGTGTCAGTGTACCGCCTGACACCGAAGTGACAGGTTGCTTTACGCCTTGAAAAGGGGTCCAGGTGGAGCCCGAATCTAACCGATCATTTCCGAAATACAAACGTTAGTGCAACCGTCTGTCTTCAATAAATATGAATACCACTCACAGATTTTTTTTATCCTAAACTGTTTTAACTTACTAAAGATGAGTATAAAGAATGAGAAAGTAAGAGATGGAGACGAGCAATCACTTTACGAGTAGAGAGTACAGCACTAATTATAAGTTGTTTTTTTTAACAAAATGTGTTCGTTAAGTGTTATTTTTCGAGCCCTGTGTTTCACACTTAATTTTAGCAATTTTAAATTCAAACTGACATTGTGTTAGGTCGGTAGGGTCCCGGGCGCCGGTGAGGCCCGGGGTCCGTCACTACACAACTAATTTACTTAGTTGCCAAGTGGCTCGTCTGACTATCATATTATAATTATGTTTCTCGTTGTTTTCACATAATTTACTTAAAATTATTTAATGTGAATCTGAATTACAGTAATTACTTCATACTTATATAAAAGAAAACTTTCTGGTTTTTCGTTTCAATAAATAAAATATTAACAGACATGAAGTGAGTTATAGATTATTCTGCACTATCGTTACATATAGTCATATTGAATACATTTAAATGAAAAGAAAGAAACAGAAATAAACAAAAGAAATATTATAATACACATGTATGATAATATTTTATTTTATTTGAATGAAAAATGAATTAAAGCGCATACACAACGGGACAGTTTAAAGTAATTAATTAAATTCAAACCGTACACAAACATTGGTCAGAATTGGCAGTTTCTTGTAGAACGGAGTCGTCATGAACGAAAAAATTAAACCTTGTGACAATATATATGTCTTGTCCATAGGACATGCATAAATAATCCTTGTTCGAGAAGTTTTTGTTATAAAAACCGGTGTATTGCAGCGAGGCTTGCGTCTAATATCTTTAAGGTTGTATAATTTTTGATCAACAATCTTCACGGTGTACCACTTCAGGGTGAGAGTTGCTTACACTTTATTTTCCCATCTACCACCTAAGTGCTCGGTGTGGAGCAACAGGCTTCCCTCCTACTACATATATGGGACTAACATTATAGTTGGTAAAATGAGGGTGTTTAATACCCCCCCGATCGCATCCACGTACCTACCCCTAGGTAGGTACGTGGATGCGATCGTTAAAGTGGGACACTGTAAAGATTCGATGGTTACATGAACGTTACTGATATACAAATATTTTAATAGGCCTCCAGTCGGTGTGGGTGTCAGCGGAGTGGCGTGTTGATGCCTCTAGCCGCTTTATATTCCGCTGCGGTAAATATCCTCGCCGTTGTCAAGTTTGGATGGGTCGTATATGCTGTTCTGGAATATTAATTACATACACGTTTTAATAATTAGTCATTGTAGATATAATACCAGTAATAATTATATGTCAAAAAATTCTACCGCAGTGGGTGTGGTGTCTTAAAACTACACAGCAGCTAATAATTAACAAATATATTTAAGTGCGAAGTTACGTATAGTGTTTAATTGTATAAAATATTTCTACGGTTTTTAACGTTAAATTGCAGAGTTTTACTTCTTGCAAATGATTAAAAATCACATCTTTGTATACATAATAATTGCTAAGAGTAAAACTGATATGAATTATTCCTAAGAAAACAATTTGAATTTAATTATTTTAATTGTTATTCGTTACGTATAATTTATAAATTTAGTATTCTTTGTTAATACTTTACATTTTACTATCTGTTTCAAACAGACTGTTTCACACAGGCAAACAGACTGTTTCACACGGGCAAACAGACTGTTTCACACGGGCAAACAGACTGTTTCACACGGGCAAACAGACTGTTTCACACGGGCAAACAGACTGTTTCACACGGGCAAACAGACTGTTTCAGACGGGCAAACAGACTGTTTCACACGGGCAAACAGACTGTTTCACACGGGCCGCAGTTACACATGAGACTATGGTCTATCGAATATAAAAGTATCCATAAAAATCTGCCAGTTCTAAAAATTGTTGCGTTTTAAATAAACAAATGAACAAAAGTATTAACTGAGTATTTAAGGATGTACCAAATAGCTACGTCACTACCTGTCAATGTCCGTTAGGTAAGTTCGCATCCTGGCGGCGTGTTGGGAACAAACAACTGTTATTAATTCTTATAAACTAAACACTAATAATTTAATTAAACTAGAAATCTAGTTTAGTTTACTAGAAACTTAGTTTTTATAGAAAAGGTGAAGAATATACATGGTAATATTAAATCAAGGAGACTATTAGATGAATGTGGTATTACCTTCTCTGCGTTTATATTTGGGCTAAGGGTTATTCCAGGATGAAAAGGAGGGATGGATACTTCTATCGCGTCCGGGGGGTCGTCGTGTGGGAGGTCCTGTTTGGTTGGTAAATAATTTTGGTAATTGTGGTGGTTGGTAATTGTGGGTTTATTGGGATGTATAGTTTAGGAGCTGCAGGAGGGAATGGTGAGGTTTTTGTTCCTGATAACTTATATTTTAACAAATAATTTATAATTACAAGTAATTAAACAAGGATTACTTGTTAAAAATATATAGTTTACAGTTCATATGTTCAATTCAAATTTATTTAAATCGTAATTTTTTAATTCGTTTTCAAGTTGACTATTTTTTTTGTAAATCAATATTTTATGTAAATTATTTGACGTTAGAAAATTGTGACGTCACAAGCCGTCATTAAAGTCTGTCGAGTGCTCTACAAAAGCTATCGCCGTCATAACGTCTAATAAAGAGAAACTGTGTAATACACAGTATGTTGTAGCCCTATCGACGAGTGGGCTGTACCTGCGGCAGGGGCTGCGGCACGAAGTAGTTGGTGGGCGCGGTGGTGGGCGGGGGGGGCGGGGGGCCGAGCACGTCGGCGGCGGGGGGCAGCGCGCGCATGGCCGCGCCGCTCGGGTTGAACACGTCCACGTACGACTTCTTTATATCTGCAACGTACACCAGGCACTCGTGGGTCACCCTCACACTCACACACTCACAGACCGACGTAGATTATATAAAACATTCAGGGCCACATTTGTTCACAATATATTCATACACATAATTACCGTAAAAAAAATTACATATTCAATAATTGTACGGTCAATATCAAATGTTTTTAATTAACAAATTAAGTTTTTAATTAACTAATTGCAGAAGAACTGCGTTACGTCTCACGAACCTTAGATCTTGGGCTATTAACATGATAAAAAAAATTTTTTTGAGGAAAATAAACAATTAACAGTAATTATACAGCTTTTATTAATTAGGTACTTCAATACTTAATGATTTAGTTTACCATATCAAAATGCTTTTCTAAAAAGCATATTTTCAATAAAACAAGATTTTATTATATCTAAAAAACTTACGTCTTCCTTTCTGCATCTTGAATATATTAGAGATGGGTGCTTGCGGGGCCATGGGCGGAGCACCCGCCGGAGGGATGGCCGCTTGCAGCGGGGGCGAAGCACTCCTGTAACGATATTACCCTCTTCAACTATTTTGTTGCAATTTCCAACATATGGCAGAGACCGTCACCATTCCGGGACATACTCCATTTAACCTCCCACTTAGCGGTAACTTATACTGTGAGTATTAGAACCTATACTGAACGACTCTCTTATATAAGTACAACAATGTAAATACAAGAAATTATGCACAAAGCTGAAGGATGAAAGGCAATCCTTATCAGTTATGTGCCTGATCGTTGATAAGGACTTTTTAATGGTACAGGGGGGGGGGGACAATCGAACAGACGAGCCACCTTATGGTAAGTGACTACCGCCGCCCATAGACACCTATAATTGCAGAGTTACTATAGTTATAACGTCGGATTATTAGTCTAGATTCGCCAATAGGACTATGGTAATGGACGTTAAGTTTTTTCTTTCTCAGTTAATGCCTATATGCGTCACCTTGAAACGACAGTTGACGTTCGGGACTAAATAATATGACATGTTACGATTTGGACTGCGCGTGAGTTTTCAAATAATAATTTTAATACACAACTCATAAAGATTAGTGATTTGATACGAATAAAAAATAAAAAATACAGGTGTATACTGACTTCATAACGTGCGGCAGGTCGGCAGTCTTGGGCGGAGGGGGCGGCGGCTGGTCGGTCTCGTCGCTGTCGCCGTCCACGTTACGCCACCGCTTCGTGTCCGGATCCCACACGATCTGTCCAAATACATATATAGAAGAAACTCCGACTGTTTAACACTGTTTGTTGATGATTCAAGATATTGTCTATTTATATCACGAGTGTGATGATAGTTTACATCAGCATAATAATAATTAGAGATACATACAACAATAGTACTGTAGTCCATTCGCGTTAAGACAATAGTGACGCATCGATATAACCCCGCCCCCTGACCAATCAGGTGCCAAACTTTCGTACGAAGCGATAATTTCTCTTTTATTGAGTCACTATTTTCTTAACGCCAATCGACTATGTACAAAAAACAAAGAACACGTGTCCTATTTTTAGATATTGTATCAAGACATATTTTATGAAATAATTAGAGAAGTTGCCATTGTTTAATAATTTCGTTCATAATTTATAGTTCATTTTGTATGAAATATCAGAGGAATCAGGAGTTTAATCAACTTATAAATTAGTACCTATTTCAGATAAGAAATCATACGAGAAATTTATATGTCGTAGCTTGTTTACTATATCATAATATTTTATTATATATTTTTCACCGAGAGGTGTAATATTTTTGAAATATAAATGGGATCAACCTTGAGAACAATCAATTTATTTAATTAAAAAAGAAGTATTATTTTTTTCTTAAAAAGAAACGCCCTCATTAGGAATATATCCTGTGTCGCGGGGGACTTTACAAACATGCATGAAACGGACACAAAGAACACCCAGGCTCAGAACAACAATTCGTGGATCAAACAAAGTGTTGTCCCATGTGGGGATCGGACCCACAACACTAAGCGTAGTAGTAAGCGGCGTGGCGACCGTTTAAACCACTACGCCATCCGTGCATTGGTTCACATTCTGCGAGGATATCACAAAGATACGAGATTAAATATTTAAAGTATGATAATATGTGTTAGTAATAATAAAATAAAATATCATAGGTATAATAAAAGACAGATAGAGCAATCAATATTTATTAAATAGATAAATATATAATAATATGAGTTATGCTAAACAAAAGAAACAAAACAAAGAAGTGATTATGTATCATTATTACCATATTTATTTCCTCTATTTCATTTTCAAGAGTCACACATTTTCAAAGTGCTTCTTAAGCAATAACAATACTGAATTCAATATATTTGACATCCCAAATCTGAAGGTACTATGTCTTTTTAGCATTCCAAAATATGGAAATACATGAATAATATAATAACATATTTAAATATATTATTTTCGAACATCTTACTTACAAAATTTAAGTATTTCAAATTGCAGCATGAAACGAATCAAGGTTTAGAAATTTTTTTTAGCATCCAAACTTGAAGTTTAAGTGATTAAAGTTTAAAATCTTTTGTTTTAATTTATTTATTGTTCAAATTTAACTGTCACTATTTCTTTCTATCTACCCTAGTTGTTTACATAAGCGTTGGTACATTATATTTGGATGGTCTAGCGTCACTCACAGAGGGGTTCTTGTCATCGGGCAGGATCATCTGGTTGGGCGCTCGGAGGGACAGCTTGTTGAGTATGCCGCCGAGCCAGCCGCCGCCCTTGTTGTTCTTGGCGTCGCTCTTGCTGCCCTCATCTTTTGACTTGGACTCCTGTTTCTTCGCCGCTGTCTTCGGAGTGTCCGTGTCACGGTCATTCTGTTATGAGCAAAATGATATACGTTAAGCTATATTTAGGAGAAATTAGTGGTACAAATAAAGGAATGCTATTATTTTCTACTAGGAATACGAGGGTCTGTTTTAATGTTAGACGGGGCAGACGAGCAAATGGGTGACCTCATGGAAAGTGACCATCGTCGCCCATGAACGTCTGCAACTCAGGAGTCACAAACGCGTTGCCTGCCTTTTAGGAAGGAGTGCGCTTGAAGGTCGTATCGGTCCGAAAATACCGCAGACGATAACCCGTTTCACAGATTGGTTGTGCGGGGCCAAAGGTGTCTCGAAAAGCGCACAGCAGTGGAGCGCCAACAAAAATTTTCAGGATCAGAATTTTGCCGTGTGGAACGATGGCGGAAAGTTGCGGCTGGTATTAGTCCGAACAATTCCTCGGAGCATTCTCCATGATATATGCGACAGAGAATGCCGAGTGAAGCCACATCTCTACGTAACGCCAAGGGATCGAGCCGATCGGAGATGTTTGGGCTATCCACGATGTGTAATAATTGGATCGCTTCTATATTGCAAAAGACTCGAAATACAGAGTTGGCGATTTGTAAGTTTTAGATAAATAGTAGCTATATTATTCTAGTAAATCGTTCCATTATTTGATAAAAGACGTTCTGGTCTGGACAAAAACTGACTGACTACAACATTACATTTTTAAATAATAATAAATAAAATATCTACCTTTCTTACAAATGGAAATTTGAGTTTATTTATTTTGTTACACACCTTAATTACTTGACTGATTGTTTTGAAATTTCGCAAACATATTGTCAAGGGATATACTCGTAACGTAGGGCTACTTTAACAGATAGATAAATTGATAAAAAACACCAGTTATTTCGTAAAAACATCTTATAATTTAAAAAAAAATCACACCTTAACAGTTAGAATGCAATAAAAATATGTAGTACAGTGACGAGTGTAAACTTACATCAGCACTGGGCGGTCTGTCGTCATCGTAGTCGTAGATTGGTGCGCGGGGCTTGTTGGTGCCCGGCATGGTGATGCTGGGCCGCGCCTCCTCCCCGCCCGCGCCGCCCGCCCCGCCCGCGCCCTGCACGCACACACATATACACACTGTGCGCACGCATGCTACTGCGCACACACTCGAACGACCGACACTGTATATAGGTCCTTAGCATTTGTCTCACCACATATATGTATACACTATTTTATAGTCTAGTTGCACTACTCCAGCTCCCACAGGATAATATAAATAATCCGCCGTTCTTTATATAGGAAACAGTTAGACAACTAAAACTTCGCTCGTAAGTCCGCAATTAGAAATTCTAGGCATTGCCCTTGGATGTTTTTAGCCAAGAAACATTCTCTATATGTTGGTAATTTTATCCAAACGCCCAGTAGTTACACATGTGGAAAATCTACAAACTAACTACCAAAACCCTTATACTTTGCGTTGATTTCAATGGAATTATATTTAGTTATTGGATATTCACAAAATAATTCTGTATTCCCAGCGTTACCTTGAGAACTACTAAACAGAATCTAGCGAATTTTGTTGTTGTGATTTATTGAGCTGAGTGCTGAGTATTCAAAATTCTTTAAAAGTTAAGAGTCACAGTCGGGTAAATGTTGTTTGTTGGTGCTAAGACAAGTGCATATAGAATACGATATACAGGGTGTAAGGGACATCGTAACGAATACCGACATAGTGTATTCAGACCATGATTCTGAGTCGAAAAACAGTGGGTTTTTCTGCCGGAAAATTCATCATTCTTTCATATAATGTTTACTTTTTTTTTGTTTAAAATGTCATTTCACAAGCATATTTCACCGAAAACAAATTAATAAATACCGCATACGGTCAAAAACTGCAATGAAATCAGCAGCCGAAGCGCGCGGGGCCTCCCCTCCGGCCGCCAACTTGTGTTAGCGTGCATAGACTGTTTGCACGGAATACACATGTAGTTATTACTTTTGTGCGGTACATACGGGGAACGACCTTTACCTTTGACAGCTGATTGCATAAAAAGTTTAATTTTCCGGCAGAAAATTCCAATGATTTTCGACTCAGAATGATGGTCTGAATACACTGTTTCAGTATTCGTTACGATTATAAGTCAATAGATTTTTTTTTATATTTAAGGGAAGTTAACATTAGTACAGCGAGGACATTCGAGTGCAATTATAAATAGGCAGTGCAAATGAACACAACATTTAGTGAGAAATATGAAACAAATAATATTTGTGTTTTACAGTTTCTTTTAAACTAGGACACATGAATTTACCAGGTGATCCTGCGTGAAGCTTTCTTTTTCATGTTTTTTATTTAAATAAAGATTTATTAATGAATCCTACATAAGCGGAGTACATAAAGTAGATAAGGATACCTTCTAGTAGGATTCAAAACAAATAATAATAATACTTTAAATGTAAGTCCAAAGCTTTTTGGTTATTAATTTGACTAGGTTGTACGGGTGTTCGTGTTTATTGAACGAGGGATCTACGTAACCCGTACGTTATTTATAGTTTGCTTATCTCACAGTAAGCTCGTGTTAAACGAACTGTAAAGCTATAAATAGTTCTCCAATTACTAGAACCCGGCCGGCGCCATTAAAAGCGGTTAGATTAGTTAATTGAATAATATATGGCGAGAACCGGCCGCGGGCGGAGCGTTCGGTCGGCGCACGTGACGCGGGCGGGACGGGGCGGCGGTGTTAGTGAAACCACTCGTTATTTTACTGAACATTTAATTGCAATAACAATTTTCTACAGTTAGTGAAGTGTGAGAGGTCGCTACGTCACAACGGTAACAAACTAAATGCGTTACAAGCGTATATAAACAATATTCCCGCTGCACGGTACACAGAGGCCGGTTACAATACGTTTTAGTGTTTAACGTTATGAAACTTAATAAATATATAGCAACTCGAAATAAAATAACCATCAGATCAATAAATATCACAGCGTTGTTTTAGGATGAGAAAATAAATACATCAATATAAGCTTTGAACTCAACACGGGGGCGGCGAGGGGCGAGGGGCGCCGGGGCCGAACCCTCGCCGCGAACATGACACTACTGAAGCGGAACTATATGAAGGACACGGGCTCGTCGATGTCGAAAGTCTTCGGGCCCGCCACGTAGTATTTGGCGTCCCGCTCCCGGATGACGGGCAGCGGCCCCCCCCGCGCCACGGGCTCGTCGATGTCGAAAGTGTCCACCGCCCTGACCCCGGCGGCCCGGCGCCGCGCCAATATCGCCTCGAACTTGTCCAGACTCTGCTCGACGGTCCGCCGCAGCCGGCGCCGGTGCTCCTCGTCGTCGAGCGGCGGGCGGCGCGGGGGCGAGGCGCGCTCCTCGGGAGGGGAGGCCGGCTCGTCGATGGGGTACGTGCCGCCGAACACTAGGGGTTTGTACGCGCCCTCCCGCACCACGGTCCGCCGCGCCCACGAGTCCACCGTGTTGCAAATGAGGCGGCCGGCGGGGGGCGCGCGAGCGTAGGGCACCGGCGACGCCGCGCCGCTCGGGGCCCGGGGCGTCGCGGGCCCCGGGCTGTGTGCGATCTGCACGTCGAGGTCGGACAGCGGCGCCCGCGGCTCGGCGCGGGCTCGGTGCGGGCGCGGGGCGGGGGCCGGGGCGGGGGCCGGGGCGGGCTCGGCGCCGGCGCGGCGGGGGAGCAGGCGGCGGCGCAGGCCCGGCGAGCGCTGGAACTGCACGAGCTCCAGCGCGTCGGCGGGGCGCGGGCGGCGGGCCGTGGCGCGCTGCACACGCGCCCACAACACACGTTAGTAGGGTGCGAGTGCGCCGGCCCGACGCGCGGTCGAACCGGACCGACACTGGCGGGGCGGGCGCGCGCTAGCTCCCTACTGACGCTCCGACCGACCGAGCGTCTCGTCCCGTCCGGCTAATAAATAAATGGACGCGAACCGCCGAGTATTTTTTTAACGATTATTAACGTACCGACCGGTTTCGATGTCGACTTGAAACTGTTCGGCTAGGAGCATATTCTCTAACGGCATTAATTCTATAATTAAGAAGTACCCGCCACCTCTCCCGCGATACGTACCTCTCCGTATCCTCCGTAGGAGTGTTCGCCTTGCCAGTAGGGGTCGGCGTACTGCTGGTGCTGCTCCTCCGCTCTCGGCCACTCCTCGTACTGTCCGTACTGGTACTGGTCGTCGATCGGCGGCTGTGGTTGCTGCTGCTGCTGCTGTTGCTGCTGTTGCTGCTGCTGTTGCTGTTGCTGCGAGTGTTGGGGCGGCTGAGTGTAGTACTGGGCGGAGTAGTCAGTCTTGTCCTCGAGAGGAGGCTCGGTGTACGTCGGTACCGGTACTTGTTGGTACTGAGACGCCTGTGTGCAAAATGTATCACTGGTACCATAGACCAATAAAATAATAAACCGATCACCCCTAAGAAAAAAGTGTCCCCCGAGATAATTAGATTAATGTTCACGCTAAGTGTATCTAACCGTGGATTTCATCGACATTATGCTTAGCTGTCAGGTTCGTGTCTGAGCTCTTACTCAGATACAAACCTGACATTCCACTTTTGTTTGTTTATTATCGTATGAGTACAAAGGTATACCAATAGACGTATTTTTTTAAATATTAATATTAGTAATTTTATGTAGTTTCGTGTGGTGACTTGAAACAAACCCTATACCAACCCGTCTGGCCAGCGTGGTATAGTAGACCAAAACCTCCTTTCTCAGGAGAGGCCTATGTCCAGCAGTGGACTAGTAAAGGCTGTTGATGATTGATGATGGTCTTCTGTAGTATATATAAGTATATAGGTATTTCTCTGGTTAAACGGTTTCTACTTTGGTAGCTGTACCTTACCAAAGATTTATGATGGAACAGCCATTTACTTTTTTTTTGGTGGAAGAGGGGGTAAACGAGCAGATGGGTCACTCAAAGCATTTGTCTCAAAGGATTTGGAAGTCTTGCGAGGTTTGAGTTGTAAGGGTCCATGGGCGGCAAAAGTGACTTGCCATGAGGTTCCTTCAGGACCCTTCTACTCGTGATAGGTATCAATAAATTGACACAGTCACTTACACTCGACTATTTCTGGAGATTAAGACTCTGTCAATCATTAAGCCAAACACTTTTTTCTAAGATGCAGGCTTCACGGCCTAGTTAAGGAGACAGGGTTTAATTAAATCTAAATTGTAACTCAATTGTAGTACACACAATTTAGACTTGTATTTTTGTATCACCAAAAATTGTAACATGACTTTGGGAGTGCCTGTATCTGTTTTTTGTTATTGTTATTATTCCATGCAAAATCCATTTAAAATATTATCCACATTTTAATTTCTGTATTCTTTGAGTACGCGGCGCAAGCAGCGTTGCCATTTCATCATTTATTTACCTATCCCGGACAAGGACGTCTCTTGGGACGTTGCCGCTCCGTTCGACGGGTGCAGCAATGCAGTCAAACAGTAATTTATTTAATATTTGTAAATCACACAAAGTGTTGTCCCATGAGGGGATCGGAGCCAAAACACGGCGCAGCAGGAAGCGCCGAGGTGACCGCTTAAACCACCGTGTTTTTTGTAAAAAAAGAAGTACGTTATTTATATTTAAAAACGTAAAAAAATGGAAACATCACTATTACAAAAAACATGATTTTTATACTGTTAAGGTTATGTTATTTTTTTTTTTATTAAAAGTACCGCAAATTTCTTTTTTTCTCTTATTGCTTTACAGTCGATGATAAGTTTAGAAGGCTACCATTTTTGCTGTGTTTTGTTATTTGCTAAGATATTTACAAGATTCCACATCTTTTTTGGCTGATCTAAACAGGTAGTAAATTTATTTTAATAATATAAATTTTTGATGGATTGAATCAGACGTGCTAAAGTTTCTCATTTAGTTTCAAATTGCTCCCTCAGTACTTTGTTTGCAAGGTCATTTCTGTGTAACGTCCATAGGTAGTTTCTGTCGCGTTTAGTTACTATATCTCCATTTATCCAATCTTCACGAGGCCTATTAAGTATTTTGGTTTTCTTAACTTTATTTTTCTGTATATGCTGTTTAAAGTAATGTTTAGTTTTCGTGTTCGTATTTCCTCTTGTCTGTCTTCATTGAGTTGTATAATTCTAGATAATTTATAGCTTCATGCGTTGTTTGTATTTTTTGTGGTGGTTTAAATTTATCTACTTGTAAATATGTACTTGTAAACCTTCTTTTTAAGGAGAGGCCTATGTCCAGCAGTGGACGATTAAATGCTTTTTGATGAAATATGTTTGTTTGTGATCTGACATAGATTGAGGATGGCCATTTTGTAATTATTCAACTCAAGGTTAGTGTAAATATGATCTAGAATTGATTTCTTGTTGTTCGTTTCCCTCGTACAATGAGTTTTGCTTATTTTATTGAGGAATCTGTAACCAACATCACTTATTGTTTGTTTGTATCGGGTAAGTTCGTTATCTTTTGTGAGTAGATCAATATTGAAGTCACCAAAAACGAACCTCCAAAATTTTTTTTTTGATTTGTTTTGCCAGGATTGTATATGAGGCCAATATATAGTGAGAATTTCTGTATATGTATCCATAGGTGATTACATCCATCAACATAGATTGACTCAAGTTATGATTCAAGTTGTTGTGTACGTAAGCCGATACACCTCCACCTGTACTATCCTGTGTAGTTGGGTATCTTTAACTCTAAAGCTTTTTTTTTTGTTTAAAAAGACAACTCCCGCATTAGGAATATATCCTGTGTCGCGGGGGACTTTACAAACATGCATAAAACGGACACAAAGAACACCCAGACTCAGAACAACAATTTTTGGATCACACAAAGTGTCGTACCATGTGGGGATCGAATCTACAACACTCAGCGTAGTAGTAAGTGGCGTGGCGACCGCTTAAACCACTACGCCATCCGTGCAGTCACAGCTTGTGTCTCCGCTGTTATCCGTGTTTCCGTAATTGGTATTACATGTAAAGTAGAAGTTATAAGTATATAAATTTCAACTCGTCAAATTTACTCTCTTTACTTCTAATTTACCCTCTACTTTTACTATTTACCTTAGTTTGGGCCTACATAGCTTTCCAATAGCGAAGAAACGCGAGATAACTCGCCCCGATTTCCTCTCAACAATGACATTGCGTCTGTGGTTGTCTACGCTTCCGATTTGTAATAGGCGCCTCCGCTATCTCGTCACTTAATTTAGACAAGTCGGATTGCGATCCTCGACCGGTGCCTCATGTGGAGGTGACCTTAACATACTCATTGTACTTTACATCCAAGACTGTGTGTATCCAAAAATATATATAATGTTAATAGGGTAATGAATTTGTTGATTTCTTAAAGCATTTGTAGAATTGTATACCTAACTTACGCACGATAAGCCGCGAACGGATAGTCAAAGTATGAGCAAGTTAAAAAATAGAGGTAGCCCCGTTCTCGAGGGTGTGAAGCGTGCGTTGGAATAGCCTTCATCGTGTTGCTACGATCGCGCAATTTTAAATCATTGAACTACAGAAATTAGCTTTACTTTTGAAGAAGCACTTTTTCTTAACAAATGGTAAACGTCCGCTCTGCATACTACCAATTAGAGTACCAAACTACTTGAACCAAGAAACAATCATTCTAAAATAACTTAGAAAGCGTTTTTCAAACTATAGTTTTTTTTTTAAACTATATCTCTTTTAAGAAGATACCAGTTTATACGAAAAATAATTTTCTTGTTGTGAACACAAAAGTCTTCCGGATGGTGACGGATTAAGAATACGGAGTGTCACCACCCCTATTCATCCCGTGGGTGTCGTAAGAGCCGACTAAGGCAAGACAACATCACTTAGGAGGAAAACTTGAAACAAACCGTATACCAACCCGTCTGGCAGGCGTGGTATAGTAGACCAAAACCTCCTTTCTAAGGAGAGGCTTATGTCCAGCAGTGGACCGTTATAGGCTGTTGATGTGATGTGAACACAAAAATAATACAACAGTCGAGTCTATTAGTCCTGTTCGTAAAATTTAATATTAAACGCGTACATGAACTTAAAAAATACAGTTTCTAATTATACAGAAATTATGACGAAAGAAAATTATTAAACATATGTTAAGAGCAGTGAGGGGTTCAGAAGACCCTAAACGTTTCGTGGAATAGTCACGAGGGTTCCATTTTTAGGTTATTTCTTACCTATGTAACGTTCCCTTATTAGTTCAGAAAATGCCAGAGCTATTGAGGCCAGATTGAAGCACATCCTCTGAAATATTCTTTAAAATCACCCTCCTCCCACCCCTCCAAAATGTAAGATGTACTGTAGAGCCAAACTTCAAACTGTACAGACCCTAAATTCAGAAAACCTTACATCTTTGTCAAAATTTGTGACTCGATCGTTTCGTTACTACAAGAAATATTGTATAACAGAAAAGTTATGAACAGAGAATAATTTTTTTACCTAACGCCTATGTGACGGCCACAACACATATTTTGACTAAGGCGTAGTTTGGGAAACTAGGGCTTGTAGCTTGGATCTACAAACTTTTTGACAATGGGAGCCATATGGTCTAGTTTTGGCTACATTTTATATAATATTTATATAAATAATAGTAGCTACTGTGTCATAAAAACAAGTGTTTTTTTTAAGTTTAACGGAAAGAAAATGAAATTGGATTCAAATCTAACAGACAATACTTCATTTTGTATATATTTGAGTTCTTTCCTTACTTCAAGCACTTCACTATGTTATACTAACAAAAAACCTTTGGTTCTTTAATTTCAGACAAGTCTGGTATTTTCATTGTTATAGAGTACACTCATGGATATGCGTAACATATATTGAAGCTACATCCAAAAGCGTGGCACACTTTACAAACTAAAAATAAAGATTATTTTATTTTAAAAGTAAGAAAAAAGGCTCAATTTCAACTGATGGTATAATTGATAACGAACAATTTATTTTTAGCTAACATAAATTTAATTTTTAGATAACTTTATATACCGCCAACCGTCCCCGCTGGAAATCATTGGGAGAGGCCTATGTCCAGCAGTGAACAGGCATAGGCTGAGGTGATGATGATGAACTTTATATAAAGTTACGTTATCTAAAAATTAAAGTCACACAGCCACATTAAAGCATTTTTAAAATTTTATATAACGCTCATAAGGGGCCATCCATAAATTACGTCACACGAATTTTAGGAATTTTTAACCCTCATCCGTCCTTGTCACGGGATGCCACATTTTTAGAACCCCCTCTGCCCTGATGTGACTTCACACATTTTTCAATTTTATGCATGTATATAAAAAGAATTAAAAGGAAACAGTTTTTTTTTTTTTAAAAAAGGCAATCCCGCATTAGGAATATATCCTGTGTCGCGGGGGGACTTTACAAACATACATGAAACGGACACAAAGAACACCCAGACTCAGAACAACAATTTGTGGATCACACAAAGTGTCGTCCTATGTGGGGATCGGACCCACAACACTCAACGTAGTAGTAAGCGGCGTGGCTTAAACCACTACGCCATCCGTGCAGTCAACTCGACACTAGGGCAATAACTATCATATGGAACTTCTTTCACATGGGATGGTGCTCGGAGATTTACTGATAGCTGCAGTAATAATGGAGCAAACTTAGCCTTGTTGTCATTCCTTCATACGACTACTAAAGTTTTTCATTCGCATATATAATTCGCGTTATAATATTTCAAATGTTAACATGTGACGTCACAAAGCTTTGACATCCCTCGCCAGGTTGGTCAGGGGGCGAAGCTCGGTCAGTCACTATTTTACAACGCTGAGGCACTATTTTCTTAACGCGAATGAACTATAATAAAATATCCTTTTTTTTATGCTATAGGGGGCCAACGAACAAACTGTCAACTTTCGAGAAAGTGAAGGCGGAAGTAGGTTGGGCCTCCGATTATAACCTCACTCACTCGATGAAAAATCGCTTAAAGCTGGGTTTTTGTAGTGCTTACTTTGACAGTGCCGGCCTACATGTGCTGAAAAAGCATGGTGCTCTCGACAAATGTTACTGAATCCTATCCAAACTTTCGAACGAAACTATAATATCTTGGAACCCGATTGTTCTGGCGGCGGGTCTCGATCGGTGCGTCACTATTTTCTTAACGCGAATGGACTATGGAAGACCAACGAATTCCTTGCCATTTGTTCCAATACGGTTTTCAATAGAAGGCATTTTAGCGATTGACCTCGTTAACCTCCTCCCAAGGAGAGGTCTATGTCCAGCAGTGGACTATTAAAGGCTGTCGATGATGGTAAGCGACTGACCTGGTGCTGGTCCGCCCAGCCGTACTGCTGCGCGGGGAGCGGGGGTTGAAGGGGGTGCTGGGATGGGGCAGGCGGCGGCGCGAAGTACTCGTGGTGCGCGGGCGAGGGCTGCGTCGACGCCTGCGCCGCGCTCTCCGCCTGCACCGCGTGCACACACACACACACGAGCGTTAGTCACACGAGCACAACACTATAGAGTGTTTTTGTTTATTTGTTTTTTGCACTTTAAATTAACATTATCAAAAAGTCATGCATTTATTGAGAAACCTGGTAATAAAAATCTATATTATGTGGAGTCGATATATACTTTGGAATCTTTGGATGCAGGCCTCGGGCTTCTAGGATATTGTCGGTTGGGGTTCCAGGTGAGAGACCTTGACCAGCTCCATCTATTGCTTACATCTCCCATTAATTCAAATAAACAATATCACTTTCATACAGTTGTCTCTTCTTCTTAATAAGTATATTTACAATTCTCCCATTAATTTACTATTGTGTCCGCTTAAATATCTTGCCTAAAATGACTAAAATAAACGTTTAATACTCCTCTCTATAGGCAAGAGTGTATGTATGTATGTACTTTGCATTATTATTGCACAAAAACTCTTACAATCACTATTAAAAAAAAGTATTTATAGCATTATTTTTTAAGGACAGACAGACAGGCGGGGCAGGCTTAAGGTCGGTTACGTGAAACAGCGATACGACGTGATTACGTCATAATATACTAGTTATTAATAATAATAACATTCTACCACATTCACACAACGCCATCTAGTCCCAAACTAAGCAGAGATTGTACTATGGGTACTAGACAACTGATATAAATACATAATTATATACTTTTTTTTTGTAAATACATACATATTATACATAGAAACACGCAGACCAAATCAAACATTAAATGTTCATGCACACAAATGTTTGACTTGAGCGGGAATCGAACCCGCGACCTTTGGAATAGCAGTCCGTTACACAAACCACTACGCCATACGGTCGTCAAGAAACATAGAAGATATTAACACGGCATCATCGCTAGTGAAATCTAAATGGATATTATGCCATATCACCCTCAAATCGCGCTCACTGTCGGCCACAATCTTAAAACAATTATTAGAATTTAAAAAAACATTATTTTCATGTCTCGTAAGCTAAATTTTAAAACAGCACATGCTAAAAGAAAAATAGTTGTTGCGTACGGTGAGCATATGCGCCACGTTCTTGACGTCATCGAGCCACTGTTGGTGGTGTTTAGGGGACGGTTCCTCGCTGTCCGGGTCCTCCATCAGGGGCGGGTTCTCCTGGAGCGCGGGGTCGTGATACTTCAACCTGAGACAACAAGATAGTGTAATCGAGATATGTAAAAGACAGTTCCAGACATTCGGTTTATTTTACAAAGTGTAGAATGAACAACATTTTTGAATTGATAATATTCACCTATATTAAGCAAATGCATTTTTTTTGGCGAACTTACAGTTTTCCTTTGTTTTTATTTCCTTATTCCGTTTTCTGACTTTAAGTGTGTGGAGATCACATACGAGTATATGTATATTTTAACATCAAACGTTTCGCGTGTAGTAAATACAACTCGGGATTCGGAATTATTGGATCTTGACTGTTGGGAAGTCCAGATTAACCTCAAAATTTTTGTGACTGTCATGAACAGGTCTGGTTTGCATTTTGTATTCCGTAATAATAACAACAGAACACAATTTTAAGATATGCCGTACGATAGGCACTACACAGGTATAGCCCTATAGGTAATAATATGTTTGCCGGAGAACTTATGAATGAATCGAAGTTGGTAAATAGTTTTTGATGGAATGAGCATGTTTGAAAAGTTCGTGGATATCAATTAGAAACTACGCAGAACAACAGCACTGCAGAGAGAAGGAAAACTTGACACAAACCCTATATCACCCGTCTGGCCAGCGTGGTATAGTAGGCCAAAACCTCCTTTCTAAGGAGAGGTCTATGTCCAGCAGTGGACTATTAAAGGCTGTTGATGATGATGATGACGAATTAGAAACTGCATATGATTTATATTTGTTTATTTCTTTAACCAGTGTAGAATCTAAGCGCGCATTTTCATCTGCGGTAATAAAATTAAAAGTCTAGTTCTCTTCTCTGTTAGGCTTGAAAGTCAAACAAAGGATGCTTTGATATTTCTGTGATTTTCGAAATTTTAATATTTTTAATGTCGTCTTTTTTTATTCTTATTGTTTTGTAATGTGTGTGCAATTATAGATTACTTAGTTTTTATTTGAGTCCAATCAGAAATCACACCGTCTAACTTCGAGATGGCCTGTAATGTCGGGATTGAAGAACCTGGGCCTCAATTCAGCTATTTTATGTTAACGCCAAGCCACTGTCATTCCATTGACAAGCTATTGAGATGTCATTGACATCGGTCTAAATATCAGTATTCTACTAACATCCATTCAATGTGAATAGACTGTCGACGTAGTAATATAGGTCATCAACGGTGATATCAACAACATTGCACACCTGGAAAATTAAATATATCATTCTCTTACAAATTTAAAATTTACCGTTTACCAAAAAAAAATATTGTTACAAAGACATTTGTATCAGTGACAAGTCATCAAGAGGTCACTGGTTTTACATAGTTAGTAGAATAGGAAAAGTACAAAAGTATTCCGACGACATTCCATTGACACAATATCAAAATAGTAGAATTGAGGCCCTGGTGCGTGTGACGTACCTGTCGGCGAGGTGCGCGAGGCGCGCGACGAGCGCGGGCGCGTAGAGCGCGGGGCTGCGCGTGACGGCGCGCGCCGCCGCCTCGGTGTAGGCCAGCGCGCGCTCGTACAGCCCGCAGTCCACCAGCCGGCACGCCACCACCAGCTTGTACGCCTGCCGCCACCGACACGAGTTAACATTAGCGCTCCTCTCATACACTCTACTCCAATTAAATTATATTCATGGGTCCATCGCTCACTTCATTTATCAAGCTATTTATTTCGAAATGAAACTTCTAAACGAACTAAAAAATATTAAAAACGCTCGACACTTTCTACCGAATCTGTTCACAGGGCGACCTTTGTCAACACCGTCCAAATTGTTTCTAGATCGTTAGCGACTTTGTAAAAAAAAAAAAGTGTGTTTAATTTTCACGATAAAATATTTTATTCCTAAAGAATGCAGCAGTAGCAACAGCAGTATGAACACTAATTCTAACTTGCAGTATGCATCAAAATCTGACAATTTGAGTGTGAGGAAATGGGAGAGTCACAAAGTTGCAAAAAAAAATGTGTGCATCTCAGAACGCCCGACAGAAGTGATAACTTAAACTAATCTAAGTTAAACTATTTAATATTGAAATTGCTTAATTTGATAAATTAAATTTTATATAAAGCGTCTGTCCGAAATACGGCTAGCGCTGTGGGTTAGAGTGAGAAAGGAGGAGCCTCCCTGCCGCTGCAATATGCGGGAGAGAAAGGGAAGCCAGACAGACTGGCGCCATAACGCGTTACGTAACGAAGCGGTTTACCCTCCCATAAGAAGTTATCACTTCAAAAATTATATTTAGGTCGATTATGTATAGTTAGAAAAAGGTAACGTGCGCGCGCGCGATCATATACAGTTAGAAAATAAACACGGGTCAGACGACCACAGCTACTAAGTGCCCATTCTTTGTGTTTGATTCTCGTTACCTCGTGTCAACATTGTTTTCAAATCGTACATATAATCGTGCGTTTTATGAAGTGTTTTCTTCAGTGCTAAAAGAAAGGCTAATACTAATGCAGTTTTTGAAACTATTTTGTGATGATAATTACATGCTAATTATTCAATATTTAAACGAAACAGTAGATATGTTATAAATTATACACGGTGATTTTATAGGCGTTTTGGAAACGAAACATTTTAATTTGGAATCATCTATAGTACCAATAAAAATGATTAAATCTATTGTAATGTTGTCTTAAAAAAAAGTTTCAGTTTTAATATTCATTTTTACTCGATCGACTTGGAAAGTAGTAATGGACTGATCATTCATTCATTATCTTATATGAATGAAACACGTCCGTGGGCGTTTCGGCGGCCGCTGCGCACCGCCGACGCTAACAGCAGCTGCTAAAAGTATACCTATAGACGCGAGCTAGCGAGTACTTACGTAGATAGACTCCAATTTGTCCTTCATACTTTACACGGGCTTACGACCGTCGGATATACCTATTTTATTTAAACTTCTTTTCGATTATTAACCACGATTGTTATTTTCACAACAAATCAATTTATCAACGGACTGTAGGTATAAATATTTCAGGCGTATTTAAAAAATCAGAGCTATCTACAGAATAATTAATTTACATACCTATTTACACTATACACGTAGCCGTAGTGCATTTAAATGCTCCGGCTGGGAATACAAACGCCGAGCCTCTTCCAAGTTGTAATTGGCAGTAGCATACAGCTGTACCATTGCCAAGAAGTATTCCATGTTTGAAAATTCGTACTGTCGACTCATTTTAGCGCTAATCAATGTAGCGTGCCGTCACGATGTTATGGTATTACTGACCGACTGAAAGCGAAGGACGCCTCACGATTACAGGTGAGTCCCGCGCATGCGCCTACGGGGCAGACGTCATTGGTTGGACGACTCCGCCGCAACTCGGCAGCTTTGTTTTTATTGGCGAATACGATTTTATGTGACTCGATATTAAAACGCATAGTATTTCTATTCGTAGTATTTACCTACGTGTGATTGACTAGCCCTACTACTGGTTCTCACTTTTTCTCTGTAAACGATATGAATATCGACTTTGATGATAAAAAATATATATATTTTATTAAATTAACGTTATATATAGCTTCTGTTACTGATAAATAATTCAAAATTTTCTATTTCAAAACGCTTTCAAAATCACAGTGTATTAAAGATTTTGTGTATATTTGGACGGTAATGACAAATTATCCTAAACTTATCTATGATATGTATGTATTAAGAAATATATAAGTATGTTTATCAGCAGCCTGGTTACCATAGCACAGGTTTTGCTTAGTTTGGAACCAGACTGCCGTGTTTGAGATATATTATTATTATTTGTCAGAATATCATCGACATACCTGTAACTCGGTGATGACAAAGTCGTCCTGAGTTAAGGACAGTGCGTATTCATACACTTCAGTGGCGAAGATAGCCCTGTTGGTGGCGAGCTGCTGCAGCGTGGTGGCGCGGGAGTCGCCCAGCAGCAGCGCCAAGCGCGGCGGCGCCACGCTAGCGCCCGCGCCCTCCGCGCTCGGAGCCTGCAGGGGGGCCATGGGGTGGCGCGAGAACTGCACGCCCGCCGACAGGTAGCAGAACTGAGCCGAGTACACCAGCCCTCGCGAGTTCAGGCTGTCACCTAATCACATGAATGTTTTTTAGGACTTTAATTCTTCTTAATGATTTTACAGTTTAAAAACGTTACAAAGCTTCCTTTAAAATAGGAATAAAAGATCTACGGTTATTCTGTAAAAGTATAACGTTTACGTTACCCATTTGCGTGAGAGTTCGCCGATCTTGTTCAGGTTTGGAGGACGGGTTGGACAGGACTATGGCTGCGTGGGGTCGCCAGTCGCCCCACCGGTCGTCCGCTACACACTGTCGTAGCGATGAAAATTGTTTAATAATTTAGAGTACTTATTAATCCTTCATCATAATTAAAAAAATAGCAACATAAACATTTCTTTTAATCTTTACTTTAATCTTAGGAACTGCGTAATAAAAACCAACTCTTTTATGATTCAGGGGACAAAGGAACCCGGGCACGCCGTCATTCCCGGCGGTAAGACCCGTTATGGAGGATTGGCTCGAGAGGCGTCACGGGACTCTCTCATACCGACTGACGCAGGTGATCACTGGGAAAGGATGTTTTGGGGATCACCTGTGTCTGATCCGCAAGGAGCCAACGCCTGAGTGCCACCACTGCGATGGCCAGACCGTGGACACGGCTCTCCACACGCTGGCAGAGTGCCCGGCGTGGGTTGAGCAGAGGCGAGACCTCGTGGCGGCCATCGGAGTGGGAGTTCTCTCGCTCGATAGCCTGATTGCGGCTATCGTGCGGAGCGAGAGTGCGTGGAACTCTGCCGTTTCCTTCTGCGAGCAAGTTATGCTTGCGAAGGAGACGGCGGAGCGGGAGAGGTTTAGGTCTCTCCCGGTCCGCCAGGCCCGGGAACGGGCCAGGTACCGCAGGCGACTCAGGCGTCGGAGGTCGCAGAACGACCTCCGTCTTCCATAAGTGCAGGCTTGGGGTGATAGGTGAGGTCATCTGTCATCCTAGCAGAAGCAGGCCGGGGTGGCGGCGAGCGCGTTGCGAAGCGCGCTCGGGCTCGCGCGGGGGGGGGGGGGGGGGGGACCTCTACCTGTTGTTGTAGATGGCCCGAGGTATGTCGGGGTACCAGGGACTTCCTTTCTAGGGTATACCCGGTTTCCCGGCTATTAGTACCCGAGTCGCGTGCGGTTTTAGTCGGTTCGGGTCCGACATGCCACCGATAGGTGGTATTCAAGGGGATTTCCGCACGATAAAAAAAAAGGGGGACAAAGGAACCAGTTTAATGTAGACGATTTTCGTATCCCATCTATAAATAAAGTGTGAAAAGTTCGGCGGTGGGTACTGACGGTGGCGGCGGGCGGCGTGGCGGCGCCGAGCGCGGCGTAGAGCGTGTGCAGCGGGTCGGTGCGCGGGAGCGCGGCGAGGAAGCGCGACGTGACGGCGGCGCGCGCGCGCCGCTCGCCGTGCGCCGCCAGCGCCAGCGCGTGGCCCCACAGCGACCCGCTCATCGCGCACTCTGCAACACACAGACCCCGCTACACACTTCGTCGACTACCCGCGAATCACATGGACGGCCTAATAATCCACCGCTGGACATATGACTCTCCTTAGAAAGGAAGTTTCGGCCCACTATATGACCGGACGGGTCGGAATAGAGTTTGTATCAAATTTTCCTTCTCTTTACGGTGCTGTGTTACTCCGTTAAGAGCGCGTATAAAGCCAGCAAAATTTAAGAATTCACCCGCGCTCCCCTGCCCGCTCCCCTCACATCGAAAACGATCGCGCGTGTACCTACGCGCTCGCTCGACGCGTATCTTCTGTAGTATACGTATAATAATCAGATGAAACAACTGTATTCAAACTAAGACTGCGTTATACAATATTACGAAATGTTTTGTGTACACGAATAATACGTAAATAGTAAGTTAGTAGGAGGTGACTATACCACTGATACTGAACACGAATCAATAAAAAATCAATACCAAAAAATAATATTATATTTATTTCAAATATTCAATCAATCAATCATATCAAATATCAATCAATAAAAAATCATAATAAAAATCATATTCAATCGCGTCTTTCTTATCAATATTCCGTAATTGGTATAATATTTTCTTGTAATAAAGGGCTATGGGGTCCAGCTGCAAAATTATTTGAACTAACGAGATCTCGGTCTCCTTCAATTATAAATCTTTCAGAAGCAGTACTGCTCGGACCGGGTTGGTCTCGGTCTCCTTCAATTATAAATCTTTCAGAAGCAGTACTGCTCAGACCGGGTTGGTCACGTGATATGTTTAAGGGCCCACTACATATTTATTTATTTCTCTTCAGGTTTTTTAAAGATTTGCCGCGTCATACAAGGAACCTTTGTTTGATAGATTTAGTGCTTTTGTCACCGACTTCGAATCGTTCCTATTATCCACTAACCTTAACATTATCAACGTGGGCTCGGAGCCGACATTTGTCACATCCAGGGCCCAAACTATAATTGATCTTACATTAGCAAGTGAGCACGCATCGCAACACATATCGAACTGGCATGTTTCGAACGAAGCATCGTGCTCAGACCATCGCTGGATCAATTTTAACTTTGAAATGAAACTTAAACTACCCAATCCCCGACGGAATCCCCGCACGATGGACCGGAAACGGTATGAACATCTTACTGCGGAGAAACTGCGAAGCATCAACCTAACATACGTTACTGGGTCTGTTAAGGACATTGACAGTCATGTTGTCACCCTAACACAGACACTGATCGATTGCTTTGAACAAACATGCCCACTTTCCACACCCAGAACTGGACCACAGAACAAACACCAATGGTGGGGTCCTGAACTAGAAAGACTACGTCGTAAAGTGAGAAAGTTGTACAATAAAGCAAAAAACTCGCGATTAGACCAACATTGGGATGCCTACACGCAGGCCCGACAACAATATAAGAAGAGAATCAGAACCAGGAAAACTGGGTGCTGGAGAAACTTCTGTACTAACATAGAGAACAACAACCAGGCTAATAGAGTCAAAAACATACTGTGTAGTAGAGGCGAACACAATCTTGGCTGCCTGAAGAAGCCTGATGGTGAGTATACCAAAACAGACTCGGAAGCCTCAGAGCTGTTATTAAAAACACACTTCCCTGGATGTCGCATATCAGATGTGATGGAAAAATGGGAAGACAGATGGAAAAAATCACCAGATGATACAGACTGGTATATGGCCCGCAAAGTTGTCAATCATGACAAACTAAGATGGGCAATTAACAGCTTCCTACCATTCAAGGCGCCAGGACTAGATGGTGTCTTCCCAGGCCTACTGAGATGGTGTAATATGACACTACTGGACCATCTTGTAAAAATTTATAGGGGCTGCCTGGCGCAGTACATCCCCTTGAAATGGAGAGAAGTTAAAGTAGTCTTCATCCCCAAACCTGGTAAAGGTGACTACACACAACCCAAATCACACCGACCTATTAGTCTCACATCTTTCCTACTGAAGGTTCTCGAGAGGCTAATAGATAGGGAAATCAGGGAAACTGCGTTAGTCAGTCACCCTCCACACCTCAATCAACACGCATACTCGATGGGTAAATCAACAGAATCTGCCCTACATCGAGTTGTTTCATGTATAGAAGACAATCTAAATCATAAAAGGTCAACACTGGCCACCTTTATCGATATCGAGGGAGCCTTTGACAAGACCAACTTCACCAGCATTAGCCAAGCTCTGTCTAGGCATGGTGTTGATTCCACAATCTCAGGGTGGATCGACAGCATGCTAAGATATAGAGCTATTCAATTCACTGTGAGCGAAATGACTAGAGGAGTGGTGGCTAGAGGTTGCCCCCAGGGCGGTGTACTCTCCCCCCTTCTATGGAACATTGCTGTGGATGAGCTCATCGCACAACTTAATGACCAAAGATTCCTCACAATAGGCTATGCAGACGATCTCACTATTCTCATCAGCGGTCCTTTTGAGAGCATTACATGCGATCAAATGAGACTTGCACTGAAGATCGTGGAACAATGGTGCGTAGCACACAACCTGACAGTGAACCCATCCAAAACAGAGATGATCATGTTCACAAACAAACGCAGCCTAGGAAATCTCAGACTTCCCAAGCTATTTGGAACACAACTTACTCTTACCAAAGAGGTCAAATACCTAGGAGTAATACTGGACAGTAAACTCCTGTGGAATAAGCACCTCGATGAAAAACTGAATAAAGCCTGCATTATTTTCTGCCAATGCAAGCGGCTACTCGGCAAAAGCTGGGGACTATCACCCAAAATTACTTTATGGCTATACAGGACAGTCATAAGACCAATAATCACTTACGGTGCTGTTGTCTGGTGGCAGAGAACAGAGCTAAGCACTGTCATAAACAAACTGCAGCAATTCCAGCGACTCCCATGCTCCGCGGTCACTGGCTGTATGCGCACAACGCCTATTGCCGCACTGGAGGTGGCTCTTGGTCTGCCACCCCTGGATCTATTCATACAGCAGGAGGCCGCCATGGCGATCATTAGACTCAAACACCTGGGTCTATGGCACAAAAGTGAGGGATCGCACTCCAAATTATGGGATCAATTGGTGGAATACGAACCACTGATAGCAGCTCCATGCTATAGAATCCCAAAACACCATATCTTCACAAGAAGATACTACATCCAGATACATGGCAATGACCGAGATCAATCCGGCATTAACGAAGTCCGAATTTACACGGACGGTTCAAAGACTAGGTCAGGAACTGGAGCTGGAGTTTTCTCGCAAGACCTAAATATAAACATATCACTAGCGTTAGGCCAACACAGTTCCATATTTCAATGTGAATGTGTGGCAATAACTTACGCTGCCACAACGGCCATGTCAAGGGGTATCAAGGACTACAACATCCGAATAATATCCGACAGCATGGCCGTCTTAAAGGCATTGGAGGGCAACACAATGACCTCTGGTATTGTCTTCGAATGCCACCAAGCACTGGAACAGCTCGCTATATTCAATGGGGTACTCCTCCAATGGATTAAAGGGCACAGTAACTCACACGCGAACGATGCCGCAGATGAGTTGGCAAGGAGGGGCTCAGCAACCCCAACCTCTGGCCCAACCCCACTCCTGCCCATATCGTTTAACCAAATACGATGCTGAGTCAGGCAATGGACCTGTGAAGCACACAACCGGAGGTGGAAAAACTCACCCGGCTGCAGACAGTCCAAACTGGTGCTGAATCAAGTCACACCACGACTCACCTGCAGACTGATCAGTCTTAGCAGACCGGAAATAAGAATGGTTGTCGGAACTATTACAGGACATCTAGCCCTGAATCGACAACTATTCATAATCAATGCGACGGACAGTCCCCTGTGCAGGGGATGTCTGGAAGCTGAAGAAACGGCCGTCCACGTAGTCCTGGAATGCGAGGGTGTGGCCACACAACGGGCAAGTATCATTCCTGATATAAAGTCGCTCCTAGAAGCCTGTGAACGCCCCAGGAGGCTTCTGCGCTTCTGGAAGGAGCTTGGCTGGATCACCTAGTCAACCAATCCTCGACGCATAAAGGACCATTCTCAGTCTAAATGCGGAAACCGAAGCCCACAACCACCGACTTCGAAGCTTGACCTTTGTTTGATTGATGTGGTGTTTTTGTCACCGGCTTCTGAAACTTGACCTTTGTTTGATTGATTTGGTATTTTTGTCACCGGCTTCTGAAGCTAAAGTTGTTTTTCACTTTTTAGTGTTTTTCTTTTTGTGTTTATTTTGATGTCGGTTTTTTTTTTGTTGCAAAAAAGTTTTATTTATTTTTCCATTTTCATTTGTAATATCCTATTAAAATATTTGACAAGCATATAAACATCCAAGCGATTGCAGCCATCACGACCGATTTAACGTCTATTTTTGAAGAGTTCCATTGTATATCTCCGAAGACCAGCATCAGATCTTCACCAAATTTAAATGGGACCACCTCAGGAGTATAATTTTTCAAATAAAAAAAGAACAATCAAAATAAATGGAGTAATCGCGCAACAAACACACAAAAAAAAATCATAATAGTCGAATTGATTACCTCCTTCTTTTGGAAGTCGGTTAAAAATAGGTTTTAAATACCTAATGGACATACTTAAATAGCTTCGAAATCGACATAAATATATTTCATCGAACAAACACAGACACCAACTAAAAGCTTGTGTTTATTTTGCATATACTATACCAAACTATACTGCCCGCGTTACTTATGAGTGATCATAGAATTATGGAGAATGTAATTATTATTATTTTAATATTTTTATAGAATACTCGCAAGATCATTATGTAGTCCATACGTCTATCTAGACTTTTGGAAGATATCATAATTACACTAGGGGAAAATGATCAGAATTTTTTATTGTGAAGAATAATATAACAAAAAGCAAAAGTAAATAGCTACCTATTATATATCTAATTTATTACCTCCTATCCTAATAATCTAATAATTGAATTGACTCGGCGCGCCTAAACACTTGAGCGCAGTCCTCTCGTCTCAACGGAGCGGTAGCGACTGATGTCTGAAATAGAAATATGCTTGAAGCTCCCGCAACGTGCGACGGACGATGACTTCTTGCGCGGAATAAAAACGTAGTATGCGCCAAAACTGTTATATCGTCTAAATCCAAAACTAAAAGGAATTACATAAAATGCCTAAACAAAGCCTTAACTCTTGTATAAGTACAATTAATTATCAAATTTTTGTCGCAATAGGCATTACCATATCGAGTACAAAACGGAAAAATATTAGAGTTAGAGGTTACTTCGTGATTTTTTTCTATCGAGGAAATGTTATTATTTCATGTTTTTGATCAAAGTGAACCCTCGGAAATATCATGTAGTTATTCATACATTTTTATTTTAAGATTTGGTCCGAAATTTTTCATGTAAAATCAAAAATAAGATTGATAATTTTGCTTTATACGATTAAGAGAATCGGCTCTTACGACACCCCCGAGATGAATTGAAGTGGTGACAATTCGTATTCCTAATCAAAGATCGAGTTTAATCTCGATATAAAAAAGAAACCATATTTTCTTCAATTCTGCACACTTGACAAATTTGAAAAAAGATAATAAATTAAATAAACTTTTTTTTTAATTGTAATTACCTACTTAAATATTTAAACTAAAGACTTTTGCACATTATTTTCTAGGCTTGCATTAAAGCTATGAATATTATAATTTTTTGCCTTAAAATGCAATCAAAATCAGAAAATCCGATTCTAAGTTTAAAAAAAATTTGTCTTTCCTTAATATAATTTCTTAATTAATAACTGCCATTAAAAAATCGGGAAAAAATGTAGATAGCTTTTATTTACTGCAATTTTAATGAGTAGTTTGTATGTAGATCTTGAATAAATCTTTAAAAATCTACAAGCCAACATATACACACCGTAAAACATTTATTCAAGATCCGCAAAAAAATAACGGATATCGGGCACATCCTTAGTATTTACAAAGCCATAGTATTGTATAGTAGATTCTCTCGCATCAATCAGTAGCACCATCGATATAAACCACCACCGTGACGTAATCAAACATTAATTATAGTCCATTCGCGTTAAGAAAATAGTGACGCGCCGACCAAACCCCGCCCCCTGACCAATCAGGTACCAAGAAATTATCTTGTAACCTGATTGATCGATGCGTTACTATTTTCGTAACGCAAACGGATCATAGTACCAGGAACAATAATCCGCACGTACCGAGCGCCTCCTGCCGGTTCCCGTAGGTGAGCAGCTCTCGCAACTTGTCCAGCGCCGCTTCAGAGGACACGCTCGCCGACTCTAGGTCTGCGAAACACCAAAGCATTCACTCACTGCTATTTTAATATCATGAATTTGTTCACAAGTACTGTAATATGCTTGATATACATACCTACTGAAAAAAAAAGATTTCTACAGTAAGAATAACCACGTACTTTTTTTATTATTAATTACAATTGTTAGAAAACTGTTTTGTCTCTTAAGTTAACTGAACATATTGTCTGCCAGCTCTGTGTGTCTAGTAACTTAAAAAGATGTGTTAAAAAGAGTGTCCTGGGAGTTTCCCGCTTGTTGTCTCTACTGGATGGCTTAGTAAAAATTAAAATTACATCCAAATAGGTTTGAGATTTTATTTGTATACTCAATTGAGTTTTACTTTTATAACACTAACTTTTACACTAAACGCATATGATTATATGATAATGATTAGAAAAATACAAATATACTACGATAAGTAATGTTCTTATTTTCCATCCATTACTGAAGTTAATCGTAAGACCCAACCACTATTTTATATATTCGTTTTAAATGGTAAAATTAGCAAAGCTTTATACTTTTTTTTTTTTTTTTTTTTTTTTTAAATGACAACTCCCGCAGTAGGAATACATTCCTGTGTCGCGGGGGACTTTACAAACATATATGAAACGGACACATAGAACACCCAGACTCAGAACAACAAATTGTGGATCACACAAAGTGTCGTTCCTCGGCGCAGTAGGAATCGGCGTGGCGACCGCTTAAACCACTACGCCATCCGTGCAGTCGCCATCCGTACTGTTTTTAATGTATGTATAACGTACTTATGTTCTCGGAGACAGAGAGCGAAGGCTGCTCGGGAGAGGAGGAACGCTCGTCCTCACGCCCCTCGCCTCTTTCGCACGAATCCGACGAGTCGCGACGACTCTCTGTCGTACAGAAAATCAGCTCAGAAAAGGGCTCCTGTTTTCTTTCATGGTTATATGCCGTACAGCATGAGTATTGAGATGAGTGTAATTAAATTTATAAGGTATACCATTATGTGTCCTACTGCCTGCCGGTTTATATTCATATTCCCGTGTGTTCTTCATCAACAACTCCGCTATATCAGATCCGACCACCACCTGAAATCAAACCCATAATATACTATACAACTGTTCTATGCCGCTGCGGCACTTGCGCTCAGAAAGTATACGAGTGGGAGAGTAGACTCACCCCGTTCTGTCGCAGCATGAGAGCGAGCAGGTCCCACACGAGCACGTAGCCCGTGACGTCACGCGCGCCCTCCTGTTTGGCATTGCGTATGCGCACGCTGCAGTAGTCGATTACACTCTTCTTGTGGGTCACACCTGTGGAATTAATTATTGAATATTACAATTAAATATAATTTTAGGTATTTAAAATTTTAATTCTAAATCAAGCTGGGATAACCTAATAATCAAGATAGCAAACCTCCTTTCTAAGGAGAGGCTCATGTCCAACAGTGGACTGTTATAGGCTGTCGGTGGTAAGCTAGGATAAAAGTATTAAGACTAATAAGTATAGGATTAAATTTAATCCTTCACATTTTTTTCTATGCCAACACTAATTGGTGCCATAATGTTTTGGTCGCTCAGATAGTTGTGCGATGTTGCATTTAAATCAAACGTTATATATGAATGGTGTATACCTTTGACGAGCGGTCCGGGGAAGGCGGCGAGGTCGGCGGCGAGCGGGTGGTGCGCCAGCGCCGCGGCGAGCGACACCACGTGCACGGTGGCGGGCACGCCGTCCACCGGGTACGACGGACGCACCACCACCACGTCGCGGGACGATATGCTGCCCTGCAACACACACACCGCATTTCAGAGAGTCTTCTCCTCTTAACTAATATTATACATGCGAAAGTGAATATTACTGGGTCTTGTATTGGGGATAGCCGACCAGTTTTCGACCCGATGGAAACTCCTTATTAAAGTGAAGCGTCATACGTAAGCTACAGGCACCAGGACTGCGCTGGACTACCTACTAACCGTATTTTCACTTAAAAAAAAAGGAATTCAAACTTTTTCAAAACGTTCAGTAGACAAGTTGTACACATAGTCAGATACTATACTCAAAATAATAATAATAGTAACTTCACACACGGCCGTTTGGTTCCAAATCGAGCATACAAACATACTTAAATACATACATTTATAAATAAATTATATCCAGACACAGAAGAAATGATCGTGCTTATCACACAATTATTTGTCGTAGGTGGGAACCGAACCCACGACTACTGTTATTAGCAGTCAGGGTCACTAACCACTAGACATACAGGCAAAGCCAATAATCAAATATAAGTAGGTACCTTGATGTGTGCGGTGGAATATCTGAATGGTGTCATCCTCTCCGAGCGCACCGTCGACTCCTCCAGGTGAAGGTTCAGCGACATGTCGGTGTTCAGGTCCCTGTCACACGACAACACATGTAAACATACAAATTTCATTTCATAGGTTTAACATGCGTCTGCGCCTTAGTTGATAGGTTTTCTGATAATCCATTCAACAACATTGTATAAATTAAAAATATAAATAAGCCAGACTCGACGAAAAATCCGTTCAAGGTTTAGAAAAGAACTGATGATCTAGCAATGAAAACAAACTACATCAAGATTAGTTCATCTATTTATGAGTAATGATGACAAAAACAGACTCTTTTTGTAGTGACGAATTAACAATACGGAATGTCACTACCCCAATTCATCCCGTGGGTGTCGTAGGAGCCGACTAAGGGCGCAAAACAACGCAGGACATCAGCACTGCAAAAAGAAGGAAAACTTGACACAAACCCTATACCAACCCGTGTGGTCAGCGTGGTAGAGTAGGCCAAAACCTCTTTTTTAAGGAGAGGCCTATTTCTAGCAGTGGACTATTAAAGCCTGGTGATGTGATGTGAAATAATTCTTTGGCCTGAAGTAGATTACACATTTGAATTCAAGTTTATATTTTTTTCAGTTAACTTCAACTCAAGATAATATGTTTATAATTTAAATACAGGCAGTCTTGAAACTCGCTTTGTTATCATACCAACTACTGTCGAATGGACTATACATATAAGAATCAACATTACAAACTTTAATCTAACACTGATAGTCCATTCGCGTTAAGAAAATAGTGACGCCTCGATCAAGCCGCGCCCCCTGACCAATCGGGTTCCCGGAAATTATCACTGGAACATGATTAGTCAAGGTACGACCCTTGATTACTGCGTCACTATTTTCTTAACGCGAATGGACTATAAAAATACATTTCAAAGTTTGAAGCGAACTCATGCAGTGCTTTACATAAACCAAAGCAAAATAAAATACAACGTTAAAAAGAAACACGCAGAAGCTCCAGCATGATGTGGTCTAATCATATAATAGATTTATTTATAAATAATAGTGCACTTTATAAAATACGGAAAGAAATTATTGAAAGTGCACGCGGTGGTATAAACAATGTTGGTGTTTAGAACTTTACAGCGCTATGTGGTACCGCTTACAGTATACTAAACCTACACTTGTCTCTTTTAGACTTTCAACCGTTCTCATAATATGTTTTATTAATTCTTACTCAGAATGTCATTTTTTGTAAAAAAAAATGCCTTAAAGCGCGATCCTTCTTTTACCTAATAATGGAATGCAAACATTGATACCGTGTGGTGACGGATTAAGAATACAAAGTGTCACCACCCCTATTTATCTCGTGGGTGTCATAAGAGTCGACTAAGGGAAAAACTATGCAGAACAATAGCACTGCAGAGAGAAGGAAAACTTGACACAAACCCTATAGCAACCCGTCTGGCCAGCGTGGTATAGTAGGCCAATACCTCCTTTCCAAGGAGAGGCCTATGTCCAGCAGTGGACTGTTAAAGGCTGATGATGATGATTCATTGATACCGCATGTATTTTTCTATCTCTATCACACAATCATAGGGGTAGCTGATTTTAAATTGAGTTATATCGCAGTTAACTGTCCATATAACGTCATGATGAATGAGCAACACGTTTTCATAAAATTATGCGCGGCAATTAAAAATGTTAAATTGAAAAGCATTTTTTTTTTCTTTTTTATGCCAAATGGAGGCAAACGAGCAGACGGGTCACCTTAAGGTAAGCAACTACCGCAGCCCATGAAAACCTGCAACTCAAAAGTCACAAGTTCGTTGCTGCCCTTGAAGTCCCTCCTGCTCTAGTCAGCGCGAGGGGGGATTTGGGCTCCGGTAACCTCACTTACTCAGTGAAAGGCAACGAAAGAAATGCTTAACACCGGTTTTCTGTGAGGCCGTGGTATCACTCCGGCCGAGCCGGCCCATTCGTGCCGAAGCATGGCTCTCCTAGGGTCATTTTTAAGCCTACTCATCGATTGAAAGACGTAAATCTAGTACTCGTACATTTCCTTAAGATTAAATTAAAACATTAAAATAGAGCATTCAAGTAGGTAATGCCTAATTTTCAGTCTATTTTGGTAATTGTGATAAGTAGTAATACATAGCGCCGTAAAGTGCCAGGAGAGATGAGGGAAAGAGATGATGTACATGTATATACCTGTCGGAGAGGTCAGTGCGGAGCGAGGGCGCGTCCCTCAGGGAGGCGGCGTGGCCGACGTCGTGGCGGTACATGCCGTAGTACCTGGCGCACGAGAGGGACACACTCACACTCACGTGTACCAAGCGCCACTAAATAACATCGCTCAATACATTGGTATCTACCGGCTTGTACTATCACCATAATAATTTGCAGCCCATGATTTCACTGATTGTATCTTCAATTTAGTTTTAAATTTAATATCTGTTTTTAGTTTTTTTTTTTAAGATTTTCATTTTATTATTTTTGAAAAACACGTAGGAAAAAAAAAACAAAATGGCCATTGTATTCGTATGAATATTTTCTCGGATAGAGATTTTGTTAAAAAGGTATCCCTTATTTAACTTTTCCGAGAGTGATAACAACTGTTGTTAGGACCCTGATTAGGTATTCACATCCTGATAACACAGCTGTGAGTGAGTGTCATCAACTTTTAAATGTATTCTCGTAACTTCGACATTTCTTAGCCGCCAATGCTAGTGTTAGTCAGTAAAACCATGCAATGCTATGTATATGACAATATTAGTGATGTTTGAGGGATGTTATTCTGATGGCAGTGATATCTATTACAAAAAGGAGGATGACGTAAGCGTGGTAGGCTTGCATTATCCTTCACAAACACTTTTAGACATCAAGTTATTTATAGAAGCTATATTTTATTGTCTTCTCAGGCCTGCATAAAAGCGCACCTAATAAAATATATACTAAAAAATTATATATAACTATAAATAAATTGATGTGTAAATTTTTTAAAGCATATTCAGCTAATATTAAGTGTACATAATATATCGTGAAGCAGTGTTGCTCTGCGAAAGAAACCAGGAAAACACCACAACACTGTTGGTGCCCATAGATACTTGTTCTTAGTTCGATTGAATAGGGTAGACTAAAGCAATCTATGCCTAAACTATCTACAAACCCCGCTATTTCAAAATGTCCCAACCAAGATGTCTAAGAAACACTATAGTGTACCTCGCTGTGGTACAATTAAGAATTGCATATTTATAAGGCTGTACCAAATAACTTTAATTTAAATATTTATATTTTAATGCCTTAAAGTAATATACAAACAAAATATGCTAATAGACATCATTATAGATATGTTGATTGTATGAAAATACAAATAAATATGAAACTGATAGACAACTACTATCTAAAATAAACCAAAACTTTGTCAACAAATTTAGATAAAAAAGTTTTTATTGTATCAGTTACTGCTAGAGTCATAAAACTAAGGTGCATAAAAACAAAAAAGGTCCGGAAAGCTCTAGGAGAACTGACGGATACAAGACCCCATACAAGAATGTTTAACTTTGTTAATTATAATTTAAATATTTATTTTTAAATTATTAGTTTGTTACTAAATGTAATGTAAGCAAGCCTAAAACTTACAGACATACTACATAATGACATATTCTCTACTTTTCTAGAATAACCTTATCGATTTCTAAGTTTAATATTTTGTTTGTAAACCAATTATGCAGAGTTTCTTGACATATAAACGGTGTAAGGGACATCGTAACGAATACTGAAATAGTGTATTCAGACCATCCTTCTGAGTCTAAAATCATTGGAATTCACTGCCGGAAAATTAAACTTTTTATGCAATCAGCTGTCAAAAGTAAATATCATTTCAAGTAGGTATCGCACAAAAGTAATAACTACATGTGTATTCCGTACAAACAGTCTATGCACGCTAACACAAGTTGGCGGCCGGAGGGGAGGCCCCGCGGGCTTCGGCTGTTTGATTAATTACATTACAGTTTTTGACCGTATGGGGTATTTATTAATTTGTTTTCGGTGAAAGGTTCTGTTTATTTATTGTTATATCATTTTTAACAAAAAAGAATTTAAATTATAAAAAAAAAAAAGAATTTTCCGGCAGAAAATTTCAATGATTTTCGTCTCAGAATCATGGTCTGAATACACTATTTCAGTATTCGTTACGATGTCCCTTACACCCTGTATATATAATTGAGATGTAAAATTTTATAACTATGAAGTATTTTCTATAAAAAGGCATGAAAATATACAAGTATCTGAATCAAATTACTTTGGAACAGAGTAGAGCCAACTGTGCGTCCTTTGCTAAGTGTGACCATATGTTACAGCACAAGCGGAAATGCGTGTAAACTACGAGTATATGCACCCTTATATCAGCGATAGATGTGTGTGCACTAAGTTTGAAGGCTGTTTTTTTTTAAAATAACTTATATCCAAAACAGTTCTCAAATCGTGTGCGTTTCAATTTGAACCCTCCCTTGTAAAATTTACCACTCTGTTTAACCCGTGTTCTTAATCAACGTGAAATGAACCTTATTCAGTGTTAACTTACGTGTCATTTCCTTTAAGGCCGGTGGTGCTGGAGCGGCCCGAGTGCACGCTGCCGCGCTCCTGCCGTCCCTCGTACGGTAAACTGCTAAACTCTGTGTATAATAACAAATAGTTTACGTTATAATTAATTCACGAACAAACTTACTTCTAAGATCAGTCACCTCGGATAGCATCCATTTACGGGCATATACACTGTGGCGGTATAGATATCACAAAAAATGAAATAACAGATAACACGGTTCAATATACGTTGGTTAAAATAAAAAAATAAAAAATTAGTACGAAAATACAGAAATGCAAATTTAGAACAAACTAAATACAATAAAATAATTTCCGAATTAGAACACCATTGATAACATGAGTCGGTGAACTGTACCTACACGGCAGCGTCGCAATGTCGGCGACATCAAAACGACGCCGCCGCCGCCGCCGCCGCCGCCGCGAGCCGGCGAACTTTACATTCTTATTACCTACCTACAAATCACTTCACTTGCTTTTAAAAATCTATTTATAAAGAATGCGATTTTATTCACGTGTTTATTTCGTGAATGCTCGACTAACTTCCGACCCAGCAGTACGCGTCACTCCTTGAAAAAGTAGTTACCTTGGTTGTCTCGTAATCTTTGTACCGCCCTTACAAAAATTCGGCAGTCTGTAGGACATACACGATTGACTCCATACGTGTCCGTAAAGCAAAAGATGCGTTTTGATAGAGTTTTCCATAAATTAACATCATAGCAGGATATTCCGCGGCTGTGAAGGTCACTCACGGCATTATGGATGTTGATATCGATAACCCAATAAAATTAAAAGACTGATAATGCACTCAGTTTCACACTACACTACACACAGAACCTAATAGTGACTTTTCAAAATAAAATTAGCAGGACTCCTTACATTACGAAGTCTTGCGCACACGATAACATTAATTGTTCACACCATTGCCGTGTATTATGACGAAAGCAATAAGACTAAACAATTATTACCACAAGAAAACTTCTCTAAACAAATATGTATCTCATAAACAACAATATTATTATTACGGTTATTTGTCGTGAGCGCATCTACAAGGATACGGAATAGCATAAGCTCGCCGGTGGACAAGGGCCGACTGACTGTCCTTACTGGATGAACTAATTAAAAACGCGTGTTGCATCGTGATGACGTAATAATCAACATATTTCGTTCGATTCGGGTGTAGTAAAAGCGGCAACGTGTGATTACCGCGCCGCGTATACCTACAGCTGATCGCCGCCTGAGGTCAATGTATTATGACTGCATGTACACATGATGTTGCAATTTACGAAACATAAAAATGAGTCCTGTGGCTAAACTACTGGATATATTTTGTTCATATTTTGCAAATCGCCTAGAAATTAAGGGCAGAATATGTGGCTTAAGTATCTGGGAAAGGAAATGAAACTCTCTGTATACGGTTTCATTATTGAATTATGGTGCCTGATATAATACCTAATACATTCATATAAGCAATATTTCTTCCTTAGCATTACCTTCCCTTCTTATCTGCTTTCCTTACCAGCTAATACTTGAGGGGTCAGTGGGACTACAATACTATATGGTTGTAGGCATATGAAGCCTCTGTCCATTAAGTGTTTTAAATACATTTTTGCCAAAGGTGGCTGTGACACTTACCGTCGCCATACATGGGTGTAGGCTGCAGGGGTGTGCGGTAGTCCTGCGCAACTTGAGGGGCGTGGCCGGCCATCATCTGCTTGCTTTGCATGAACAGCGCCATGTAGGCGGCGGGGTTGGTGAGCCGCAGCTGCTCGTAGTACTGCTGGTACTGCTGGCGCTGCGCCAGGTACGGGTCTGCGTACGCGCCGTACTCTGTTAACGAAAACAATCGTCTTTTATATATGAACTTACATTGGTCTGGAATTTACTGACAGATGTGGTGGGTTTGATTCCCGTCCTCTCTCTCTTCCCGACTATTCATCCCACAAGGTGATAGAGTCAGCCCTCTTCGTGTAATTCGTGTACTTCTTCCACTTCGCTCAATGACGCTTCGGATAGTTCTATTGCCAGATTACGTTACGTTACGTTACGGTTGCGTAATCAGGTGGTCTCCTCCAAACATGTCCAGACCTACTCATCCTACTCTCTGGCAGCTTCTCCGCAATGTCGCGGACTCCCAGACATCCTCATGTGTATTCGTTTCGGATCTTATCCATCATGGTTACGCCGCACATCCTTCTTAGCATTTTCATCTCCGCAACATGCCGCTGCGTGGGTGCGCAATATGTCCTTGATGGAAATCGAACATCGAGTTCTTCGATATGCATCCAGGACATATAATTGTGAGACGATCACCTCAATTTCGTCATCATCGTCCTAGGCAATTTGGGTGCTTTTTTATCAAATAGGGGCCCCCTAAACGAACGGACGGTTAAACTGACAGTAAGTGGCGCATAGACTCTTGCAGCCCAAGAGTCACAAGCCCGTTGTCGGTATTGAAATGGGAGAAGGCTTTTTTTGAAATCCTAACGATGGTAACATAACACCGCATGCGAAGATTCCTTAAATTTTTATGACATACTACTTTGTTGTTACAAACGCGGGCAACGCCGCGGGGCAAAGCTAGTCTAAAAAAAGTAGCCTAAGTTACTCCTTATGTCATCAGCTATCTGCCAGTGAAAGTCCTGTCGAAATCGGTCCAGCCGTTCCAGAGATTACCCGGAAAAAACAGACAGACAGACAGACAAAAATTGTAAAAAATGTTATTTTGGCATATGTACCGTGTAAACATACATATGCATTTAGTAAAAAGCGGTTATTTTAATATTACAAACAGACACTCCAATTTTATTTATTTGTATAGATTTCCTAAGAGGTTGCCAACTTTATTATAACTGAATTGACTACTTACTTACGTTATCAAGACAAATATGCAATTATAACAAATCTAAGTTATGAAACATTAAAATCAATTATAGTAAACACGTACCGACAGTAGCCTACCTGCATTAGTTCCACGCGAACTCAGCCACAACATTTGCATAATAACTGAACATACGAGTAACTATGAATATATTACTTTCAGCTATCTATGAATACAAAACACAATATTTTACCGAATTTTAAATACATACACAGAAGCCCTTCACCAAAGAGTAAAGCGATCTGTATAGTATTTCTGAGTATCTACTATTACTGCCGTACATATTCAATAAAATATTCTAGTTGAACTATTTCGAATTCCAAAGTAAAATTCTGTGGAGGAACTGATGTTATGCCCCTCCAATTTAAAATGAGGAAACTCGGGACCGGATTGAGTACCAATGGTTGATGTTAGTATGTCGTATTTAGTAATCAAGATTCAAGATTAGTAATCACTTTGTTGTTTAGTATAGAAGAATTTTTTCGTTGTATGTTAAAGTCGTATACAAGCAGTTTAAGTCCCTCGTAAAAAGCTAGTTAGTAATTACAGATAATAGACTAGTTGACTCAATTTGAAAACTTTTTTAATTATATACTTTAATATCTATTTTATCCCAAAATACCTATATTTTAAGGAATAAGCAATATTTACATTACGTATTTTGTATTAAAAAAAAAACAATTTAAATTTCCTTCGAAAACGCTGAATAGTGTCATGGCGTCTTGAATGACGTCACAGTCTGCGAAATAAAACTGTTTACATCTGTGTCCAGTGTCACCTGTTTTAAAAAAATGAATAAGGAATAAGGAGTAACCTGCTCTGTTGTATGACAAACGTCAACAACAACAATGATGTTTTGCGGGGCGTGACGTAACACTTTCTGATTGGTGTTCGCTGTCACGTGACTTAATGCCTATTTTGTGTGTTTTTTTTTTTTTAAATATTAATAATCTTTAACTTTTATCATAAATAGACTGTTTTTTTCTTATCTATGTCTCTTCATTTATAATTTGAAACTATAAACCAAGTAATTTGTTATTAGTGGACACAAGCCTGTTGTAGGTAGCTTACCATCGTAGAAGGACTCCGCAGTGCGTCTGGATCGTCGGTCGCGTCGGCGTGACTCCGTTCCGTCGTCGTCGGTCGCCGTCGCCTCGCCCCGGGAGTCGGGACGGGATGGTGACGAGAATTCACCTGTCCAACATAATTTAACATGTTCATTGTATCAAGAACAACCTTAATAGTCGAAGAGAGACTCACTTTATTAAACATAAGTATAATTGAGTTATTGCTCATCAAGGAATGTATACTATTAAAGTTCCACTACGATTATTTAACCCTCCGTTAAACTGGCAACCGATTTGCCTAATATGTTTTTTCTTGTTTTTTCATAGTTTGGAGTTAACTATGGAGTATGTAAGAGACCTTATATTAATAGTAGAGATCACCGTATTGCGTATTGTATTGCGACCATAAGTAAGTAAACTTATTTTTTTTTTAGTTAACTTAATAAGTAAGCTATTATTTTCTATTTAGACGATGTACGGTAATCGTGTATTTTGTTGAGGTTCTTTAAAATTTCAAGCTTTCTTCATTTTTTTCTATGTTTAAGTTTTAAGTATTAAAATACCTCCATAAAAGGTACAAAGCTTTCTCTCTAATAATATTGATGTAATAAAGCTGTAATCTGTCTGTTTACACGCTTAACCACTAGAATTGTCAGACAGATTTGATTACTTCTTCAAATATTATTTAAGCCAAATTATAGCATGGTGTCCTTGTGGTAACGCATTAAGAATACGGAGTGTCACCACCCCTATTCATCCCGTCGTAAGAGGCGACTAAGGGAGCAAACTACACAGGACAACAGCACTGTAAAGAGAAGGAAAACTTGAAAAAATCCCTATACCAACCCGTCTAGCCAGCGTGGTATAGTAGGCCAAAACCTCCTTTCTAAGGAGAGGCCTATGTCCAGCAGTGGACTATTAAAGGCTGTTAATGATGGTGATGATAGCATCACGTTAAACCCCATTGGAGCAGACCAGTGACCGAATGCGCAGCTGAAACTGCGAGGAACGCTAGTATATAGACATAGTTAACAGAAGCATTAAATACCAACAATCAATCACACAGATAAGATTAATTACATGAGATAGAGGTTGATATAGAATTGATCGAAATTGCTTTAAATACAATCGACGTCTATTCTACATCTAACTAGGGCTACAACATTCGCTCAAGGTCGTGCTACTGTAATAGTAATTGTAAGTTCTTTTTTGCATGCAGTGATCAGTTCCGTCGAAAGTAGGCTATTAATAGGGTAGGTATGATTTTTTGTATAGGGTAGTGATCAGGTAAGTAGTAACCATTTAGTAATCTGTGATAGAGAGTGAAAAACCGGGTGGGAATTGCAGACGGTCATGGGCGGCGATGGTCACTTTCCATCAGGTGAACCGTCTGCCCCCTCCGACTTAAAAAAAACCGCCGTGAGGGTCGTAGCGGTACGCGTAATAGTTTAACTAAAAATTAAAAAATATATAGATCTACACAGAATCGGCACCAATTATCCATAGTAACCGCTTTATTGTCTAGTAAGGTAAGCCCGGATCTTCGACAAAGAAAATCATATTGAGCCGTTGGTCTTTCATCTCATGGAAATCTTTCATCATGAGGTCAATAAATTATGTAATCTATCTTTTACTTTTAGTGTTTGCAATTGGAAAAAAAACCAGCTATTTATTAACCTACCTAACTGAAGTTTTTTTGATGTACATTTCGGGCGCGTTATTATTTGGTCAGATTCTACCATGAGCCACAGGATGCATGAGTTATCTTAAGTGGAAAGGCAACCTTTCCAGTTAAGATAACTCACTAACTAAATTGGTGAGATTATTTAATTGTTTCAATTAATACACAAAAGGAATTAATTACTCATAAACAGTGACACCGCGTAGGCCGTGCACTTTTTTCGTTTCATAATTTTGTTAAGTAATGTACTTTGTGACACAAAAACTACCAATAGACAGAGAGATTTTATTGGACATGCTCTTTCAAGTGTTGTTTCACATTTTAAAATAACTTCACTTCTTCACACTTCTAACATCTCACACACGACCGTCTGATCCCAAACTAGGCATAGCCTGTGCTATGGTAACCAGACTGCTGATAAACATACTTATATATTTCTAAATACATACATATTATAGATAAATTACACCCAGACACAGAACAAACCGTCGTGCAATTATTTGCCCTGGGTGGGAATCGTACCCACGACCTCCGGCTTAGCAGTCAGGGTCACTAACCACTAGACCAACAGGCCCGTCACACAACACATTAATTCTCATGTCACTTGAAATTAAAAAGTATATTTACATTATAAACGAATATTTTCGGACATTTTATCATGCACATTATTTACTACACGTAACATATCAGGTTTTTTTCAAATAACGTTTCTTTTGACTTAAAGAAAGCACTTGATAGAACTATCATTTGATATCTCAATTATTCAAGAACATTATAGGATATAATATTGCATATCAAAAATAACGTATAGATAAATTACACCCAGGCACAGAACAAATGACCGTGCTCATCACACAATATTTGTTCTGGGTGGAAATCGAACCCACAACCTCCGGTTTAGCAGTCAGGGTCACTTACCACTAGACCAACAGGCCCGTCAAATACCACAAGATATAAAATAAGGAAAACACAGACCGTATATATCTAGCGAGATTGATAAGGAGGAGATAACAAAGTTTACGCTCTTCTCTTCTCTCTTTCTCTTTTTAAAAGACAGCTCCCGCATTAGGAATACATTCCTGTGTCGCGGGGACTTTACAAACATACATGAAAAGGACACAAAGAACACCCAGACTCAGAACAACAATTTGTGGATCACACAAAGTGTACCATGTGGGGTTTGAACCCACAACACTCGGCGTAGTAGGAAGCGGCGAGGTGACCGCTTAAACCACTACGCCATCCGTGCAGTCAAAGTCTTGCCTATGGTATTGAGATAACTGGAGTGATATTGTATTGCACACATGTTTCACAAACACATCTCATCATCTGCCTACCCTTTTCTCAATTTTATTTGGGGTCGGCGCAGTATATATGATTTTTCCATTCTACTCTGTCATGCGTCATCTCACTATTTACTCCCTGCCTAGCCATATCCTTCCTCACGCAGTCCATCCATCTTTTCTTCGGTCTGCCTCTTCTCTTGTACCCTTCAACTCTCATACCTAAAACTTTCTTCGCCACATTTTCCTCATCCCTCCGCATGACATGTCCATACCAAGATAACCTATTACTTCTTAACTTTTCATCCAGTGGCGCTACTTTCAGACTCCCTCGTATATAACACATCATTACAGAAAAGCCGTTGTTATTGTTTTAATATTCATGAACACACGACTCATTATCTATGCAAATAAATAAAATTTAATTGTCTGTTTCTAATGTAAAATAATAGGTATTTTCATGATCCTACCTACTGCTGTCTATAAAAGGACTAACTCAGGCTATTTTTTCTCTTGAAAAAACCCTATAAAATTTTACCTGGTCCGGGAATCGAACCCACTAAGGCGGCGCGAACGAAGTCGCGGGCATAAGGTATTAATTATATATATGTAACAAGCGACGCCCCTAGCAGTTATTTTAAATGCAATAGATTTTGATTGTTTGGAGGAGAGCAATCGAACAGACAGTTCACCTATTAGTCAGTGATTACCGTCGGCCATGGAGACCCGCAAACTTAAAGATACTATAATGCATTGCCAGCCTTTTAGTGCCCCCGAATTATGGGGAGAGGGAGCATTCCGCCAAATCATTTATTCGGCTAAAAGCAACGACACAAATGCTTAACACCGGTTTTGTGTGACGCTGTGGGCTATTTAGAGATGAAAGTAGAAAAAGAACATACAAGAATTTGTGTTGTGTGACACGTTTTCGATTTTTTACTTAATAATAAAATGATTGCGTTCTTGATACCAAACCTCGTTAGACATTCAACCGGACATTTGAAGATTAATCATTCGGTCGGTGAGAAATAAAATCAAAACCACTGAATATTCTACCAGAACGCAGATTTAAGATCGCAAAAAAAATAATTAGAAAGTTTATTCTCTCGAAGATATCAAGAGCAGAAAAATTAAAAAAAAATTGTAGTAGCAATTTACATTAAAAGTGAGTTAAGTGACACCAGGCGCGCCAATCTAAACTAAAGAAGATACTCCGAGGTCACTACTGAGAAACTATCAAAGGGCTTATTTTATTTTTAACCCCAGACGGAAAAAGAGGGGTGTTATTAATCTTTGCGTTATATTTGAGTCCCCGATCATAGACACCCGTGACGGGACACACAAAGTATTAAAAAGTTATTGTTATTAATAGACAAGTATTTTACCGTTCCGTGTGGTGACGGATTAACGATAAGGAGTGCCACCACCCCTATTCATCCCGTGGGTGTCGTAAGAACCGACTAAGGGAGCAAACTACGCAGCACAACAGCACTGCAAAGAGAAGGAAAACTAGAAACAAACCCTATACCGTCTGGCCAGCGTGGTATAGTAGGCTAAAACCTTCTTTCTAAGGAGAGGCCTATGTCCAGCAGTGGACTGTTATACGCTGTTGATGATTGATGAAGTATTATACAATAAATATTCCGACATCACAAGATACAATAACATTCATACAATGAACACATTCTAGTCGCCTAACAGTAACCTTTGAACGTAGATTCTAGCTCGTACTGTGAGCCTATTACAGAGGACTGTTTACATTATGTTGTACAAATGGAATCGAAACAGTGTATCTAGTAATTAGTGTGCGTATGTGCAGTATAAAGCAATCAAGTTGCGTTACAAATACACTTTCACACATATAGCATGCATGCGTGAACACGCGCCCTTGATTGTTCGCAAATGGATTGACCACCCGTACGCCAAAACACTTGCGAGGATCATCTACTCCGTAAATCAATTCTATTTTTAATAGGACACCAGTTCCAAAATTTCCAATGTATGAACTGTCCGGTTGGCCAGTTCGTGGATTCGATTCTCATCCAGTTCAAATATTGTATGCACGATCATTTGTTCCGTGTCGGGGTGTAATTTATCTATAACTAGCTTTTGCCCGCAGCTCCGTCCGCGTGTATTTCGGTTATCGCGGTAAAAAGTATGTCTTTCCTCAAGAATCAAAGTTTCTCCATTTCTCCAAATTTTATTGAAATAGGTTCAGCGGTTATTGATTTCTCATACAAAATGTCTTTTCCCGGGACTCAATTTATCACTATATAGATAGTTCAACTCAGTTGTGCGCGCGGCCCGTCGTCGTCGTCTGACTGCCGCGTCACTGCCACACGAATGAAAGTTGTATATTTACAAGCCCACGCACACATAGGGCCGCGCGCACAACTGAGTTGAACTATCTATACCAAATTTCATCTAAATCGGTGGCGCGGTTTCAGCGTGAAGAGACAACAGACAGACAAACAGATAGACAGACACACTTTCGCATTTATAATATTAGTATGGATATATATGTATTAAAGAAATATTTAAGTATGTTTACTTAGAATATATATGGGCCCGGTTGAAGGCAATAAGCTTCCCCCCCATGACGTAGGTGAGACTAAATTTATAGTCTGCAAAATGTGGGCATTTAAATACACCTCTGTCTACCCGTTCGGGGTTAAAGACAGTGTATGTATGAATTAATCGTAAAATTAACAATCTGATATACGCAAGTATTAGAGTATTTCATATAAGAATCTGAGGGTCAACTACGAGTCTATTTGACATCTACTCGATAGTCACGCGTTCGGCGCTACGATTGGTCCGCACTGAAATCTCCACCAATCACAACGCTAAACGCGCTCGCCGTCGAGAGCGATTCGATGTGAAATAAACTTGATTTCGGCCTTCTGATAAGCCTTGACAGAACACAAGTAGGTGGACACCTGGACATTGAGAATATTAAAACATTTCAACTGCGTCTAATAACATTGATTGTCAAATGTAGATAAATTAATCAATTTCAAAGAATATACCTATACAAGGGGAATACCGATAAAAATATCAAGTCAGACTCACAGTTTGTGTTACTAAAACAATAAAAAAAATACATGTAGTGCTATGTTTAGCCTGAACATAAGCTTGTACACATTTTAATATGGCACACATTAACGGACACGACACGAGCACTATTCGTCAAGTAACGTGATCTGAAAACGATTTAATTATGTTACAAACTTTTGCAAACTTATATGCGCATAAGTTGTATACTTTCTTTATTATTTATACTTTGAGACACAATTATTTTTTATTTGCAATAATAACCTTCTAAGCGAAGGGACTCCATTTCTTTTTTAAAAGCCATACATCAGAAGCTGGCACACCACCATTCATTTATTAAAGAAAAACCTATATAATAACATCACATCACATCAACAGCCTTTAATAGTCCACTGCTGGACATAGGCCTCTCCTAAGAAAGGAAATTTTGGCCTACTATTGACTAAAATAACATATTATGCAAATAAAGTGATGGATTCAAGAAGTGAACGATCCTTTACCATTGAATGACACCGACACCTAATACGTGGCTTGAGAGACAGATATATATATATATGTACACGTTAGTACTGGTATAATCTCAACAAAATTGTTAACATAGAAAGTGCAGAACACAAACTAACCATTGGAAAAGAACACAAAAAGGATTGTTATAATTTTCAGCCGGTGTCACTCTCACCATTAAAACGAATCTAAGGACACATCAAACGTCAAAATCCATCAAGTTGTTAAGGATACAGAGCGTGCCAAATACATACAGTCGAAAAACATAACCCTCCTGAAGCAGTCGGATAATTACAATGTGGATTTGTAGTATAGTAAACAAAACCTGGAAAGCATTGGATACCTCAACCACTTCTTCGAGTGAATAGCATATCAATAAGATGAGGGAAATAGAACATTGTGAAAAAAAGGAATTCTTGCAAGCTGCGATAGACACACTAAAGACCAGAGAAAGCGAAATGCCCTTAAGCTTCCACAAGTAGGCAAAGGTCAAGGCATTACTTTTACAAAAAAATAACTCAAAAATTAGATTCTGCACCAGTTGAAGATAGGTCTATGTTCTGGAATGTATGGTCAAAAGAGGATAAAAACTGACCATGATATGCCTTAATATGTGGTATTATTGCATGCATATGCATCGACAAATATGGCAACACACAAGTAGTAACAATTTGTACCTTGTTGTACACAACTATCATTAGTTTTTGCATCGGGCGAGAATGTCACAACTGTAAAATAAATACGAATATATCTGTCAGTCTGTTAGTCATACATATATGTATATACAATAATTATAATAGATAAATAGAGTAGTATAAATATAGTTAAGATAATAAGGTCATGTCTTATATATGTAAACAATGAATTTACATTAATCGGATAAAAGAGAGAGAATAATTTATTATTAAGACTATTTGACAATATAGGACAGACTATAAAAGTTGATATCTCTTTTAGCCATGCTGCCACAGTGCAGAGATTTATTTTTAAGTTCCCAACAAACAATAGATTTCCAAGACAAGAGAAATAATACAATTTCTCTTGTAGTTTGCTTTGAAAACTGATACTGTACAAATACAAAAACGCTAAATATTAATCATGGAATGTACCATGTGTCGAAGCAAGGCCCATGCTACTGCACAGAGGCCTGCTCGACTGGAGTTATATCTATATCACAGCCTCACTCACACTCCAAAAATTCAGTGTTTAGCAATTCTTCATTTACGGAATAAGTGAAGTTAGGAGGTCCAACTTTCCTCCCCTCCTGACTCTAGGAAGGACAGGAACTCAAAGGGGCGGCAACACTTTTGTGTGACCCATCTACTCATTTGCCCCTTTTCCCTTAATAAAAGCTCCAAATAAGAAAAATGGGGGTGGAATAATACCACAATAACATGTGGTCAATTATGATTTATAAGTATCACACTGTGACTGATTTACAAAACCACTGGGACTTATTGTTATTATTACGCTAGCGCAACTCGCGAAAGGTCTAAATCTTAATAAAATGGTTGTAATCTTAGATAAAAAGAATTTTGATTGATTTAATGGCATTTATCTTTGTCTATGACGAAAATCGCAATCACATGTGAAATCGCTGTGACTAAAAATTTTCATCCTAATTAGGATGATGATTGATGATGATGATTTCATCCAATTGGATGAAATTTTTTATGGATGTTTAATTTAGAAGTAGCAATAATTTACATGTCTGCCAAAAACTGTACTGATGGCAACTCATCCTAGACAATTATGATATGCAGTTGCTCACCTCTCCTTTCATCTTTCTCCCTCTGCTTCCTCAGGTTGCCGTACTTCCTGGTGGGGTCGATGTCCCGGTAGGCGCGCTCGTACCGGTCCCGTTCGCGGTAACGGTCGCTGCGGCGGCGTGGCTCCCGTTCGTCCTCGTATCGCCTGTCTCGCTCTATCGTATTGTATCGCTTGCTGCGGTCTCGCTCGTCATACCGTCGGTCCTTGTCTTCCGGTCGCGGCGGTTTAGTCGATGTGTACGATCCTTCGCGATGGCGCCTAGAACATAACATCAAAATTTCATTTTTATTTCGTATTATTAGTATTATTACTGTGTATGTGTTGGTTTCAACATCTCGACTTTTGTCTGTTTTATAAATACTAGACTTGCAACGAATATTCGGTTACTATTCGGTATTCGGCCTATTCGGCTGCTTTTATTATATTCGGCCGAATACCGAATATCTACATATTATTCGGCCGAATACCGAATACTTAAATAATATATTTTGTCATTGAAAAATAATTGGTAAAATGAAAAATTAAAAACGATTGATTACGTATATATTCATATTTTTATTTCTGTTATAATCATTTAAGTAGTCATTGGTGCATAACACAGGTACATAATCATCTTCTGAATTGGAGAAATGGAGGATTCTATGTATTTGAATTACTGTGGTAATCAAAATTTAGAAGGGTAAGGTTCTCATTTCTTTTATAATCATTTATTAAGTAGTCATTGGTACATAAAACAGGTACATAATTTAATTGACGTCTGTACAAGTTTTTGGCGCTAAAATCCAGCCGAATACTTTTGCCTAATATTCGGCTATTCGGTCAGGGGCCTCGCCGAATATTCGGTATTCGGTATACTGCCGAATATACTATTCGTTGCAAGTCTAATAAATACCCCTCTCCTTCCTCGTTCCCGTCCCCTTCCCTTTCCTCTTACCCGTCGTAGTTTTAAGGTCTGTTATGTGTACAGTGGATAGAAAAACATAGCGCGAATGAAATCGTAGTAACTAGTAACTTATTGTTTAAAAAAAGACATCAAATTTACTTTAGCACTTACCTTCGATCTCTCTCCCTGTCACTGTAGTAATCAATCTCCTCAGGCTCGTAGCGGTGACTGCGGGTGCTACGACGCTGGCGCCGTGTGTTTGGACTTTCATCCCGTTCCCGTCGATCTCGGTAGCCGTCTCTGTCCCGCCTGTCCTTCTCCGTACGCCTGTCATCTCTCATAGATCTTCTATCAGGATCATACTTTCTATCTCCTCTAGAATATCTTCCGTCCTTTTCGCGATCCCTATCTCTGTCTCGCCCTGGACCGAGGTCCCTGTCTCGATCGCGGTCTCTCGTCGATTTATGCTTGTCTCTATCCCTACGTGGCGATGCTTTGAACGCTCTGTCTCTCTCTGAATCCTCTCCAGATGTATTCACTCTATTCAGAGATTGTCGTCTTGAACTTGAGACCTGGTGCTCAATAGAATCAGATAAGTCTGTTTTCCTGTCGTCAGTGTGTGTGACGTTGGCACCATCGAGGACTGGCTCCGAAAACCGTGAGAAGGTCAATTCGTTAGATGATATAATACTCAAATCTTGTAAGTTTTCCCCATCCATAGTAACTTCCCTCATCTGTTCGGGATGCTCAGCTTGAGCAGTAAAGTCGGGCGATGCATTGGTGCTGGACTCTCTCGCTCCAATTACATTTCTTGGTGGATTTCTCGAGCTTTGTTCAGTGTAATCAGAACCGTCTACATTCTGTTCTCTCACGTCTGGAGGACCAGCATCTGTTGGTATCGAAAAATCATGGTCCACGCCAGTCACAACGCGATGCTCATTTGTACCTGTGTAGGTTGGACCTTGGTACTGGGAATACTCGTCATTGCTGGGTTCTCCTGGTACCATCCTGTCCAGTCCAATAGGTCTTCTCTCTGTTACCCTACTGGGATTTGGTTGTGTATAATTGTCAGGTGTTTGTTGACCGTCAGCTTGCCTATACGGGCGGGAGCCACTGTCAGTTGTTTGCCCATCGATATGACGATCTAGATAATTGTCACCTGGTTGATTATAACTATTTTCAACTTCATTTTGTTGACCAGGCACCATTCTAGCCAAGCCGGGTGGTGGCTCATCACCAGAAATATTTAAGTTTTGACTGTATTCGGGTTCTTGTTGACCTACCACCATTCGCCTCAACCCGGGGGGTACACCTCTACTGAAGTCTGTATTTTCGCCGAAGTCACCACTCGACAGATGCGCTGTTTGCAAATACTCATTTCTGTCATTTCTTGGTGCCACTTCCATATTATCAGGTAGCTGTTGTGAGACAGGAGTCGGCCTGAATGCAGACACTTGTGGCTGATCTGGGCGTTCTGAGTTGTCAGGAGTTGTTTCTAAATTCGCCTCAAATCCTACAGGAACTCTACTGTGCTGTGAAACTTTACTCACAGCAGCTGGAGAGGTCAAATTTGTACTGCCTATTTGTGTAGGGAATGTCTGTAGAGAGGGAGTACTTGGAGAACCCTTAGGTAAACTCCTATGTGAGAATGGTCCTGCATGCTTGAAAGGATTCGAGGTTGAAGAAGGAGGGAAATTAGGAGGGGGAATTGTAGAAGACTGTGGAGGAGGCAAAACAGAAGATGAAGGAGGAAGCACCCCAGAAGACGGAGGTGGTGGCACTGCTTCCAATGAGGATGTATTTAAAGGCAATGGGGCCGAGGCCAATGATGATGTACTTGAAGGTGGGGGCACTGTTGAAACAGGGGGAGGAGGTGGCATAGCGGGTGTCATTTGCGGTAAAACTGTTGCAGCCAAAGGTGCAGGGAAACTTGCTGGTGATGCAGCAGGTGGTGGTTGGGCTACTGGTACTGGTTCTTGAACATATATAGGTGCAGCTTCATGAGGAGGATGTGAGTTGTCTGTAGAAGGCTTCTCATGATTAGCCAAACTCATCTCTTGCATAGAACTTGATAACTCATCATGGCTCTCTCTTCTGCTGCTACTCTGAGTGTTATCAGCTAAAGTAGTATCATCTGAAGGTCTTGACCATTCGCTATTTTGTGCAAAGCCCTCATCTAACCCAGGCTGTGAATAATTAAAATTAGAATTGTCTGTATTGAGACCTGGACTGCTCTTACTAGAATTTCTTGATTGATTCTCACTTCTATATGTTCCTTCTGATTGAGTATGAAGGCCATCACTAGATTCCTGGGACATTTGTGATTCTATGGACCACTGAGGTGTTAAATTTTCCAAATGAAATCGTTTGCCAAGAGCTAAATTTGGAAGACGTTCCTTTACAGCATCTCTGTCATTTAAAGTTCTTACTTCCTCTGCTTGTTGAGTTGGGATATAGTTTGTACTTGCTGGAGCTACAGCCTCAGGCATTGTATTATTTTCTTGTAGAGGATTGGAAATAGGCAATGTAGCAGATTCTTGAGTAATAATAGGAGTAGTTTCTTTAGACCCCTTCTTATCATCCATTGCCCAGTTCCAGCAATTACCATCCGTTGCGGCAAAACTTTCTTCTATAATATTGGCATTATTATAAACTGGTTGTTGAGAAGGGGTAGGCTCAGTTTGGCCTGGATTCTGAGGTGGCTTCTGAGCTTGCTTTGATGTGTCATCCCCCCATCCCCAGTCCCAATTATCCTCCCAACGGTCCAAATTTTGCCTAGGTTGTGAAAATTGTTGTGGTTGACCTTGACTTTCATGTCCTTGGTTTTGGTAATAATTTTGTTGCGGATATCTTACTTGTTGGCTATTGTTGAATCCTTGGTTAGTATAATTCATATTATTGTATGTATTTGGTTGTGTATAAAACTGATTAGCATTCGTTGGATAGTCTTGTTGCTGGTACCCTTGACCGTATTGCTGGTTGTATAGCGGTTGCGGTTGCTGTTGTTGCTGCTGCTGAGTAGGCATCTGCCAGAACTGCTGCTGTTGCTGTAGTGTCCCAGGTGCACCACCTTGATAATTTGGGAACATGTTCTCTTGATTTCCAAATGTCTGCAATAAAGTTTTAATAAAGTAGTAAGTCAAAAGTATATTTAATGATAATTCAAGAAAGTAACATGCCACTTTTAGTTAGACATATGTTGCAAGAATACTTTCATTTATGTAGAAACTGTATGCAATAATCTATTGAGTAATTATTAAACATAATTTCAAAAGAATGTTACAATAACAATAAAAGAAACAAGTACAGTTAATGGACAAAAGCAAATGTTTGTGTCAATCATATGATTAGAGGTATGGTTGGTCCACGTCATTGTTTACGTTCTTGCATATATAACCTGAGAGGGCTCACCTGTGCCTGAGGCGCGATATAGGGCTGCCGCTCGGCTCCTGACGGCGGAGCCGTGCCGCCCTGTGGCCGCTTAGTCCACGACATGCCTAACGCTACCGCTTACATAACATTCGTCAGGGCTTCGCTCGCATATGCTTCACTAGCGACCGCCAACCCCGTCACTATCATGGACCGGAATGAAACGACACAACCAACACTTTCACTATCGTGCCAGACGTTATCCCTGCACTAAACAATGACACTTATGCAGATGTGACTTTAACCGACATTCAGTTGTTGTAACGGAGCAACTGCGTCTATTCTAGAATTTTATTTTATAAATATTTTATAAAGAATTTGTTGACAGCAGCCCATCGATCGAAGGTGCCCTGTTGGCAGTGTAGCCATGCTAATGCCTCTAAACTTCCCAAAAAAAATGTCAATGTAAGAGAAAATAAATCTTAATATTTTTATTCTTAACATCTCATCATACTTTTGATATAATATTTAAGAAATAATAGGAAAAAATAATAAGAACGAAAGGTTGTGACAATTGGTTACAGTGCCACGCACCTAGAGAATGTACCTGTAGAAAGATCATCAGCATAGCCTATGAGCATAGCTACAAAATGGCTTAAAATACTTGGAACTCTGATAAAAATACATCACAAAACCGAGTATAAAGTAAATCCCTGATTTGTTAAATAAGTTAAATGTTGTAATATATTTTGAAAGTACTAACTACCTGAATAATTATGATTCTACATGTTCAAAAATCTCCTAATAAATCCTAAATATTTGTTCTATATAAGAAAGTCAAGGTTTTTTTTATGACCGCAATTACTTGTGAAAGATATTTTGGAACGTTCACAGGACACAGATGCAGTCGAGTCGAGTGTCATTCAAGTATGACAGTTCTTTGACATTCAGGAAGGCACGAAAATAATATAAGATATAAGTAATTTAATTTCAAAACAATGGCTAAAAGAGCAAACCCTTTTATCGAAGACTATATACCTCAAAGCAAAATACACGTGAGTCTGAAGCAATTCAATAACAATGAAGATCGATTACAAAAAGTTTACGGTAATAGTTTAAAATATGACGTACTCATCTCGTAAATGTTCAATTATTTTTGAAATACCTGAAATAATAATTTTCCTCAACTTGTTAATAGTGAAGACACTAGACCTTTTGTATAAAGGTGCCAAGAAATGCACGTCTCAAGATATTGTCAATACTAAAGATGATAATGTAAAAACTATAGAGACGAAAAATAAAATGAAACAACTGTTTATTGGGAAAAATGGATCATTATTACTGAATAGTGGTACTATGGTAAATATAATTTTTTGTTTTAAATAAAACAGGTTGTAAAGAGATCAGATTAAGATTACATCTAGTTATCTATGTAGATAACTAGATGTAATCAATTTGTTACCTATTTTAAGTTTACAGACTCAGGATTTATAAAAATACTTATCTGAATATTAAATAAGGAAAATATTTTTATTACAATTGTTCTCAATATTTCATAAGCTCTATCGGAAAGTATGATTTAGAATTTTAGAGCAATTACCCAACAAGTTATCTCTGCATGCATAGTAAACTTCTTTCCTCATATTCTTTGTTAGTGGCTTTACTTACTTTGTTTTTGGTGGAAGAGGGGGTAAACGAGCAGATAAGTCACCCGATGGAAAGTGACCACCGCTGCGTATGAACGCCTGCAACTCAGGAGTCATAAGCGCCATGGTGGCCTTATAGGAAGGAGTACGCTCTTTACTTGTCACTTCCTCTTTTATTAAACAATGGCTTTGCTATTCAGCAAAATTGTAGCAAGTAATAATTTATAGAAACCAATATCTCAATGTGTGTGTGTACTTTGATGTGTCAAACAACTGACTCATTGCGTTGAAAATCTCACGTTTTTTTTTTTTCGTGCGGAAATCCCCTCGGATACCACCTATCGGTGGCATGTCGGACTCGAACCGACTAAAACCGCACGCCGTCTCGGTACTAATATATAAAGGAAGTCCCCGGTGCCCCGACATACCTTGGGTCATCTACAGACGAGTAGACGCACCCCCCCCCCGTGTGGGAACCCCATGTTCCCTGGAAGCGAGCGCGCTACTCTAATTGACTTGCTCAAATCAATATTATATTCATATTACTTATCAATATTATTTGTAATAAGTAATTTTTATTTATTCTTTGTGATTTATCTATTTCATATAACTGTTATAATGTATATTACCAAGTTTTATACTTTTACTCTGCTGAGGCACTGAGCAGATGAGCAGATATCATTGAATGGCAGTTCCATTAACTGAGGTCTTCTTGTCATAAGATTGACCAGCTACATTCTAGGAGGCTAAATTTGCAAATGCAATATTTGCATTTGCAAAATTTGCAAATACTTATTTTACAGGTGTGCAGTATTAGTAAGTTAGTTACGGAGCGATGCTCCTGTGGTGTTGAAGGTGAATCTAAGTGCGCATATTGTGAAGTGCCGCTATGTATGACATGCCAGCATGTATGTGCCCACTGTGACCGTTCTCACTGTACCACATGTACTCTTACCAGGTAAGGAACCTTTGGACGAAAAGCTCATCAGACTTCAGACATTATGATGCTATTGATTATTGCTAATTTTGATTGAGTCACCACCGCATGTTTATGCTTATGTTGTACTAGCTGGTGCCCACAGCTTCGTTGTAGAATTTGAAAAGCGCTGCCTTAGTGAGTTCGATTCGTATCGTATAGGTATTGTGCAAATAAAAATGTTATCATGAAAAAAAACCTATTGTTTTGACATTACAGACACTTCAATTTTATTCATTTGTATAGATGTTACTCTTGTTTATGGTTATTGTACTCTTACAGGCCCTTACTTATCGTTTTTACGCGCAATCACCAGCACTTTCAGACACTATGCTAATGTAGTTGTTTACCTGCACTGTCTTGTAGAAAGCGCTTCACCATTCAAATGGTTCTAATTTTAAGAGAAATCTTCCAATCATTTTCGTGCTTTAGTCTGATATTATAACCATTTCTATTGTTTCAGGTTCGAGGCTTCAGAAGTATGCGTCTCATGTTACAGTTAATTTATAATAATATGAAAGTTGTTAAGTAAATAAATTGTGATCTTTTGTACTCGTAAAAGCTGTTATGAAATGAAATAATATTAAATAGTTTGTAAGTACTATAAAGGCTGGCACTAAAAGATTAATAAATAAAACTCGAAATACTTTTTTTTATATATTAATTACATACCAAAACCTATGCTTCAACTAAAGGAATATAATTATATGAATTTTATTGTTCTCAATAAATTCAAAAGCTCCCAAGGACCTAACCATAATAGATGTCAGAGGAAAGATAAATATAATAAAATACAAACAAAATACAATTAGCACATTTCATTGCCTGCGAATGTCTGCTGCACTCACCCGGGACGGTCACACTCGGTAACCTCTATCAATCTATGATGGGCCACAGTTTGGCGCGAACTTTATGCAGGATACATTGAATTTACGTTCATTACAAAATGTATAAAAATATCAGACTACCCTCAAAACCATCATCATATATAAAACAGGATTTAAAAAAACATTCACATCAACTTAAAGTAAGGCATATATTTCTTTCGTGTGTACAGTTATTATGCTTACGCAAAACATATTCAAAATATACAAATTTTGTGCATACATCACTATGAAACAACTAGACATAAATGGACATGGTAATATTTTATATGTACTAGTTACATACATATAATTAATTGACATTATACACACAATTCCATAAGCTGAGCGTCTCTTTGTTATATAGAAATATCAGCACCTTAATATACCCTCATCCATTTCATTGCCTGCCATCCATACCTACATAAAATATCATTATTAACCTCTGCCCTTCGAATACCTTACATGTTTTGTAGGGTATTTTCAATTATATTTGCTATAACTAACATTAAACAGCTCAATAGAAGCAGCAACACGATACCCTCATTTAAAACTAAACTGAAGTTAATGCAACTTTTACAAAATAATTGTCCCATATTAATTACACTTAGATTACACATTGGTTTGTAACACATTCGACTGGATTTTATTGATTTATAGATAATTTTATTGTGTTTTATCAACTTTCTTCGGTAGTAAAGTATAGTTAAAAAAATAACATCTTAGGCATAATTATCTAGTATAATCTTAGTTAATAATAGGTACAAACTGTATACTGGCAACGTAGAGTTGAAAGAAATATAATAAATGACAACCATTTGCACGCTATTCGATGGATAAACACCGCGTTATCACCGCACCGACTCAAACATTTCTCTACAAGCTAAACATAGCCATACACTGTTAAACCTCAGCGTTTGTGTAAGTTTCCCTACAATAATAATCCCACTGATTTATCTACAGTACACATATATAAGTTTTATGTTATGAATCTCTCTCAATTAATTACATTTCAGAAGTCTAGTTTTATGTTCTAATATTTAATGGTTAATAATGAATTATATTTATGGGTTAACAGAGAGATTGAAAGAACTTAGCGCTAACTGTTAATAAAATCAAACGGGTAATACAATTTTTATGCAAAAGTAAAACCTACATTATTATGGTTCTTAAAGCAGTAATCTTAAATATTTCCCAAGATAAAAGTTAATTCAGATAGATAATTTAGCGTAATACGTAGACACTGCTATGACAACAGTTATTCGTGGAGAAATGTTTGGAACCTTGCATAACTTTACTACACATTTTACATAAAAATAACAAAAAAATATATAATGAAATCACCTGTCAGGCATTATACAACAATATAGGCCAAGTTATATTTTTGGCAACAAAAAGCTCTCACTGTTTCTACAATATTTTCGTAACCTTTCTCTCATTAAACCTGCACTGCCATTAACTCAAGATTATTGTAAATTCAGTCGTTCATTATAATGTTATAAATAAATTAAATCCTGAGTAGAATACAAGATTAGTTCGCGGCGCTAGGTGTCGTCGTCGACGTGCGGTGGCGGGTAGAAAGGCGCTCGCCGGTCACTGCGAGAACAGGTACCGGTAGAGGATGGTGGCCGCGAGGCCCAGCAACAGCGGCGTCAGCCAGGAACCCCAACTATACAACAAAACATGCCAATACATATACATAGTGAACTACATACTATAAGAAAAAAATACTAAGCTTTACAAGGATCCAGAATATTGAATACTCAATATTGAATAATCAAGGATCCAGAATAGGTCTATGTAGTAGAAAAGCACATCTCCTAATGGAAAATCTATTAAGTAGCAGACAGTCATTTATGGTCAACCATTATTTGTATTTCATGTTACTGTTTGACCATCAAAACCTGAAATATTTTTGTAAGTTGTGAAGTGACAAAGAAATTAGCTACGACGTATATCGTCAGCGCTGCCGTGCCAATGCAATACACTGTTACTTTTGACTTTGAAAACTCTGTTACAGTTTTTTTACCCTAATTTCAATCACATCACATCAAAAGCCTTTAATAGTCCACTGCTGGACATAGGCCTCTCCTTAGAAAGGAGGTATTGCCCTACTATGCCACGCTGGCCAGACGGGTCGGTATAGGGTTTGTGTCAAGTTTTGCTTCTTTTTGCTGGTGTCCTGCGATGTTTAGCGTCCTTAGTCGGCTCTTACGACACCCACGAGATGAATTAGGTAGTCACATTCCGTATTCTTAATCCGTCACTACAAGGTATTTTCTTCAATACAATACAGTTTTTTTTTGGTTTTTAGTCTCTTCTAAAATACACTTTAGAATAACAAAAGTGTTGATCAGGGGTACTAGACCGACGTAAAGAAACTGATTGAGCATTGTTAAGGCAAAACGCTGTAAGTCGAGTTACACTCTTTTGGATTGGCACGGCAGAGCGGGTTCATCACAAATTCTCAGATTCTTTTTCTGTGATTGTTGGTGCTAATGGAACTGGATATTTATCACTTTGAGGAATTGGTTTAGATACTGATACTAAATCTTACTCTTATTTTTGATATTCTTCTAATACGAGTATTAGTTAAGCAAAAATAACATTCATTGTAATGATTTACTTGTTCCCGCCAAGTCATTGGTATAACAAAAGATATAGATGCGGGTTTTTCATTTAATACAACGTAACAAGAAATGCAAAAAAGTGTTTGAGTCATTTCCACCACTGAGTAACCAAAATAATATAAATACGCTTGTTTTACCTTTTTAGTTAGACCTCATCGTTTTTATAATTCGAATTAAATAATATAATTGCCACAAATATAACAAAATTTATTCGGTTGGTTTATGCATTTCTTCATAGTTATTTAAAAGCATATATTTTTTAAACGTAATTGTATTATAAACACTTATACAATTACGTTTAAAAAATATCCGAAACGTAAGACTTACAGATAAATAAACTTGTGTGTTAACCTTTTTCTATCATTATTCATTCATCATTAATATGATAATCATAATGAGGGTACATGAAAATAATAAACTAAGAAATGTGACAAGTAAGATATTCACATTATAAGGCAATTTTGTTTATAATTGAATAAATAATTCAATACACGCAATATAATTAATGTTAGAAAAATTGTGTCACACAGAGTCATCAGTGCTACAGATAAAAAATATTTTATTACTGGCAAGACCACGGTTTACGCTTCATTGGACATGCAAATCACTTAGTAGCACTGGTAAGAATGCAATGGGTTTCATCACTTAATCATTAAACAATAATTATTACTTTTTAATTAACTAAGAAAAAATATTAAGTTTTGAATTGGTATTGTCAGAGACCAACCCTGCTTGCAATTGGGCACTGTTAGAATTAGACGGAAGAATCGAGAGCATATTGAAATGAAAGGGTGATAAGAAGGAAAGGCAGAAAAGCGATATTGCTTATATGAACGGATAAGGGAATGCAAGAATTAGCTGGAGCAAATCTGTGACTCGAATTCTACTCGAGTCCCTCTAAATGAAAAATCCCCATGCAATTATGTGGCTCATTCAACCGTCTGTGTAACAATTGATCCTTTGATGTACGACACATGTATTTACCAACCTATTTCATTTAACTGTGTTATGTTTCAAAGTAGGTTTATTACTTTTACCAATGCCCACTTCGTCGGCTATAACACGTCGGTGAAAATCGAGCATATAGCTTGCCTGATGATAAGCAGTATGTATGTGTGTATACCTACCTTGTTAATTGACAACAACGTGGTCTAACGTAGCGTCTTGGTTCTTGGCTTTGTTAACATGCAATATTATAAATGCAAAACTTACGTATATTGATTAAAAAAATCTACATGCATGAAGCCTCGGGTAAAATCTTGGAAGAAATAAAAGGATTATTAAATTATTTAAGACTAGCCGAGACCCGCGTTTGTTGTTATAACCGCGGGCAACGCCGCGGGGCGAAGCTAGTCTAAGAAAAGTAGCCTAAGTTACTCCTTATGTCATCAGCTATCTGCTAGTGAAAGTCCCGTCGAAATCGGTCCAGCCGTTCCAGAGATTACCCGGAACAAACAGACAGACAGACAAAAATTGTAAAAAATGTTATTTGGCATATGTCCCGTGTAAACATACATATGCATTTAGTAAAAAGCGATTATTTTAATATTACAAACAGACACTCAAATTTTATTTATTTGTATAGATGTATAGACTAGCTGGTACCCGCGACTTCGTTCGCGTGGAATTTGAAAAGCGCTACCTTAGTGGGTGCAGTCCATGAGACCTCAGGTGGAATTCCCGGATCGGGCAAAATTGTATACGGTTTTTCTGAGAGAAAAAATAGCCTAAGTTATTCCTTATAGACAGCTACCTGGTAGTAAAATATTGGCCATCTTGAAGATTACCCGAAACAGACAGACAGACAGACAAAAAATATTTAAACTGGTTTTTAGGCATAGTGTGGTACAGGTATAGTGCAAATAACTCTGTGAGTATGAAAAAAATATTGACATTACAGACACTTCAATTTTATTTATTTGTACAGATATGTCTTTTAAAGATGAGTGTTAGTTGAACCTAATATTTATTTTGTTCAAGATCTTTCAAATTTTATCATCTTTTTTCATCACTACTTACATCGAAATATGTTGCCGTATATCGATGGATGCGTCATAATCTTGCATTGTTTAATATATCATCATAACAACCAGTAAGCGCCCACCTAACACCTTTTTTTTTGACGTGACAACGTCTTATAATTCGATGGAGCCGGCTGCACGCACGAAAAAACATGACTCATGCGGCGTTACCTCGCTCTTAGGCGGCGTTCCATTTAAGGCGTGAAGTGCAAGCGAGAGCGCGGAACGAGTGACAAAGACGCACAATCGGCCTCCGCGTTCGGCAGCGTTCGACATCTGTCTCTCTCCTACTTGAGTGAGCGATGCGTCCGCGTGGACAACTGCTACTCGTATACAATAATACATTTTTGAAAAATGCAACCATTCCATCAGTATTTTCTTATGACGTTGTCACGTTCAACTATCGTCAGTATACCGACTTTACAGACAACCGATTTTTTTTTTTTTTTCCGTGCGGAAATCCCCTCGGATACCGCCTGTCGGTGGCATGTCGGACTCGAACCGATTAAAACCGCACGCCCACCTAACACCTAACCTAAAAGAAACTACTATATCTTAAACACGGATTATTTTTTTCAAAATCTTAGATGTGTTCACTATTACTGATCGCTTGACAAAAGATAATTACATCGCAGTTAGTTATGGCCGTCCGCCGTTATTACATGTTTTAATGGCACTACACCGACGCTGTTAGTGATTGGACACTGGAAAGAGTACCCATGAGCGTGTTAACTTCATAAAAAGAATAAAACAATTGACCCTGTTGTAGTGATACGGGGTCAGTGTTAATTACTGACAGGCCTGTTGGTCCAGTGGTTAGTTACCCTGACTGCTAAGCCGGAGGTCGTGGGTTCGGATAATTGTGTGATGAGCACGATGATTTATTCTGTGTCTGGGTGTAATTTATCTATGATATGTATGTATTTAGAAATATATAATTATGTTTATCAGCAGTCTGGTTACCATAGCACAGGCTCTGCCTAGTTTGGAATCAGACGGCCTTGTATGAGATGTGTGAAGTTATTATTGTTAAGAACGTCTAGCGCCATCTAGGCCCTTGGGGAGGAACTGAGGGGATTGAAGATTGAAAAGGAAGTACCGCTCTTTTGATTGTAATTGGTCCGTTACTTTTTGAAATGTCAACGATCACTTATATTTATAGATCACACTTGTAACGAGAAGACAACACACATATGAATTTTGTCTGTACTACTTACCTTAAATATACGCATTTATATAATATATTAAAATAAAGGAATTCATTGAAGAAAGCCCTACCGACCTAAATATTCACCAGAAGAACATACACAAATTGACAATTACTAAAAAGTAATAACATGGCGCTGGAAGGCTAATAATTATCTCAATTATAATTTATAATCCGCTTAGCTACTCCATGTTAAGTAAGAAGGCCCCCAGCAGTTAATACTTAATTGCAATTCATGCCAATTATACAAGTAATGATTTAGGTACGCTTTGTATGTTAATTTCTTACATGTCACAATAATAATAAAAAATATTTTAATAAAAACAAAAAAAATATTATAATACAGTTATTAAAGATGTATAATTGTAGAGATTTAGTTTCGGGTCGTTTTGTCAAGGGGTAAAGCGACCTATCGCGTCAATGTAAGGCGCTTAACTCAAACATACAGCCTTGGCCAAAAATATTAGGCACCCCAGAAAAATGCACAATTCATGTTTACTGATTGAACAATGAATAAATGCTTATCTTAGATGGCATGCCGGGGTCACAAATAACTTCCTAGAAAAGCGAGCAGCTATCTGTTATGGTCATAAAACACCTGGTGATTTAAGGAAGGAAGGATTTGTTTTTATGCGTTCTTATCAGTTAATGTTTGGTCACTTGTGTTCAGGACTCTAACGAGTAAACAAGCTTTTATTTCTAACATAGCGATTAAATTGATGACATACACGAAAATCATTATCATAAGAAAAAATAATAAAATAAGCTCATGGATCTGTGTAACTAAAGAGTAAATAAAATAATAAGGTGTATTAAATAATGAGAGGCATGAATCATATTTATGCGTTTATTTGTCATTTAATCACATACATATCATACTTAGTCAGCGTGGCTACAATAATAAAATAAAGAGCACCAGTAGCGGGGTCGAGCGCCCCATAAACCTTCAATACATTAAAATAAAATAACTTGTGTTACAAGCATTATTCTACAACTTACAAATTTACATAACAGATACTGTGCACATATATATTCAACTATATAAAAATAAGCTTTTACAGATCTTTATAATCACAATAGGTTACTTTATAGCTGCTAAGTACCTTGGGTACGCCTACGTTCGAGCAGTGAAATAGTTACACAGAGCCATTAGCCAGTACCCTTGTGCGTAAGCAAATATACGAGATCTACAGATGGCCGCATGCCATCACATAATGCGAATAGGAATCTTGTTGTATGAGCATTGTACATACATAATGCATACTCGCTAATCCAACGCTGAGCATCTCTTATTAATACATGGAAGATGAGTCGAGCTACTTTTGAAGTTCTTTGTAGCACAATGGAAGTATAAGAATGGAGAATATGGTCCAAATGGTTAGTGTCTGATTAAAAGTTTTGGTGCGCATTCCTCCCATGCACATTAACCAAGTAATGTTTTAAAACTTATCTTTATATATCAGGCATTAGAATATTGGTAACGTTCAAAAGTTTCTACTATAAATCTGATTTTGATATTTAAAAAGTAATATTTAACAGCGAGAGGTTTGACTCTAGAATAGAATTAACTTTTAAAAATGATGTTTGTTTTAATGACATTTTGTTTGTGCAGGAATATTCTAATTACTAATGATATAATTAAGATTGAGATAGAATATATTAGAATTCGAGAACAGTTATAAACTGAAATACTTACACAGTACTAACTAACATGTTCTAGAATTTACTTTATGAATCGAAAAATAATAGTACGGGAAACTATAGAGGAAGTGTATCAAAGTGGACATAGACATAGCATTTGGATTAACACAATAACAATTTATAATTCTAATAAAACACAGCCCTTACAATGCGACGCCTGAATAACCCCTTTTTGAGGTACACTGTACCAAAGTTACCCTTTCTTGCATAAGTGTTAAGTACATCATTCTATATCTACCATAGATCTACTATACTAAAAAGCTGAAAACAGCGTGTCCGTGGATTTCAAAATAATTAAAATGTGTGAAGTGGTGATATGATTTGTCGGTACTAGGCGACTACGCACTTGCCCTGCTCCTGTGGCTGGTCGTTGCTCCATTGGGGCGAGAAGGCGTTCTTGCTCTGGATGCGATCAGTCTCCACCAGTTCACCAATTTTATATTTCTTCATAAGCGACCTAGAAACCATAAGGATAATTTAAGTATTGTGAGACTAAATGTAGTTTTCCACACTGTTTTAATCGACTTTAACATAGGAGAAGGTTCTGAATTCGGTTGAAACTTTTTTATGTTCTTTGGTCCCATTCAATTCTTTTAAGATTAAATATCACCCCTCATCATCATCACCATCAACAGCCTCTAATAGTCCACTGCTAGACATAGGCCTCTTCTTAGAAAGGAGGTTTTGGCCTACTATAACACGCTGGCCAGAATGGTTGGTATAGGGTTTGTGTCAAGTTTTTCTTCTTTTTGCAGTGCTGTTGTCCTGCGTAGTTTCTTCCCTTAGTCGGCTCTTACGACACCCACGGGATGAATAGGGGGTGGTGACATTCCGTATTCTTAATTCGTCACCAATATTACCCCAGGGTGGCAAATTGAGGAATGAACAATACAGTTGATTACAATTCATCATGATGTAGTTACGTTGAAGGTGGTGATACATCTCTAAAGTTAATTATTAATACTAATTCTAGTTATAATTTCATACTAGTTTATCGTAAAATGTAAATACTATAAATTAATGCTGACTGCACGCGTCAGCGCAGTGACTTAAGCCTTAGTGGTTAGTGGTTTAAGCAGTAGCCACGCTGTAGTATGCTGAGTGTTGTGGATCCGATACCAACATGGGACGACACTTTGTCTGATCTACAAATTGTTGTTCTGAGTCTGGGTGTTCTTTGTGTCCGTTTTATGTATGTTTGTAAACACCCCGCGACACAGGAGATATTCCTAATGCGAGGGTTGTCTTTTTAAAAAAGAAAAGAATAATAGGCTTGGTAAAATTTATGTGTATAATTACATTCAAACTACAAGAGCGATGGTCCGTTTAACTAGTACATTTTGTTATTGAACATAAATCACTAATGTTCTAAAGTGTGAAAAACATTAAATTTATGTTTTAATTTAATGACATTTTAAAAGAATTCTCAAAGACAAACATAATAATAATATTCAACACAATCATTGAGGAAACACTGAAACAAAATTGCATATAAAACATATATTTAATACTAGCTGACCCGCGCAACTTCGTCTGCGTCTCTCAATAGTAATAAATTTTCTCCGTTTTTGAAACATTCTTCATTGGTGCTCCGCTCCTATTGGTCTTAGCGTGATGATATATAGCCTATAGCCTTCCTCGATAAATGGGCTATCTAACACTAAAAGAATTTTTCAAATCGGACCAGTAGTTCCTGAGATTAGCGCGTTCAAACAAACAAACAAACAAACTCTTCAGCTTTAAAATATTAGTATAGATTAACTAAAGATAAAACACTTCATTTATTAAATGACATGACGACATCGGACAGAGGCGGATTATATACACAGGTGTTGGTTTTATATAAGTACTATCTATCTATATCTATATGTTCAATTAGCTTTTATCATTGATGTTTTCATTAATATAGAAGCAGGTGGCAGTCACTATTTACCTACAGGCAGATAATATTGGATGGGGTTTATGGATAGGTACCGACCAATTATAATCCTTACGTAGTATAAAATGAAGTCTCTTTTTTTTCGTGTACGCTTAGATCTTTCAAACTACGCAACGGATTTTAATGCGATTTTTACTAATAGAGAGGGTAATTCAGAAGGCGGGTTTATATTTATAATATACTAGCTACTAACCTATGTCCTTTCTCAAGAATCAATCTATCTCCATACCAAATTTCATCTAAATCGGTTAAGCGGTTATTGATTGTCCATACAAATTTCCACCCCCCTTTTCACCCCTAAAGGTTAATGTCTGGGATAAAAACTATCTCCTTTCCCGAGACTCAAACTGTATACCAACTTGTACAGTTAATTTATTTATTATTTATTTATTTATATCTTTATTGTTTACAAATTAGCACATAAGACATTACAAATATATAGACTTAACAATCGGCGGTCTTATCGCTCACGGCGATCTCTTCCAGACAACCTTGATACGGATATTTGTTATTTAAAAGTTGAGTAGTTTACATACACATAACGCATATCACGTGAATATTTAAAATATAAACAAAAGCATCCATACACAATAAACACCTGTTCACACTACACATAGATAAATACATATACATACATACATACACACATACATAAACAAAATTTATAAATATAGATATACATATTTATATATACATATATATACATATTCAATAGACATACACACAACATATATATATACTGTCCGAAATATATACCATATATAAAGAAACCAACAGTATTTATAATGTCAGATAAAAATCCTTCACTAGCTTTTTGAAAGCGGGCAAGGTTTTAGCTTGCCGGATTGTCAAAGGCAAGTCGTTCCAAAGTCTTACTGCTTGCACAGTAAAAGATTTGTCAGCAAACTGGGTGGAATGTTGCGGCATTTTTAGTTTTAAATTCTCCGATGACCTTAGGTCCCTGCAATGTGTGTTGTGTAAGAACTGAAAACGTTCTTTGAGATAAGAGGGTGTGCGAGGATGAAACAGAACACTGTATAAAAGAGAAAGAATATGAAGATTCCGGCGAAAGCGTATTGGTAGCCACTTGAGTTTAAAACGATACTCTGAGATGTGATCATATTTGCGTAATCCAAATATGAATCTAATACATAGGTTTTGGAGTCGCTCAAGTTTATTCAGTTGGTCTTCGGTGAGATCCAGATAGCTGACATCGCCATAGTCAAGGATAGGAAGAAGAAGAGATTGTGCGAGCGCAATTTTAGTATAGGTGGGAAGGAAGTTCCGTAGCCTTCGCAGAGATCCTGCCGCTGCAAATAGTTTTCGGCTAACTTCTCCAACCTGGGGGCCCCAGGATAGGTACCTATCCATGTGGATCCCCAAGTTTTTTACCTTTTCACTGTAAGGTACAACCGAGCCATTGCAACAAACAAATGGTATTTTCTGAAAGTTTATTTTAGCTTGTAGCCTGGGACTACCTACAATAATCACCTGTGTTTTTGTGGGGTTTACGCTTAGGCCATACTCCCTACTCCAGTTACATATTTGCATTAAGTCTCTATTTATGGCATCCACTGCTTTTGTTAAATTATCTGGAGTAGCTTGTGAGTAGATTTGGAGATCATCTGCGTAAAGATGGTAGGAAGACAGTAAATTATTTGTGATTGAGTTAATAAAAACTGCGAAAAGTAAAGGTGATAACACGCCGCCCTGAGGTACGCCCGCAGATGTTGTGAGCCAAGAAGAATAAACGTTTTCAGTACAAACACGCTGCTGGCGACCGTACAGGTAACTACGAAACCAGTCAATTGCCGATGGAGATATGTTAAGAGAGCACAATGTACCCAGCAAGACATCAAAATCCACAGTGTTGAAGGCGTTGCTGAAGTCGAGTAAAGCAAAGACCGTTAGCTTTCCTTCGTCCATGCCTGACCTAACATCGTCCGTAATATGGACTAGAGCTGTTGTAGTGCTATGACCTGGACGAAAACCTGACTGGAAAGGATTGAGGAGACAATTTCTTAAAAGAAATGAGGTTAACTGTGTGTGAATGAGACGCTCGAGGACTTTGGAAAGAAAAGGAAGGATAGATATGGGACGGTAATCTGAAAAGGAGGACGGATTACATTTCTTGGGGAGAGGAATAATTTGAGCCATTTTCCATGCAGAAGGAAAAACGTTGACGGATATGGAATAGTTGAGAATATGGCTAATTACAGGTAGGATCTCATCCAGGATAGGAAGAACCATTTTACGGCTGATACTGTCGCTTCCTACTGCAGTAGAAGTTATTGACATAATGCTCTTCCTTACATCACATGCAGCAAATTGACTAAAAAAGAATGGGGAACAGTCAGGAATCGGCAGAGAAGAAAGATAATTCAGCGTCGTAGTCTTGGTAGCCGCTCTGTAAACGGAGGCAGCAGAAAAATATGAATTCAGGGAATCAATATCAATATCTTTTGAAGCACAATTTGGACGTGACTTGCCGATTCCCAAGGACTTAAGAAACTTCCAGACCTTAACTGGGTCACCGTTTTCAACCGATTTGTGGATATGTCGGCGCTGAGCGTTCCTACACATCTTATTGCAGTGATTTCTAATAAGCACAAATTTTGCCCAGTTTGATGCTGTAGGGTGACTTTTATACTTCGATTGAGCTCTTACTTTCTTTCTCTGTATCTCCTTTATTTCGCCAGTAAGCCAAGGTGCAGGGAGATGTTTTACCTTTATTTGTCGCATCGGCGCATGCTTGTCGTACAAGTACATTAAATTATTTGTAAAGATGTCTGTTTTTTCGTCAACACATTGGGAGTTAAAAAGTGGACTCCAGTCGATGTTGTCAGCATCTCTGCGAAGATTTTCGACATTCATATTTCGAAAATTACGGTGTGAGATTATTTTAGCTTTAGGTTTAGGAGTACGAATGATATAGGATAGAAAGAGAAGATCATGATAGGAAAACGAATCTGCGGAGCACTGGCCATGTTTAGCCACGTGCTCTACAGAGGATACAAGGATGAGGTCTAAGAGAGATGAATTACGGTTAGGCAAATTGTGTGTAGGATTAAGTGAAAGAATCGAAAGATTGCTGGATTTAATAACAGATCGAAGGGTGGCAGAACGAGAATCGTTTTTCAATAAACAGGTGTTAAAGTCACCCATGACTATAGTATGACTGTAGTATGACTATAGTAGAAAACCTAACCCCCTCGGGTTAGGTTTTCTAACAGAACTTCAAGTGAAGAAAAATAGTCTACTCGTAAGGAGGGACTATAATATACACCGAGAAGTAGTTTTGTGTTTTGGAGTGAGATTTCAATGAATAAATGCTCGCCAGCATTTGTGGGGGGGGGCTGAGATGACATATTTACTATGGAGAAAGGAATGTGAGATCGGATATACATGGCAACTCCACCGCCACGTCCACAAATACGATCATTCCTTACCAGCTGAAAACCTGGTAATGAGTACGATACCGTGGAGAGGCATGGCTTTAGCCACGATTCTGATACGAGAATTGCGTGGACATTCGTACAGTCGAAGGTTGTCAGCATTTCGGAAAAATGTGCCGGAATGCTTTGGGCATTTATATGAACGACATTGAAATTCCTTGGGACATCAGAGAATTGATTCGAGATAGTGTCTGCCAGTGAAGGAACACTAACGAAACTAGCATCGTCACTGGATACCGAAAAATATTCGTCAGTGTCACTATTAGTGACGTGTGACGTCATTAGTATATATTATATATATAAAGAACGAAAAGAAAGGTTTAATTTAAATAAGTTAATTAATATATAAATATTAAAAAAATAAAATAAAAAGAAAAATACGTTTAACTTGTATAAAATATTAATAAAATTCCCCAATTTATCCGTCTGCCGGCTGTATGTTTTTAAAATAATAATCAGATTAATAAAAGAAAAGTTTGCTTAATGTAGCATCATAGAACTAAATCAAGATTGCGTCCAAATATTTTTTAAACTGAAAATAAAAATAGAAACACTAGTTTAGAAATAAATAGGAGGTAGGTAATTATAATTCTAAAAGGCTGGTATCCAAATCATGTGAAATCTATTAAAGGATATGAACCGGAACGCAATCCTGTTGTCACAAATGACAGCTTAGTTTGACGTACCACAATATTCCTCTATGCTTGTGATCTTAACAATTACATATTTTAGAAAATTAATAGAAAATAGGGTATGCAATCAACCAATATATGACGTAGGTACAGTAAATATACAGTGTGAAGGTCCCTTCGGTTGAAGTGAATATTATGTGACAAACTAAGCATGCACACAATCGCAAACAGTTGGGTGACCAAAACAAATACAGTACTATTATTTTTTAGCGGCACGCCTGGTCTTGCTCACTGTTGTTTTGGCAGCAGCTACTGGCTTCACCACATCATCATCGATAGCGTCCAGTTCACCAAGTGTTGTTATGCGATGCCTTTTATCGCCAGGACCCGCAATGTGAATAATACCTTCTCGGGTCCAACATTTAGTTATGCCGAACCTCTGACGTGCAGACATGAAGAGATGATGTCTGGATTTAGTTAGGAACTCTGATATGGTTACCCCAGTGCCCTTCAAGTTCGTTTTAGCGAACCATACAGAATCTCTGGTAGCGACTTGTTGAAACTTTACAAGTATGGGCCTGGGCTTACTAGATGACGATGAAACCCGTCCCACCCTTTGACTCCTTTTAATGCTATTTGTAGTTAAACCGCTCACCTTACACTGTTCACTGAAGACCCTACCAGCCACCAATGCAATGTCTTCACTCTTCTTCTCGGGCACACCATGAAGCAGTAGCATCTTCCTCCTGCTGCGCATCTCCATGTTGTCTGCAGACTGAGCCAATATTTGTACCTGCTGTTGGATGTTATTCAGTGCTTCGAGGACAAACTTTTTGAAAGTTGCAAACTCTGTTGCAAGTTTGGCGGGTGATGCAGATGAGCTGGCTTCCTTTTGAAGCTTGTCACTTGATTCAAATTCTGCCATGCGAGTGTTAAACATAACATTCATGTCAGCGATGGTCTTCAGTAAGGACTCCATTGTATGTATTTGTATGGCAGATAATAAGCTAATGTGTGGAAATAACACTTTCACCGGCAGAAGGTAATCTCAGTTAGTGAGATAATTCATTAAATGTGTTTAATCAGCACTAAAAACAATTTTAATTATAATTTAAAATAGAGCTTAAAGTTTTTAATGTGTACAAAATTTTTGAAATGTAGAACAAAATTTTTGCCATTGCCGCCTCGGCCCGTACGTCTATTAAGATGTCCTGAATATAGTCTTATCATGTTATCGTAATAACACTGACACCACATTAGTAGTATTAGTAGTATCTACATTGCACCCGTGCGAAGCCGTGGCGGATCGCTATACTAACTTATAGAAGTAAAGATAACATTTTAATTAAATAATTGTGAAAGTCTAATGAGATTAAAAAACTCCGACACCCTTTTGACCAATGAATAGTTGCTCATCCCAGTGTTGTTTCAAGAGTTTCCATTCATATTGTTGATGTTTTATTTACACAACAATACTGTTTATATTGAAATAAGACAATTTCAGTACATAGGTGAACAAATATACATATGCTTATGTTCGGACGTTGTGAAGGTAATTGTTTTATTTATATACATATGTATGTATTTTGTGGTATGCTTGATATGCCTGTGACAACACACAGACAGTAAAAAGAATTCCATTTCCACTGATATGTTAAATTACCTTGCGTCAGAGCTGTGGCTGACATCCTCGAACGGCTCAGTGGCGTCTTGTCCAGCTTTCTCTAGTAAGACCTCTTCACCACCAGGATGCTGTGAACATTTTGACGGCGGCATTAGTTTTAATTAATTCAAAAAATACAGGAAGGTACCAGAGAATATTCAATGATATTCTATTTTTTTCGTATATGCAGACGATGTTTCTCAAACTTTTGTAGATCCAATGGACCCCTAGAATAATTAATATTTTTTATAATAATTTAATAATTAGTCTTTTTTTATGTTAGAGGGGGCAGACGAGCAGACGGGTCACCCGATGAAAAGTGACTATCGAACGTGAACGTCTGCAACTCAGGAGTCACAAACGCGTTGCCGGTCTTTTAGGAAGGAGTACGCTCTTTTCTTGAAGGTTTGAAGGTCGTATCGGTCCGGAAATACCGCAGACGATAACCCGTGCCACAGATTGGTTGTGCGGGGCAAAAATTGTCTCGAAAAGCGCGCAGTAGTGGAGCGCCAACTGTCCAGGTAATAAGGATGAAAATTTTGACATGTGGAATGATGGCGGAAATTTGCGGCTGGTATTAGTCCGAACAAATCCTCGGAGCACTCTCCATGATATATGCGATAGTGAATGCAGAGTGAAGCTACATCTCTACGTAACGCCAACGGATCGAGCCGGTCGCAAATTTTTTGGCTATCGACGATTCGAGTCGCTCTTCGTTGGAAGCGGTCCAGAGGGAGAAGCTGGTACTGAGGTGCCCCTGCATAGAGATGATAACAGTATTCCATATGCGGCCGGACTTGCGCCTTATAGAGCTGAAGGCGGTGGGTCGGAGTGAAATACTGCCTCGACCTGTTCAGCACACCGAGCTTCTTCGAGGCCAATTTGACCTTACCCTCTAAATGACCTCGAAACTGAACTTCGCTCGATATGTCGATGCCTAGGATTCTGATGCTGGCTGAGGCAGTTAGGAAGGTACTCTCAAACTGAGGTGATACGACAAATGGTATCTTTTTTGCGGTGAACGCGCAAATCTGTGTCTTTCTTGGGTTAAAATGGACTAGATTTAGTCGGCCCCAATCTGAAACCTCCGCTAAGGAAGTTTTAATTTCAGACACAAGTTTATTACGACTCTCGATTACGTTTGCCCGAGAAATGCTGGGGCGGCCGGTATAAAGAGCATCTCCTGTGCTGTCATCTGCATAGCAATGGATGCTACTAGTTTGTAACATATCATTGATATGTAGAAGAAACAGTGTCGGTGATGAGCACACAGCCTTGCGAGACACCAGCATTTACGAGTTTCAAGTCGTAGCATGCACCGTCGACAACGACCTTAATGCTTCTGTCCGCAAGAAAGCTGTTGACCCAATCACACTATTTCTCGGAAAGCCCAAAGGAAGGCAGCTTCGAGAGAAGCGGCTAATACCAGACCCGATCAAAGGTCTTCGCTATGTCCAAACTAACCGCACAAGCCTCTCCTTTGGCCTCCTCTCCTAGTTATGGCTATAGGCCTGTAGTTGGACGGGTCAGAGCGGTCACCTTTTTCAGGGATCGGGTGCACAAACGCTACCTTCCAGGAGTTCGGGACGACGCCTTGGGAGTAAGAGGGACGAAAAAGGCTCGTTAAAACCGGTGCCAACTCCGGAGCACACGTCTTCAACACGATAGGAGAGATTCCATCGGGTCCACACGACTAAAGAATGCCAAGGGAAAAGAGTGCTTTACGCACTGATTTTTGTGTGAACCGGATATCCGGCATATAGCTCTGGCACCGCAGTGTGGTCGGCGGTACGTTTACCCCGTCATCCAAAGTCGAGTTGGATGCAAAGAGTTTGCCTAGGAGACCTGGACAGCCTTGGCAAGAGGCCAGAATGCACGAGTTCCAGAAGGAAATCCTACTAGTCCCTCACCGATCCGGCTGATGTGCTTCCGACTTCGCCGTAGCAATGGCTCTTTTAAGGGACCTGGAGGCAAAGTTATATTGTTCTTAAGCACAACTAGACAAGGTTATCTTCCAAATTCTTTTTTTTTTTAAATGAAACAATATAATCTTCGCCTCATGTAACACTTGGGGTAATTGCTAGAGCTACTACTAGCTCTAGCAATTACCCCAAGTGTTACCATTTTAAAGCCTACCACTTACTGTCAAGCAGTCAACAGCCTTATTTAAAATTGTTCTAAACTAAATTAACCTACTTGGTATTATAGTGCAACTGTTTCGTAACAGAACGAAAGTGATGGTTGGAAATGGAGGTAAAGGTTCACTCACCTCACAAGACAATGAAGCACTCTCAGGTAACATGATAAGGAACTGGTTTATTTGGTATATAATTATCATTTTATATTTTTTTTTACAATAAAGAACAATCATGAATGTGGTAATTCAAGCTATATGGCCGATAAGGCTAAATCAAGGAATAATATTTTAGTTTAAGAAAATAAAATTTTGTATTAATTTGTCTTATTCGGGGATAAATATCTATTGAGCAATTTTTTCATTCACCGAGTGCGTGGGGTAACTGGAGCCCAACCCAACTCCTCCATCTGATCATTGCACTGTGACTCCCGAGTTTCAGATGAGCATGTGTGACGGCAGTCACTTACCATTCTCTTTTGCCCCCTTTTCCTTGAGTTTATTTGTAACGTCTGTTAACCACTGAAAGGTAACCTTTGATAGGGGTACAGACATACCTATAGGATACCTCTATCCAAAAACAACACTGAAGCTGAGCATTGGACAAAATAGAGTTTAGCCGGACAAAAACTAATCACATACAAAGTATTTTATTATAAAACGCATCACGTTTATTCCATTTGTTGCGTAAGCCTTGCTTCAAATATTTCATCGGAATGCAGCCAGCATGTGAGTGCAACGGCCTCAGAACAAAAACCTGTTTTATTTGTTACTATTACCTTTCGTTTAACTTGTTTTATTTAGCACGCACGTGGCTTTCTACGTCATGGCGCCATGTCGCACAGTATTACAGTAGTTAATCTTTATAATCATAGTTTTTTGTTCTTTATAATACTAGTTACTGGTCTACAAAAGTTTATTTATTTATTTATTTTTATTTTCTTACAATATCTTTACAGATTTTTTCCAATGCGATATTGTAGTTACATTAATTAAATTTAAGCTAAACTAAATTACAAACTAAAGTAACAAATTTTACTTAGTGCTATAATTGTGAATTCACTCAAAGAACAACAAAATATATCCACATCGTCAGCTATGAGGTTGAATGTGCGCAACGGGCGCGTCAAAGGTGCCCCGCGAAGTAACTTAGTGCGTGCGCGCGGCACTGCCAGAAAGCGCGGCCGCCACCGACGTCCCGCGTAGCCGTCTGGGACACACAGACCCATCCTCTCTAATACATCTGCATTATGTATCCCCCCACTAATCACTTTAGTTATTTACTTATATATTAAAAATAAAATAAAACGAGGCAATTATAAAAATCGGAAAAATTCGTTATTTTACTGCTGTTGACATATGGATTCTGTTATCTCGTTGCAAGACAAACTTAACTTCAGCTGTCTGAAGATACTCCCCAACACATCATTATGTTTTTATTATTTATAAGAGTGAAAAAATTTAAACTTTGAGAAAGAGAACCCTATGAATTGTAAATTAATAAATTAAATGAAGTAAAAATAGATAATTGAATGCATTTCAAGTTGTTCTCTAGTCATCAAACGCGTATTTCATTAGGGTAATGTAACCCCTCGCTTTGGCTTATATGAACGTATACGTTACCTACGCTTTGTCAAAAATTTTTTTTAATATCTAGTGTCTAACTTGTGACATTATTTTACCTATTATAGAACAGATCATGACTAACACAAACAGGAGTTCACATCAACAGCGTTTAATAGTCCACTGCTGAACATAGGCATCTCCTTGAAAAGGAGGATTTGGCCTACTCTACCGCCAGACGGGTTGGTATAGTGTTTGTGTCAAGTTTTCCTTCTCCATGCAGTGCTCTTGTCCTGCGTAGTTTGTTTTAATTAATGCAATCAGGCCGGCCATTCCATGCCCTACCGCAGCAATCAATTTTGCCACCAGAGGTCCCCTCTCTGGCGGCCTGCGGCCCCGTCGACGCCTGTTATCGGCGCCGACATCCTCTACGTTCGGGATCGGCCCTCTCCCGATCCCGTTCAGCGGTTCTTTCTGGAGCATTACAGGTTCACAGAAAGAGACCACTACGGCCCATCCCTCCTCACCCGCCAGCATGGCAACAATAATTGCTGGCGGGGACAGGTCTCGCCTCTAGTCGGGTCTTACGACACCCACGGGATGGTGACACTCCGTATTCATAATCCAATATGTCATCTATATAATGTACCTATGATCTACAATAAAGAATACTTACTCACTTACTTTAAAAAAATACCACACGGATAAAAGGACCAACACATGTGCTAATTATTAACTGTACAAGAATTATCCAATGGTGTTATTCAAATGCTTCTTGTAAATTACTCATGCTTATTATTTACTGTTTGACTTTATTCGAGTTTACTCAGGATGAGTTCAAAACCCAAACTATGAGTACGAATTTATAAGAACTACCTACAGATCGCCTGGTGCTCGAATTTCAAACGTTTTGAATGTATTATTTCATAGACCTGTCTGTATTACTTGAACTGCCAGAATATAGACTTTTGTGCCATAGCTTCTCAAAAAAAGCAAGGCAAAAAGAGCCCGTCTAAATTAAAATGCATAGGTACTAGATCATTATAGTTTAATGCATTCTGTATTTACATAACTTTTGAATCGTCCAGAAACAACTGGTCTAGGATTCGGACCTGTTTTAAACAGAGACAAGACCAAGGTTATGATAGTGGATCGAAGAAAACGCAGATCTAATGAGTATAGCCAATTGTGAAGTAGTGTAACTCTATATTTACCTTGGTTCCGCTATCTTGAATGTTGGAGGATGCGAAGACGAGATCACTAGGTCAGCAGTAGAACGGTTGGGAATGATTTGGAAAAATAGAAGAATTACCAAGATCACGAAGGTCCGCTTGATGAAGTGCCTCGTGTTTCCAATCTTTCTTTACGGGGCTGAAACCTGGTCTCTGGAAG